CGTCTATATATCACTTCCGGACAAGAAAGTGATCGTCTAGAAGGTAGGGCATTTTTGTTCTCTGCAGGCTTTTCAACATCAAAGGACGAAAAGGGACGCCGGTGCCGCGTGGCAAGACGTCCCATGTCAACTTCTGACTCGATTTTCTTGGTTGTTGAGAATACAAAAAGCTGAAGAGCAAATTTTCTATAACGTTTGTTTTTATAAAAATAAAGCACAGGATTAACGAGAGAGTTTATCTCAAGGACGACCTCTGCCCACCGAAAAACCGTAAAACTACGAAAAAATGGTAAAAACGGGGCCGCGGTAAAGACAACCAGTAAAGGCACGGTAGCGATAAAAACAGTAACTGTCACCTGGCTGGTTTGACATCGCTTTAGTTTTCGCAGTTCTAAGTATAATTTGCGATAAAAGTTCACCATTATTGATATTCCAGTTAGCCAACCAAGGCCAAAGATACCATCTAAGAAAAGGAGGACCTCATAACGGATACCAGCGACGGCCGATGCAAAAAATAGGGCAGTCGTTATGAACGCAGTCACTCAAGCAATTCCTGCATATTTTTTTACGCGCGATTTAGTTATTAGAATTTTATATTCCACCCTCTTTACTATCGCCAAATACCTCTCCCAAGAGATTATTACTAGATGATAAAATGAAGCACTCCAAGCAGTGTACAGCACCAGCGTAGCAACGAGAACTCTTGTGCATATGATATTTTCTGATGCATTACCTTGAAGAATCAGCGTATCTAAACTGATCGTCAGTGGCATACAAACTGCGCCAACCAAAAGATCAGCCACGGCCAAACTTGCGATCAAAATGTTGGAGTTTGTTTGTAACTGTCTAACTTTTTTTATTGTTGCAATTACTACGATGTTTAAAAGAACAGTGAATGGACAAGCGACAGTTGCAACGACGATTGCGAGCTGAAGGGAAGTTTTTTGCGTCGAGTCCCAAATGAACTTGAACTGGGGTGAGCTGGAGCAAAAGATCTCCAGTGTGGAGGAATTACTACGCGGCTCTTTAGGGTAACTCAGATTCATTTTGATGAGCACGAAAGGTTTAGGGCCATATAATTATAACCGTTTCGTAAATGATCGATGGCTGTTTGTAATCGATCGCGCAAAGGGTTTCCTCTCTTAAGGCGATTATTATCATGACAAAAATCACTCACGCGTGGGTAAATTCTTCAATGAAAATGTTGCTTGTAAGGGAAAAAGAGAAAATAACGTTCTTTGTACTCTTCATTGTCTCCACCTGATTTTTACGGAAATATTTCAGTCATCCTCAAACCTTTCTTAGCGCATATTTTTTTTGAAGCAAATCTCCAAAATTCAGAAAAGAAGAAGTAGTCACAGAGGCGTTGATCTGTAAATTCCTCCAAGACTAATCATACGAAAACATTCAAGTAACAAACAATTCTGTCGGCAGCTTACAATTTGAACGACAGCAGACCACTTCAAATGTTCAAGAATGGTGAATTACTTTGAATTCATAAAAAATGTAATTTCCGAAAGCATTAAACATATCCATTTGGAAGAACACATAACTGAAATCAAAAGAAAGCAGGTAAAAAAGGTAAAAATTAATACAAAACCGTCAAATTCTGTAAACAAATACGTCGCACAAAAGGTTTCCTCTCTTACAGCGATTTATTTCCATGAAAAAAAATCGCCCACACGTGGGTAAATTTTTCAATGAAAATGTTGCTTGTAAGGAATAAGTACATTTATCCCTCCGGCTTATTCTTAAACGTATTGACCAAAAGAGGAAAGTAAGGTTCTGTATACTGTTCATTTTCTCCATCTCATTTGTTATTAAAATATTTCGGTCATTTTCAAATCCATCCTAGCGCAGATTATTTCAAAATAAATCTCCAAAATTCAGAAAAGGAGAAGTAGTCACCGAGGTGTTGATTTGTGAATTCCTCCACGACTAATCAACGACTAATGAACGACAGCTGACCACTTCAAATGTCACAGGGACAGTGAATTACTTACATTAAATGTGATTTCAAAAGCATAGAACTTATCTGTTTCGAAGACCAAAAATGAATTAAAAAGGGGTTGGATCTCAACCTCTATGGCAACGGATCAACTTTACACCTTCAAAGCCACGTCTGATTGCTTGGAGAGTCGCTCACTGATCGCGAACAAACAAAGCGTAGATGAAAATGTGTTCCGTCAAACCCACTCCCCGTCAAAAATCATAACAAAAGAAAGGAGAACACATGGAAAGATACTATTACAATACTGAGATCACTAGAAATCAGGATAAAAAAAAGGCGAACATTTATACAAAACAATCGATACAAGTTGGAGATGAGAAACTCAATAACTTACTGTGATTTTCTCCAAATAAAAGAAAAGTTGTTGGATATCAACCTCCATGGCAACGGATCAACCTACACCCACAGAGCCGCATATGATTGCTTAGAGAGTTGCTTATTGAGCGCAAACAAAACAAGCTTGTGTTTCAAGCTACTGATTCTCACTAAAAAAAAAATAAAAAACGGAGATGTGAAAGGTATTCAGCCAAACCCAGTCCCCGTCAAACAGATTAAAAAAAGAAAGAAAGAACGAATAAAAAGCAGAAGTAGTTCATTTAGAATGAGATAAAGTTCAAGGGCTGGCTGTGTGAGAGGCGTTCAGCGCTAATATATTCTAAAATTCAAAGTTCGAATTAAAAATTTGAATTTAAAGCTTGACTGTAAAAGCTACGACACCGAGTTAAAAATTTACTTCCGGCAATCATGAATTCAGAATGTCTGTTGTTGCTTTTGAAAAGCAAACACCCCCTGATTAGTTGCGCGCCACTGCATTCCGGAAATTAGCGAAAGATACTCAAGTCCGAAAGACACTGAAGTACTTCCTCGAAAACAATATTGAAACTAACAACTTAACCGTTTTTCTCTTTTTCCCCAAGAGCGAAATGTTCAAATGACGCGTTTGGATTGTGATTGACAGCTGGAGATTAACCGCACCAATCAAGAATTCCGTTCGTGGGGGAAAGGAGTTTTGCAAAATAACAATGACCTCGGGCAGGCGTAATCTTCACTCCCCTTCCCCTACCACTCTCCTTACTATTGACTATCGACCGCCCTCCTGGTACAACTTTCTTTCTTTCCTCAGCCTTCCGCTGCCGTTAAAATAAAAGATAGCGGCCACGATTTTCGCTAAGAAAATACTGAGCACTCGTTCGCCAAAATTACGCTTTCTCTGCAGGCTAGCAAGCTTCCCGTGTTTGCTACCGTCGTTTTTAGAGCGACTGAGGGCCAATCGAGCCGATTTGATATTAAAGTAGCTTTTTTTTATTCAGGCTCCTACATGCTCGAAAAGTGTGCGTGGTGTGATGAAATCTTCACTTAAATAGATTTATTGTCTTGTCACCAACCAGAATGAAGAAAACTAGTCATGGCTATTGCTTATAATTCACGAGAAACATAAGCAACATAGGCAATAGGCTATTTGCTCAAAACAGGTACTCAGAGATATTTCTCCAGGTTTTGACATGAACGCTTTGGTATGATTGATACCTTGCACAATTGTAGTTTGCTACCCAAGTTTTTCTCAAAATGAGTCCACTTAGTGCAGTTGTCCTTGCTGCCTATTTGTGATACATCAGTTTCATAAAAATTATCTCCTTTACAAGCTTTTGTGAGTCTGACGATTAACTTAAGCAGTTATTTGCCGGCTGTTTGCAGTATAGTGGTCCTTGGATATTGAAAATTGTAAATGATCTACATTCAAGGTCTGTGCACAGTCCGTCCATTCAATATTATTAAAATCTTGTTCAACTTTTAACACAAAAAACCATCTACGGGTATTTAGATTACGTTTTCTATTTAAAATTTACCTAAAGCACATCGTTTTATTGTTTATCGTTACGGACCGAATTTTTCCGCTCAGATTTATGGTTCAAGCGCAAAGCGTGCGGGCAATAAATCGAGTGGAAATCGAACAGAAATCGAGCGTTACTGAAACTCGAAGAAACCAACTCTAAAGTTCGGGATGTCTGCCTCTGAGTTTTGTTCCTTCTCTTCGTTTGCTTGCTTTTCCCTTCAATATATTTCAAATTTTTCTTCGAGACATTTTGGCGACCAAAACAAACCTTGGGATTTGGCGGGCCGTGCAGTGAAAAACGGCCCGGAAAATTGACCAATTATAGCGCACTCACCAACTGAGAGATAAAATAATTATATTTATGAGCCTAAGCTCGAGTGCGCGTCCGTTACTCGGGAACCACATTTTAAATACCACATTGTCACATTAGAGGGAGTGCAAAGGGCAGCAGCCCGTTTTTGTATAAACGATTATGACTGGTAGTCAAGCGTCACGCCCATACTAGGAAAATTAGAACTTTGCACCCTTGTAAAAGGGACAAATAGAGCTCGCTTGATCTTTGTGTATAAAATGATTCATGGTTTGGTTGACATTAAGATTAGCGCTTTTTTAAATTTTAGTAATGAGACCCGAACCAGGAGCAGCCATACACTTCTTGAACCTCACTGAAAGAAAGACGTGTTCAAATTCTATTTTTCTCAAGAACCGCTATAGACTGGAATAAGCTCTTCCTTGCATGCCTAATGTTACGTCTCTAGCCGAATTTAAGAATTACCTTAGTTCATTAGGTTAATAAGAGCATGTCAATTTGTAGAGTTCACTTTTTAGTCTGTATTGTACTTACTGTAGCTTGTAATTTTTACTTTTGCATTTTAAGTGGTTGGTGTGTTGCCTAACCGGCTTTTACCGACCTAATTGAGATGATGATGATGAAAGAAACCGTTATAATCTACAACAGTGATCCTTGCCTTTCTTTACTCGACCCAGCTTTCCTTGCTCGTGTTTACACATATCAAAGGTGGGCTATCTTATTCAAAGAGTAACTTGCCTGACTTTTTATTGAATACCCAAACGATCGTGTTTGCCCATGGTAAATTTTTATTTCCTCTATACATACTATACTGTGACAGCTTGTTTTCAACAAGTCCAAGAAGTTCATCTTCTTACTTTCGAGGATGTTTGTGGCTGCACACGACCTTTGTTATCGGTGTGAATAAACTCCCAGAGTTGTTTAGCACTGTTAGCATTGCCCAAAATATTTGCAAGCCTTTCCTGTGATAGTGTGAAAAGTTCTTGCACACTCTCCACGTTTCTCATGACAGATCTGGAAAAATATATTTAAACAAATCAAAATTTATCTTTCACAGAGCAAAAAAAAGGGTTTCAGGATGAGGTCTAAACTGTCCGTCGTAACCTACTACTGGGCCTAAGACAAGAATTTCAGAACTCCTCTAACGTATACAAGTAGAGATAAAGAAGTCATGTCTTGCACAGGACCAGAACTCAAATAAAGTATATCATTGAATATAGCCATCCGAAAGTTTTACCGGTAGTTCTTGAAATTTATGCCAGGAAGCTTTAAAATGAAGTCCTTAAACAGAAAAGAAAGCTAGAATAAACAAAATTACAACGTACATGAAAAAACAAATCTACATTCAGAACTATTCAAATGAAATGAAATAACTATAAGAGAGAAGAACGAGACCCTAATTTCCATTCGTTTTCCCTTTTACACAATACTCAAAAGACTATCATTTCACCTAATACCAAATTAGACTTAGCCAGTATTTTGTCTTCCCAAGTCAGAAGTCCGTATCGGAAGTCTTGATAAGACACCTTAGCACTGACTTAACGTCTTTCTTAAAACACAAACAACCCATTTCAAAGTCTTATTAGCGGTCAATCTTCGTTGTCTTTATCAACTGTTCCGTCTTTGTGCGGCCTACTGTACCGTTAAGACCGTCAGCTTGTATCGTATCCTTAAACAAGCCAGGGTTTTAACCGCTTTTAAACGGTAGTCTTTCCTGATACTTCCTATGAACATTGCACCGTACGCGAGTCCTAGCTTCGCGTGGCCGACAACAAACAACTATTAAGGTCTTTGGAGACTCACCCGGCCTGTACCAGCATCCCTCTACTGACTCACCTGTGGTCCAATGTTGTATGTAACATCTGAGGCAACTGCTGTGGAGTCAGAGCCCACAGCCATGGCTGTGGCGGCATCTGGTTCAGGACATTTTGCCTGGAAAACAACACAAAAATAGAAAAAAAAAGTAAAAATCAAATAAACTACTCTTCGCATCTCCAAAACGATTACTATAATCTATTCGGCGGTATGCTCCCTTTTTACACCTTTTGCTGTTTATTACGACAAAAGATTAATTTAGTTGCGTGAAAAGGCGAACAATTACGTAAAGTTACATACATTAGCGAGTAAAAAGATCATTTGTGCGTAAATCAGATTCAATAACGATTTTGCATTTGAATCAGCACTCAATAACATTTTTGGGCATTTTGGGCATAGGCGTCATTCGTCAAACAAAGGAGAAAAATGTAGTTTCATTTGCGCCAACTTTCGAGTCATTAACACCATCATTATATAGACAATACACAAACATAGTGCATTTAGTAACATTTTATCACACTGTTTGAAATTCAATAGCGATAGTAAGGACTGTGGGAGGGTGGGGGGGGGGGCATTTTAAGTAGCTAACCTGCTGGTCACCTCCTACTGCATCAAAATTAAATTAATGGATCAAGACCACGTTGTGTGGAGTCAGTTAACACGCGGGTAAACGTAACTTGATCTTTCAAAGGCTTGCATAGGTCTGTTCTTTACGACGCCAAGCAAATATTACGAAAGCCATAAACAACAAGGTTGTTTCATCACGAGAGACTCACCTTCAGATCATCAAAAAGCTCAGCTGTTGCATACGGGCTGTGACACCACAATATTTTCAACTGGAAGATCAACCAGGATCATCATTAATTACCATTATTGCTTTAAGACAACAAGAAGCCAAAAAGCATTCATAACACGCACCTTAGGAAAATGAAGTGTAAGTAAAGTCAACTTGGAAGATATGTCATTGAAGGATACCTCACTAGACAAACTTGACTTCGCCTGAAGGAAAAACAAACAAACAAACAGGTAAACAGATAAATAATCAGATGGATAAAAAATGTCGGTTAAAAACTGTTAGAAATTCACGATGGGCGATTCCAAGTCTTAATTCCTAATTTCAAAAAGAGAGTTAAAGAAAAACCAGGGGTAATTACAACATCATTGGATTCTGAGGTTCGGTTTATATGTCACGTAAGGAACAAAGGTCAGTGACAAGAACTATCTGTGTCCGTGTGTCCTACAAGAACTAAACTTGTCTACTTCACACGACCATACAGAAGCATAGAAAATCAAGATCACTTGCAGTGGATTCTTAAGTTCTGGATCACTCCTAAACGAATAACGGGCAGTAATTTCATTCTAATGAAAGATGATGTTTTCAGTGAACAACACAGACATACTCGCACAAAACAAACTCCAAGTACTCTCGATAAGGGACGACCCTACGACCTTCCGAGCAGTATTTAGGATGCTCTGCCACTGAGCTACGGGAGACTCCTGGCAGGCTAGGTCTTTTAATTCTTGTAATTAAATGCAAAATTTTACCTGATCCTACCAACTGTGCAGGTGTTGGGAATTTCCGTGTATCAAACAAATTGTTAATTTCGAGTATTAAGAGGTTAGATCTTAATATTTTCATTTTCGTTTTTCTTCCACTTAATCTCACTTTTTCCACCTCAATACAGATGGCTTACATCGGGAGAAGATTTTCCTAATATTTATAATACAAACAAGTTGTTCGATTCAGTTTATTCTCATTCTAATCTTAGCTCAATTTGTTCTACAGTGTGTTCATAGCGCTTAATTGTAGATATATTTGGGTCTAGGATTCTCGATGGCCTCAGATTCAGCGCTCGCAAAAACCCCTGTGCAGTAGTACGGGAAGGGCACGGTAGATTTCCCACTCGGACGAGCAACTTTATCTCCCTTCTTGCAATATCTGATAGTTTAAGAGTTGACGCTAAAACATCTTAGTCTTTACTTCCTTTTTTCATCCCCTACGAGGTAGGGCTAGCGGAGGAATGCCTCTGAAAGTGACATATGAAAGTTGCTTTCCCGAAGGGCAAGTTGGCATTTAAACTGTTTTCAAGCCCTGCCTTGGATGTTGTTGACTAGCGCAAATAATCCCCCTCCGTTAAATTAAAAAATAAACAGAAAAAGCTCCAGAGAGGTCCAGTACACATCCCATCAAGAATTTCCACACATAAATCTACAATTCTCCCACATGTAAAACGGCAAACACTCAAACAAAGAGCCAAAACGATAAAAATTAAGAAAATCATTTTATCACATAAACTACGGTGTTATATAGGGATTTCCAGCCCTGAGAAAAGCGTAACAACACACGTGAAAAAAATAGGATATTTTTTCACGTGTTTAATATCGTCAATCAGGTGCTGAAACGTCACTCGGCTTTCGCGCCACTCGGGCAGGTTGATGAACGAACGGCAAAGCCTTCACCATTCACAATCCAAGGTCGTTTAACAGAATTATTGCGGATTATGGCAGCTGAGACGCTGAAAAATCTGTATCGCTTACAGACAGTGACGTGCAAACTTTCCTAGATGGGGAAGAAAACCAAAATACGAAAAGGGAAACCGCTTTGGTGATAGCATTTCTCGCGGCCGGGAACGAAAATCGACAACTGGAAGATTTGCCACCAGCCGATTTTGGCCGTGTACCTGAAATATTTCTTCTGTCGCTAAGGACGACATAAATAACTGACAATTTTGTATATTGAAAATTAGGCCCATTGTTTGTTTCCATCTCGAGTACGTCAAGCTCTTTAGCGTTTTTTTTATCAGGGGATTGTCGATCCTTTTATTTTCATTCATTAATAAAGTCGACTTTTGTTGGCAGTAAAGGGCTATTGTGTTGATATGATAAACAAAATAGTACATAGTTGTTTGTAGATGTGATATTTCTGTTCTTGTGTTCAACTCGACATCTCACTCGTGAGCTATCGAGCTGAACACTCCAAGAGAAATTCCATATCCAGGCACGCCCATGATCTCATGTTCAACTGTAATTGAAACTTGAAAATTACTTGATGGACACTTCGAAGCTAATTTAATTTTCACCACAGGATTACGATGGATACTAACCTGCAGGGAAAATGACTTGTTTGGATCGAACTCGATCAACAAAATGGGTCTTTTGTAGAACCTGACCATAGCCACAGCCTGGTGATACCTTGAAAGTTAACACAGAAACCATAGACATGGTGGATATCTGCACAGAATCGTATTTAAAAAGCTTTACACTTAATTTGATCAAATTTAAATCTTAGTTTAATCACTTCAAACATCATTAGGATGGGATGACACTAGCACGTGATCAACAATGGTACAGAACAACTGCAGTGTTCGATAAGCTTGGAGGTCATCAAACGTGTTCATCAAATGCAATTCAAATCAGACAGTGCCGACATTTCTAATTTTTCTCACCTTACGGGTGAAAAAGTAAAAAAAGGGCACGAAGCTGCCAACTTATGTTAGTAGAGAACGTTTGTGTCAAAATCCATGAAATAATTTCATTCTGGCCCCCAACCACTCTACCCAAAATGACGAAAAACCTGTGCGTTATAGCATTGTTCAGTCAACTTTGCACTAGAAATTGGAGGGAAAAGATTCACAAACAGCAAAATCATTTAAAGACTTTTCATCCCACTTCGCAATGACTAGTATTAAAACGGAAAGAGTAGTTATTTATTTCATTACAATTTGAAGAAGAAATCGTTATATTTATAGCATAGTCATACGACGTTACCCAGAGACGAGAAGAGCATTGTTACATTTACACTACAGAGCTAGCAGTTTGCCGATCAATGTTTGTATTTGAGCAACTGCATACCTACCCCTCCCCCAACCCAACTGAAAAGTCAACTGATGACACGTTAGGGTTAATGTTGGGTCAGGGGAGGAGTAGGTGCACAGTTGCTGAAATGCTAACATTGATTCCCGGTTACATAATCATGCGATGTTACTAAGAGAAAAGAGTACAATAAAACAAGTCAAATAACAGATCTACCTTAGAGGCTTTTTTCCTGTCAACTGTCTAATATTCTATACTATGTAATGACAGATAGAGTCTATAGATCGTGGTAATACTATAGACAAATACTCACAGTCTTCCGTTGTTGAGCGAGCCAATCAAATCACTCACACTCTTACGCTCCACACAAATGTCTGGGGTAAGAATGTAATCACCAACCTGTAAATGTGAAAGAAAAATAACATTATTTTTTGGCAATAGTGGTAAAAATTACAGAACAGAGCCCCACAAGCACAATGTTATGTAAACGCTACAGCTGGCTACATGATCAGATCACTCAAAGCAGGTCACCCAAAAGGCGACTTCCACTGTTACTTTAGTCGCCAGATAATTTCTTTGTGGCGATGGAAAACATATTAGTGGAAGCTTGAGGAGATAAGGAAGATAATTATGTACAAACCTCTAAAGTCACAGGTTCTACATCAATCCCTCTCCGATGAATCAGTGAAGGCAGCTCACTGCGAAACTCCCGCATGTCGACAATGACCTTGAACAACACCAAGTAGTTACAAATGTGTTTGGCTAACTCCTCACCGACTCTAGTCCAAAAACAGTTAATTACCTGAATTGTTGGACCTATTTTTTCAATTTCATTGCGCTTACATTGCTGAGTCCAAATATGCTCAAAAAGAAACTTTTTTTCCCGGTGCAATACACCTTACAATTTCTTGGGGATTCTTTGAATTAATTTACACGTGCACCTCATTTCCTCCAATAAACACCCAGGCGTTCATTTCAAACTTAATTGGCAAACCCGGCGTGGCACCGACCGCTAAGGCCAGCGTTTATTATCGGAGTACAATTTCGGCCTTTTATAAATTTATGTTGCTTGTTTATCAACCAGCCTCCGAGAATCAGGTTTAGTTGACCGAGACAGAACAATTTTTACCTTCGTCCCTCTCCCGTCGCAACAAACTGTTACTGAGTTTTCTATTCGAATTGAAATTTCCATGTAAACACTTTCACGAATGAAATGTGCAAATTATAGAAAGGTTATACCACCGCAGTGCTGCCCGCGAACAAAGTTACATTAAGGGTTGAAAATTCAATTTTGAAACAAATCATGAATAGACACTGAGCTCAACACAAAAGGTTAATAAGAACTTGCTGCGGATCTAGGAGGTGAATTTTTCCAGCCTGTTCTACAAAGAAGTGGTCTCTAAATTTTCCATTCGCCTTCTGTTTTAATAAAAACTTCGACCAGAAGAAACCTCGGTTTTTACTGGTGCCCATTGGGGATACCAAAATTACCAAACTGATTATCCATAAAATACTAAGTTGCTAAATTATTTGTTATACCTTTCTTGATTGCTTATTTCCTTCGTCGCATGTTGCTGCTTTCCTAGTGCTCACAGCATCTGTCGCCTTAGACGGGTCTCTACTCAACATCATGGCTGCACTTGTTTTACCTTCACGTTCCTCTGGGACAACCATGGTCTGCCGTGTTAAGTGTAAAATTAATAATAATAATAACAATAATAATAATAATAATAACAATAATAATAATAATAATAATAACAATAATAATAATAATGATTAAGAAAGAACAAGCAGCCTATATTAGTCTTAAAGTACAACAGATATGAGATGTGGGTGCTTACGTAGAGTTCCGCTTCGTGAGCCTTACTAAAAAAACATGTAATAGTGAAGTGTTGCAAACGAGAGTGAAGTTGAAATCCAGTCATTCACATCGATTCATTTTTAAGGAATGAAAGCAGGGGAGAAAGGCGTACATTACCTTATCAAGCTTCACTCCACTAAAATGGCAAGAAGTTCAGTTATACCTTTGTCTTAATGTGCAAATGCAAAACTTTTATAACAGGCAAAAACAAGAGTGCGATTTCTGACACCTTTGTTCCACTACTATGCCATGTTATCATACAAGGGCATCGGAACACACCCAATATGCCACTGTATTACACTGTAGATCAGAGCAAAAATATGGACGGAAAGCACAACAACAAAATGGCCACACTGAATTATCCAACAAGAAGTTGTTTTTTTTCTGTCTTTTAAGGCTTGGGTTTTTAAGAAACGATCTAATTACTTCTATGACTGATCCCAAACTGCAAACTTGGCGTTAGGAGAACACGCACTTAATCGATACCAGGAAATACTCAGGAAAATTCAATCAAGTCATCCCACTTAACAAAATGTTGAGGCCTCAAGTTCCTGAGTCATGTCCATTATGGTAACTGTTGCTATATTCTGTGGTCAAACCTAAGAGACAGCTTTGGACGTGTTCATAGCTGATTACATATCTGAGCGTGGATCAATAAATCAATGTAATTCAGGTATAAGAAATAACAGAGAAATGAACCTACCCCTTTATTTTTTATCAGCACTTCAAACGCTTCTTTTTCTTTCCGAAGAGTTGTCAAGTATTTCTAAAATAATGGTTTAAAAAACATGTCTCACCTGCAAAGTTAATTTAACGAAAACTGAAACAAAAAGCTTTTGAATCACTACCTGTTCCTCAACTGAACCAGCGTAGATTAAGAAATAAACACGAAGAGGAATTCCAGGTCTGGATGCCTTATAAACCTGTGGAAGAGATACTGATGAATTTCTTATAATGATCTGGAATTATTGACTTGTACAAAAACAAACATGGTACTACATCAACCAACTGATAAACGAACGAAGGAATCAACCAACAAGCTTAAAAATACTCGAAGGAAAATCTAAGAATTAACTTAAATAAAATAGATAACATGTTAACGAAAGAGCCAGCAAATTCTCGCGGAATAAAAGATCATCGAACGGATGAAGCATCATACCAACAAACGAAGTGAGGCGAGATAAAGAATCTAAGAACAAGATAACGAATCAAAGAACAATCTTACCAATGGACGAAAGAAATCACGAATCCACAAAACTGAAAGGCTCACGAATACACGAATGAACGTACGAATGAACGTACGAATGAACGTACGAATGAACGTACGAATGAACGTACGAATGAACGTACGAATGAACGTACGAATGAACGTGCGAATGAACGTGCGAATGAACGTACGAATGAACGTACGAATGAACGTACGAATGAACGTACGAATGAACGTACGAATGAACGTACGAATCCCCAAAAATTGAATCAAAATATGTGCAGTCACAAACACGTCTTTAAACGGTCCAAAAATGAAGGCAAAAAAGAAAAGAAAAAGCAAACCAAACAAATACACGTCTAATTTCGTAGATGCAACGAGAAGTTCTTTTGGAAATAAAACAAAAACAAAGAGCAAAGGAAATGATCGGCCAAGACAACATATTGGTAGTACATTGTAAAAGAAAAACAGGGAACCGAAAACGAGAAAAAAGGTATAAAATACCTCAAGTTGGCGTATAAACTGCATTTGCGCATCATAAAGCACAACATATCGAGGCTCTACTTCCCAGAGAGTCCTCAGCAAACTGTAACGATCACTAAAAAAAACGGTTTTCCATCCTTCAGATCAAGTCTCATATTATTTTATAAAATAATTCAAATAGTACGCGCGCTCTGATTGGCCATAAAACCATTTTACATGAGCGTATGTATACAGGGTTTTCGTTCCTCTTTCATTTACTCGATAAGCTGGAAACCACTCCACTTCGCGTCGTGGTTTCCTACGCTTATCTCGTGTTCTCCCAACCTCCCGCGTGTTTACATCAGGCTATGTAAACACGGAAACCATTTTACATTTCTTCATTCATTTATTAATACAAGACACCGAGATTGATCATGATTTATTCATCTATTAATTTGTTTATTCATTGATCTAATTGTTACTTAATTCATTAATTTGTGTAATTCTAATCAATTCATCTAGTTTTGTTTTTCTGTCGACTCGTTTATCTGTGTATCTATTATTTGAGAGAACACGATAAAAGTTTGCCAAATTTTCGAGTGTTCTCTCAACATCCCAAGCAGTTTATTAGCCGTTAAACCAGTAGCAAGTATGGTATATTGCTTTTATGATATAAATGTGAGTGAAGTTTGTCAGAGAGAATGATAAGTCGCTGATTCTCATGAAACACATCAAGGTGCGAGAAACCAATAAAAGCACCGGAAACTGAATGAACTGGAAGGCAAATGGAATTGCCATAAAATTTTGAGTACACATTCACTTTCCAAGTGGTTTTGACTTCATGCAAATAGGATTTTCATTAAATATCCAAATGAGAATACAGTTAGTTTATCGCTACATTCTTCTTGAAGCAAAAACATGCCAACTTTCCCTTCTAGGCGAGCACTTTGGGGAATTCTAGTCGAGAACTTCTGAAGTTCTTCCACATTAACAGCGCAGCTGGTTAAACTTCATTTCAAGTAAAAAATTTGATAATGTTAGAAAAATAAAATCTTTGTCCTTGTTTTTTAACGTTCAAAGTTTCCTCTTCAATTCCTCCAAACCAAAGGCCTTTAACAAATTAAAATCTGGGAATTGGCCCCGTGTGGCGCCATTTGACATAACGGGAAGATGCTTCAGTTTTCTATGGGTTTACGGGCAATTATACCAAAGATTTTTGACCAATCAGAGCGCGCGTTGTGTCTAAGTTATGTTATAAAAAGGTCAAGAACCTATTTATCACTAAATCGATATAACCAAAGCTATTTAGTAAAAGCAATATACGACCCTTTCAGTCGTGTTACTGGCATAATAATCCTCTTAGGAATGCCTGTAAATCATTCGCCAGTTGCCCTTTTTCTTATGTTCTCTCGACAACCCGAGTTGGTTATCAATTCGGTAAAACCGACAGATTTACATTGTATCGCTTTAATTCGGTCCATTATTGCGCATACGAGTAAGGCTACCACTCATTATGATAATTACAGTAAGATGTTATAAGTATGCAAATAAGGCACGTTTTTTTTGTCAGCCATTGCCGCCGCGGTTTTTTTTAATGAGCGTACTACATGTATTGCTGATGAAATGTTTGCACAGCTGTAGGGAGATACAGGTATTCAAAGTGTGATAACAGTTATTACCTGCAACCTGTTAGAGGATGAATGATGGTCATTCGTGATGACAGCAGTTTTATTGGAGGGGAGTCCTGTTCTGCCGCTTTGTTTACTTCACCTGGCTGAAGTAAAAATGATATAAATACCTCATTACAAATCTCTGTTTTATGACCCGAAGGGTCTCTGTTACGCAAACTAACTTCTTTAATGACAAACGCAGACACAACATTAAATAAAAATTATTAAGCTGAATGCTTTTCGATTGAATGTCAGACAAAACTACAAATTAAAACAACAACAACAAATAAACAAAAAATGAAACAAAACTACAGACAAACAAACACAAAATAAAAAACCCGAAACCAAACCAACAAAAAAGGTAATCATAATGGCCTTATGGAACAGAAACTAACATCACAAGCAGACAGTGGAGAGTCACGACAGATTCAGGAAACCTACCCTTAGTGTGTTGTTTGTATGAACCAGCGGCACTTAGGCCTATCTGATTCATCCTCGTAAAAAACGTTTCACATCTATTTTTATAAAATTATGTTTCCCCATTGACATCAATTTTTAATATCTCATTAAGGTCAACGATAATTGTATGTTTGTATTTTTCAATAATATATCCATGTATCACATGCAGGATGTGGATACAGTTTATGACTTACCCTCAAAAGAACATTTGATCTTGACCCTTTGAGAGAAAAAAATAATAATTTAAAGCTCCCTTTACTTCTAACTACACCGCGTTTTGATAGTAATTTCAATATCGTATTTATTACAATTCTTACATCTTCGAAACTTGGGTACAAATATGTAAATAATAAGAGTGAATATCTAGATAGTAACATGTTTATGAATTAGCAGTTTAACCCTTTAGTTTACAACCTAACATCAGCGGGCATATTCTCCATACTGTTCTCTCTACATTTCCTATGGTGCCGAAAAGGAGAATTTGTTTAACAATCAAGAGCTTCGTTAGTCGTTGAACATTTCGTTTATTCTCGTGACCTTAATGTGTGATTCAGGGCGATATTGCTAAAAACTAAATAAATTAAAATAAAAAAATTTAAAGATACCTTTGAATAACTGGGTCTTCGATGTACTGTTTCTAAATGGGAAAAATAAAAAATTAGTTGATAAGGAAATGATCCAAAAAACATTTCTTCAGTTAGATTAACGAAGCCGATGGGAAAGCAGACGAATAAAAAAACTACTCCGCACCACAAAACGAGCAAACAAATTGACCTTGCTAACGAGTCAATAACCTGGCAAACGTGAAAACAACTACACCAAATAACGACCAAAAAAGTTGAAGAGGAAAAACTCAGCAGACGCGTCAAGAGAGAGAAATGCTAACAAAAGAACCGACAGAGTAACGTAGCATCCTTTAACAGAGACATCTTATGTCCACGACGTTAAGAAATTACTTTTTGGGTATAATCGGCCACTGGAAGAGCAATTTAGAGAAACTTTCACTAAGATACTAGGCAATTTCATACCCTTCATCTGACTGATCTAAAGGCGCTTTCTTCCTTGGGGCAGCCACTTTCCTTTTTGATTTCCCTTTTTTTCCAGGTTGAACATGGCGTTGACGGGATGACGGTAAATCCTATAAAATTGGACGACGACATTATTTTGATCAAAACTTACCGACATTCAACTTATTTATTTACTTCAGGTAATGGTTTGACCCGGGAGTAACATTTGATCGACCTTAAAAGGAAAGCCGGATTAAACTCTGATGATTACTCTTGCTAAGGTAGTCAAAACATCAGTCACTACCGCCAAAAACAGTCCTTCTTGGGACTACTCTCACCTGGACGATTAGACCGTACGTGTTGCAATCAAATATTTAGTCAGTAAAGTTTTAAAAAAGAAAATAGTTGCTGTTGAGAAGCAATGAGCCTAATGGTTAGCGCGCTGGACTGGGTTCTCGGGGTGAGAAACTTAACTTGCACATTGCCTTTCTACACCCGGAAGTACTGCTGAGTACCAGTGAACTGTTTAAGAAATATCACTGAATAAAGGGGAATTAACTACAAAGGAAGAACTTAGCCTCCAAGAATTAACCAAAGCTGGGTTAAGAAAACCCACGGTGTGAAATTTAATTTCAAATCTGAAAGCTTTAAGAGAAAATTCAGTTTAATTCTTTTCGTCTACAATTGGATTATTTGATATTCTAAAAGGAATAGAGAAAATTATCAGTAAAAAACTATTGAATAGAGAAATAAAGAAACCCGATTAACATTTAACCCTGGGTTAGCAGAAATCGGTCTTAGAACAACTGGGCCGCGCGCATTCACCAGTTATTGCTGTTGATGGTGAGTCATCAATCATTAAATAATCAGGGCACTGGATTGTCGTTATCTTGAGGCACGGATGCCCTGAAAACTCATACTTCCGTGTCTAGGTGCAATTAAAACCCGTCTGTCCCGATCTTTCCATCATCCCGCATACCCCGAGGTAAACACAATAATTTTTGCCATTAGCGCATAGCGCCTCTCAGAGGGACATGATTACGACACCTCTGTAGAGAAGGCAGGCAAATCTGTTTTAGACGGCGCATTTTTTTTCTAAATATCACCTCTTAATAACTTCGTTATTCTCAATTGTTTCCGTGGTAATGCTCAAAGTTCTTGCCACCATGTAATTTGCTTCTCTCCAGAATTTTCAAACTGCTATTTGATAAATTGTTTTCCGTTTGAAATGAATTCGAAACGAAGCAGCAACAAACAATGTTTAAACATTTGATCATTATTATAATTAAACATAATTATTTCACATCAAGAAAAATTACCGTCAGTAGGTGCCGCATTTTTGAGTAATTGAGGTATAGGAAATCAGAGAGAAAGAAACAATGAACACGGCATCAAATGGTGGAACGCCGAGAAGTCGTTTCAGCTTTACCACGATTGCTATCGGTTGCACAACCACTCCGGTCAACAGATCTGTTCTCGCCAAACAAGCCAGAAGTATGTAGGGGTTGTTTTGCAATTGGCGCCCCTACCTTTTTGTCAGAAATGTTTGCACTAGCGTCACTTTGCAGAGTATCTCCACTTACGGAAGCTACAAAACGAAAAAAAAAACTCACAATATTACATCACTTAATACCCCTTAGGAATATATTAAGTTTCGAGCATTCGCGGTCCATATCAACGTTATCAGTCTGTAGTCAATATGGGGGAAGATAGGGGGAGATAAACTCGATTCCAAGTTTGATAAGGAGGCCAATTATTTCAAGACATGCAAACCTTGACGTAGCTCGTTTCTTCATATTTTCACCCTGACACCAAGTTATTCTAGCTTTGAGACATTAATGAAAGAAAATCTTATCGTGAGAGCACAGAAATAAACTCGCTTGACTTTTGACATAGCATTTTCTTTTTCTCATCTCTCGAAAAACCCGAGGAACCTAATTTTGACAATCTACTACCTCCTATTGGGCTTCCTTGCCACACCCCTAAAAGTCATATCGTGAAAAAGGCCAAGACTGTTTTATTAAACTGAATAAACACAGTTAAGGTGGAATACAAAGCAGTGGTTTGAAGGTGAAAACATACATGTACCTGTCTCTGACGTCTCAGCTACTGTTGCTGGAGGTTTTATTAACTTGTTGTAAAGGCGAGTGAGAACAGCTTCGCTTCCATCACAGAGGTACTAAATTACAAAACGATGAGAACACCATAACAATAAGATGTCCGCAAAAATATTTCAATTCAACAACTTTATCAAGCATCCTGTGCATTAACTTTTGGAAATCTTCTCTCTCTTTTTTTATCACCTGGTTACTGAAAGATTCAATCTGAATGGTAAAATGCAAATGATATCAATTTCAAACTTCATCGAAAGTTGGATAATTATAGCGAGGGATGCTACTTTGTTTGGCGCAAAATTTGAACTGAAATCGTGGCTGCACTATGGCAACCACCCCCCTCCCCCACCTCTCCCTCGCTAGATCAAGATTACAACTTCGTCAAAAACAATTGAAAATCCATGCGAAAAATGTATGACATTCCCGTCGCCTAGTTCACCATTAAAGACTACGCATTTAGCAGTCAGTGAGGTAGAATATAGGAATTTCAACATAACTTAAAAGTTAACCTTCAAATCCAATAAAAGCGGCATCATTCGAAGGGATTTTGCATTTCAACTCTTGAGAACAACCGGTAAGTACCAAAAGTCGTCCTAACCCATACCAATAATCAATGAAATAATCAGTTTACTTCATTAAAAAGTTGGTGCATATCATACGTTGTAAGCTGTTAGCCGAGAGAAAAAAGTCGCTGGATAAGCACTTACATCTCTGAGCTGTGAGCACGTCCTTTCGTCATAAGCAGCAATCAGAACATGACCAGGTCCAACTGTAAAATAAGGCAAAACAAAACTAATCACGCAAAAACTCACAAAAGAAACCGCAGGAAAATCCGTATATCGTATAGTCTTTCAGCATCTTGATGTGCGTCTGGTCTCACTTATTGTACTTCTAGACATGATTATGCACTAGTGACACTCAATAAATTCACAGAACCACGAATTTCTGGCAAAGACAAGCAACAGAACAGAAGCTTTGAAATGACACCAGAATCAAGGACTAATCTTCTGTAAAGACTATCAATGACAATTCTACACAAAGTTTCTTGGTTCTCAAAGATTCCTCTCGTTTTTTCCCAACATCAAATTTGAAGGGTGCAGAGAGATATCAAACATAGATCTCGAGCGTGGAAAATCAACTTCAGGTTAATCTTGGCAGCTTTACGGTTCAAAAAGGAAAAAATATTTACGGAAATATCAATGCCGAAAATTGCAGTGCTTCGCTAATTAAATACTTCTTCCAAAGGCAATTGAAGATATAAGTAATTCTCAGAGCATTTGACAAGCTACGACGAAAAAGAATCTTTTCTTCGTCTTTTCAAAGTTTAAAACACTGACCAGTTTTAAACATTGGGAGAAAGTATTTTGCACGGCACTCTTTGCCCAAAAAAAAATTGGAATAGAAAGCGAACGACGATAAGATCTTTTCAGTCGTAGAAGCAATTTAAAATCATTGATTGACGTAAAAATCACAGACAATCAAACGAAATACAGACAGTAAGTGTAACAGGTACATTTGTCATTATCAGCATCATCCCGCTCAATCTCTGCTAACACTTCTGACACAAGCCTCCACTTCGGACTCTCCTCCAGAACTAATTCCTCTGTTAATGGAAAGCAAACCAAAGAAAGAAAAGAGAAGAAAGAAAAAATGTCACAAGTTGTTCTTCTACATAACATCAACTGCTAAGTCTTATCACAAGGTACTCAGTGAGCAAGCAAGGTCTGCTAATTCTGTGATCTGACTGGTTACACATGCACCAGCTAGATGACCTCCTCCACTCAAGATTGCGCACCTTACCGGCTCAACGCGTTCTTAGATTCTGGAAAAATCTTCTTAAAAAAAGGGGTATTCAAGGATATTTACAGCAACAGAAGGGCGAATAAAACTGCGATCAATCTTCCCCGATGGTAACTCGTTGGACAAGAAGACAGAAGGCCGCACTTTCACTGTTGCTAACCACTTCAATTTCCTCCTTTTTTGTCTTTGTTTGATTTGTCCTGTTTTGCTTTGTCTACTGTAAAAGTTAACAGCCTGCTAAGAATACAGCCGCTTAGAGTCTTCTGTCACAATACTTTCTATACATAACTTGTCTTTTTTTCGGCTGAGAGAAGTTGCAAAAATAACAAAAGTTATCTGCTACAAACCTTTCTGATCCTTGTCATCGCTGTAGCCTCTGCAGAAGAGAGAGATAGTGAACTAAGCACAGTTGGAAGAAAAGGGAAAAAGAGAAATTTTGGGTGCATCCAGTGTGAAGTCTCCTAACCCTTTAACCCCTAAGAGTGACTAACATCTAATTTCTCCTTACAATATCACCCCTGAATTAAACATTAAGGTCATGAGAATAAGGGAGATGATCACCAACAAAAGAAACTCTTGATTGTTGAAAAAATTCTCCATGTCAGAACCCGAGGAAATGTCAAGGGATAAGAATTGAGAATATGCATGCTGATGTTAGGGATTAAAGGGTTAACACATTGTTCATAAGATCACAACTCATAATCAGTATTCACATCACTTAAATACGTTTCGCAACACAGATAATCATAGTCAACATACATTCATGCATATCACGGTGATCAATTCCCATGAAGGAGTCCTGCTCAAGATAAGATACTACATCCAGCAAGTCGAGAAAATACACTGTATAACCTTTTGAGTAAGACGAGTGCTTTAAAGACCCAGCCCCTCAGCTTGATGGGGGAAAGAAGGGAGGGGGGGAAAGAAATCAGATCAGAAGATATACACTTGTCACCAACAAGAAGATTTAAGCCCCCAAAAGACTATCTTCTTCCTTAATTCCACGTCAACTGTGTTCACATTAGAAGCCTACATTGTGCAAAGAGCAGTATTGGCAACAGAATGGGAATACTTAAGAGAATATTCACTTACTTAGAATTTTCTTCCTTCCGTTGTGATGTTTCTCCTTTCATTTTCTTGTTTTTACTTTCAGTAAATTCAATAACCCTTGCCTTTGCATGCTTTAAAAAAGAATTTAAATTAAAGTATTGATTATAAATATATGGAAATCATAATAAGTGCACTGCATTTGAAGAAATGAATATAGAATCGGTCCTCACAGTTATGAACACTACTGAAATAGTAGTTGAAATAAGGCCTGAAAAAGATTCAGGTCCGTACGGGATTTGAATCCATAACCTCTGCGATACCAGTGCAGCGCTCTACCAACTGAGCTAACAAGCCAACTGGGAGCTGGTCATTATGCTGGATCCAAATAAACCTTCCAAGTGGTGAATAATGACTGTAAATATATGAAAATCATATATGTGCACTGTAGTTGAAGAAATGAATATAGATTGAAGCGATCCTCGCAGTTACGAACACTACTGAACTAGTAGTTGAATAGGGCCGGGATTTGAACCCACGACCTTTGCGATACCAGTGCAGCGCTCTATCAACTAAGCTAACAAGCCAACTGGGAGCTGGTTTTTATGTTAGATCTAAATAAACCTTCCAAGAGGTGAATAATGATTGTAAATGTTTGAAAATCATACATGTGCACTGCAGTGGAAGAAATGAATATAGGAGTGATCCTCGCAGTTATAAACACTACTGAACCAGTACTTGAAATAAGGCGACCTGTATCACAGAGGTCATGGGTTCAAACCCCGTACGGGCCTGAATTTTTTTCAAGCCTTATTTCAACTACTAGTTCAGTTGTGTTCATAACTGCGAGGATCGCTTCTACATTGATTCTAATACAAAACTACGACTAAATATAACCTGACAGAAAAACAGCTTACCACAAACAAGGAATCTGCAGCATCCATGAACATCCAAAGTGAATGATTCTTGACATCACGTTGACTAGCTCTGATGGTGCATTGTACATTTTGCATGTTAACACATTACAAAAACAACTCAGTCAAAATGTATCTTTTCCTAACAGATGGTTTGTCATATCATGGGAACGGTTTAAACCACACAGGCAAGGAGGCAAACTAGTGGGGTATTTTGTGAGTATGGTATATGAGTTAAAACCAAGCACTGGACAAACTACATGTAATATTATATGGCAAGTTGAATTTTTCCCTCATCTACGGGTAGATTTAAATTTATTCTTACTTATGATTGATTGGAGGACAGACACATTGATAATGTTACCATTAACAACATTCTGCCTTTTTATCACATAAAAAATAGATTCTTTTTTGTCATAGGTTTTGTACAGTAAAACATCAAAATGTAAAAAGGACGTAAGTGACACACTTGGCTGAACCACTTTTTTCTTCCTGTCACATTTTCACATCATCTGTGATACTGAACAGACACATCCAATGTCACCCTGTGGGCTGTGAGTGCAATACATGAACATGTATGCTGGCCTATCCACCATGCTATATAACTTTTACAGTAAATCCAAAATATGTTTACTTAACACATTTTATACATAAATGAAGGAAAATGTGAATGCTGGAATAATTATAAGTACATGTTAAGTATACCTGAGTGATTCCAGAAAGTTGTAAAATGTCACACAGTCATATTGTGTAAGATAGCTGTGATGAGAGAAATAATTATGATTATCATAAAGATTAAAGTTAGACTGAATTATTTCAAATTATTATTTTCTGGATGCATTGGTTAAAAATAAAGCCATCCCAAATGCAAATTTCCAGTAACTTTCAGAGAGAGGTGGCCCATACTTAGAAATCAGTAAGCCTGGCTACCACTATTTAAATCAACAGTTTAACTGTCTTAAGTACTTGAATATGTATGCAATTACAGTAGGATAAGCCGGAGAACTTTAAGATCAGCAACCAACTGTCTTGTCTTGTTTCCCTACAACACACAAATGCATACAATTATCACTGATAAGGAAATTGAAAGCAATTTCACAAAAAAAAAGAAAAGGACCACAAGCCCCATAAATGCCAGTTAGTTACTAATTCTTTCCTAATAACCTAAGGTCTTTGCATTTTAGCAACTTACATTGAGTAAATCAGTCATTATTTTCTTTTTTTTGCTCTTTTTTTCCCCTAGAACTGAACAATTTGAAACTGACTGAGTAAAGGAAATCTTAACATAGAGTCTCACCAGTTGATGCCAAACAGGATTAAGTTGAAATCTCAGGATTTTGTCAAAGGATTTGCTGATACTGTTCTCCACAGTCAGATCATCTGCATCAAGCTACATAAATTAAGAGAGAAAATCATGGTATTACTCATAAAAAGCATTATCATGAAGTTTCTCCACAACTGGTCCATTTTCAAAACTTTTACCTATAAACTTAAAATCTATTCACTTAATATCTTCTCTACAATTTTTAATTTCTTCCAACTACTTTGAAGCTTGTCTAAAATCCTAGCAAACAATTTTTTCCCAGTTTCCTTCCTTCTTCACACAATTTTATTTGGTGCAAAAAGGCTTCCAATGTCATGACGAAGTTCTAAACCAACCTAAACCTTTCTAGCATGACAAAATGAAATGGTATTGAAATTGTAATTAATTCATAGTTATTAACAGGGGGGAGGCATCTAATACGATCTACAATAACTTCACCCTTCAATTATCCACATCCGAATAATTCAAGACATCATCAACAATCTCTTGACTAAATGTTAGATTGTAAATGATGTAGACAATCTCTTTCTTTGTCAAAAAGACAAAATTTTCATTAATGCAACAAGAGACTCACTGTTGGATTTGCTCTCTTCAGTTCCTTAAGGCATGTATTGATCAGATCAAGAGCTGCTGTTTGAATTGCCAACATGGAAGGTGTTAGATGGAGATGAAGCTCAATAACCTCTGGCTTAAAAGCAAAAATTTGTACAAATCATTACTAACAGAATGAAACACACTGAGCATTATTTGATTCTTTGACAGTGTGTAATTGTCAGGTGAGTGTAGAGACAAACCATGATGACTTGTTAATAAATAATAAGGGATGAGAGTCTATCCTACTGTAGGTTACTCCATATATTTCATCAACTTTCCCAAACCACTGACTTCCCACATTCTTTCAGAAAAGCAGTGCCCAAGGACACAACAAATTGACTAGTGTCCACACTAAAACAAAGACTTAAATCTTGCAAACCCATAATCAAATGTGTTAAACCTGTTAAAACTTGGACCATAGCAATTCCAAAAGCCACCTCTGATGGAATTCTTCATGATTAAAGTCTAAAATGTGCCAAATTAGAGGTGGACCAAACTACGTTTGGTGATATATTTTTGGATTTCACATCGTATCCTCACCTTCACTTATTTGAAGTCCCAATACTCAATGACTAAGCATTTATATATGTCCAGTCACTGATAGTTAGTTTTCAGGGAGACATTTTTAAGCTTAAAAGATTCAAGCAGATTGGCTGCCAAAACTCCAGAACATACCTTGTGTTTTTCCAGAAATGCTGAAACTGTTGCATGAAACCTAGATTTAAAAAGAACAAATATATTAAAAGAAAGATTAGATTAATGCTCACTCAATATCATAAGGACTTAAGTGCTCAATTTTATTGATAATTATTGTTTCTGAATAAATAATCCCAGAAGAATCCCTAATCCCTAATCCCTAATTCTACACAGAACAGCAGTTCTGTTGTATTTTACACATGTCAAATTATGATGCCATGAAATTGTTAATCGTTGATCTTCCAAAATTAATTAAGAAATACAAATCAGTTCACAATTATACACTGGACACAAATTTGGACCAAACTACTCTTCCTTAGGTGCTGGTTCCATATATCAGACTACATGTAATTCTTATTCAAATACAAATTTTCTTTAATATGCAAGTCAATTTTATTTCTGTTTCCCATACCTAGGCCAAAGATATAGTCTTCTTACAAATAGATTCTTCATCACTTTTTCCACTTGAAAAAAACCTGAAGTAAAAGCCTGAGGATTGTCTGATAAGGCTTTGATGAAACCAGTCTGTAGAGAATCAAGCAACAAAGTCAATCAATAGAAAAAAAGGGCTTAAGAAGGGCAGAATGAGGTGTACAACAAACTTCATCTGTATACGGTGTACATGTATATGCACATGTCCTTGTACATTACACATCAATAACCCACTAAGTACATTTTACATCAATTAAACCATCTAATTCACAACCCATCTCTTTCCTTTCCTAGTGCAGTACCTACAATAATGAAGAACTGTTAGTAGTACCCACATAAACTCTTGTAGTGGCTATATAAAGTATAATTACATGTACTGTAGTACCAACATGAAGTATTGTTGTACCTACATGAAGTGTTATAATAAATTTGATTTGGTTATCTCAAAATGACAATCAGATGGAAGTGGGGCAACTCCTCATCCAGAAGGGGAATTGATAGTTGCTTGACAGTGACACCAAATGAGCCTCAGAGTGTTTGTGGGTCATTAAGAGATGTTGTCATTTTTTTGTTGTTCTTTGTGGCAATCATGAGTCATAGATTATCAGACCCCTCTACAAGAGTGTGATATAGATCTAGATTCCCCATTCCTCATACATAAAGCAACATTTTTTCTTCTATGAAATAAAAAGGGTATATATACTGTATATACATGTACCGATGCTGTGTATGTAATAAATTAACAATAATCAAAACACAATTTACTAATTGGTTGAACCAATTATTATCATGAGATTCAAGAGGGACACTATCTTTTTTTTAAAAAACTCGATAATACTATTAACACCTTCAGGTGATAAAATTCAGTATCTTTATTAAATCAATGAACATAAACAGTACTTCACCTTATTGTTTTCTCTATATAATCGAAGAATGAAAGCCTCCTGACAAGATTCTATTATTCTAAGCAAATAAAAACATATTTGATTGATTTCAGTTTAAATTTAAAGTGCAAACTGAAAATCAAACAATTGGGATGTCATGCAATGACTTCACAACAACACTGAATTAAGCATTGCTATCTTCAATTTTTTTGTCAAGTGCTTTCAGCCTAATGTTATCATGTTTGCAGTCCAAGTCAGGGTTTTCATTGAGTCCCTGTAAAGAGTTTCAAGAGCTAACTTAAATTTTGAAACTCTTTACAATAGCCAATTTACGTTATCAACCCAGTTGACGATATTTAATTATTCTGTTCTACTCTCTTACTGATGCAGCACCACAGTTTATTTAGAAACCTACCCCCTTTTTTCATTAGGTCTCCTGTGCTAGGCTGGGAGATTTGGTGACCTAAGGGCTAGTGTACATGACTGGAGTAGAAAAGTCTGTCTTTGAGACCTAGCCAGGTCAATCATGGTGTTTTTATTTCAAGTACACTTTAATCTCACAGAGACACTAGCCTAATGTTCAGTGAGCTGGACTCCAGGTCAAGAAGTCCAGGTACAAGAACTGACCAGGTCATTATGTTGTGTTCTTGGGCAAAATACTTTACTCTCACAATGCTTTGCTCCATCCAGGAGTATAAATGGGTAGTGGCTAACTGTCAGCAAAGCCCAACTGGAGAAGGGAGGGGGGGGGTAACCTTGCAGTGAATTTTATCCAGGGAGGAGAAGTAAATTACTCCTGATCACTTCATGCTATGAAACCAGGATAAGCTGCAGCCAGATGAGTTACCAGGCTCAAGTACAGTGCCTAGTATCCACACAAGAATGCAAATGAGTACCAGAGAACTGCTAGGGAAGTCAGACAAAAATAAATGCTAGTAAGCAGCCTGATGTTAACCTGTGACTCTATGCAATAAAAGCAGGATAAGCTCCAGAACTATATAGTACCACTAATGGCTCAAGAGCACACTTTACCTGGTGTTATTAAACAAATTGTCAACTGTAGCAGACTGAAACTATTACATACTTGTGAGCACGTAACACAACAATTCCTGTTACCAGATGAATGGGCAGCTTCTTTGTCAGCATGTCTACAACCAAGATTCTTGAAGTGACAAAAAGGACACCTCCAGAAAGATACACAGACTCTCTACAAAAACAAACATTTAACTTTTACACAACAAGCAACTGGACATTGAAAGGCTCTTTTGAATGACTAAAATGACAGTTTAATTGTTTACATCATAACATGTATTAAATATTCTCCACACTATTTTCTAAACATTTCCTTGGGTAATGACAAGTACAAATTGTTTGACAATCAAGAGCTTCTTATATTCTTTTGGTAATTATTTCTGGTACTCTCATGAATATTACTTTGAGTCAAGGGAAATACAACAATAAGAAATAGAGGCCAATTACTTGCAGAGGTTACAGGGTTTTTTGCCTATTTCATGCAGGTGCTCAAAAGTTGAGTGGATTTTTGACAAGTTACCATTTTTTAAGTACAGATATATCTTCACATTTTAATTACAGGTCTCCCTGTTGGCTTAAACTTAGTCTTCAAATAACAAAATAAGAAGTAACCTCTCTCCTCTCTAAGGAGTTGATATAATAATGACAATTGCCTCAGTAGTAGGCTAAAAGCTCTTAACTTGCAAAGTTTTTAGGATAAAAAATTGAGTCACGTTACTTAATATATTGACAGCAAGTACTCAGTCTCTTAATCATTCACTCTCAAGATCAGACTGTTAATTCTCATGTCTAACTGCTATGCAATTCCTTTCAAATTAGTGTTCAGAATTTGATGTTAGATCAAGATAAACTCTACCAGATAAGTTTCCATATTCTTATTACCTGGGAGAAATTAAATGTTAATCACTTAAAGGGTTAACCACTTTAATTAGAACCTTAATTTAACCTTAGCAGTACCCTCCTAACAAAATGCATGTTTTCAGTTTAATATCAATATCATCATAAAAGCAGATATTATTCAAAAAGCAACAAGGGGTCATTTCATGATATAAAACATACCTCTCTGAAGAGGTGAATTCAGTGGTGATAACTTTTGGAAGTGGAACATCTGAAGACTTAAGTTCATCAAGAATATAGTCCTGCAAACAATAAGCAATTATTGGATGAGGTTGAGCATGATATCACTAATTATCAATGCCAAGGTCTAAATTACTAGCCAAAGCTGAACACTGAGGCAGACAACAGTGACACAAGGTTTGATAATTCATATTATGTAAATACCGAATTTTAGATTTCTTTTAAATAATCTGCAAAAGAAGATGCTTCTCTCTGAGTTTACAAAAGTTTGATATCACTACATGGATGAGGGGCTTGGAAACTAGGCAGACATTGAACTTGACATGATAACCCAATATCTGCTGCTGCAAATTATTAGTAATAAGTAGTTTTTTTTCAATTACGTCTTGGCCATCTGTTGTTGCACATGCTATTTGTAACTTACTTCAGCTATCACTGTGCCTTTCATCCATAAACCTCAGCGATGAATGCAAATACTGAATTTGAGAACAACAATGAAAGGCACTACATGCAGTATAAAATTATCATTTCAAAACTCATAGCAAATTTGACAAGATTGGACAAAAATTGTGCGAGGCTTCCAATTTTCAAGGCACCTGTACCACTTGCTGCCCCTATTTTAGGGTTGCTTAAGGAGGCCATTGACCATCTTGTGATTTCTTTGTATTCCTCTTAAGTTTAACTCCACATCAGCTTGACACCTGTTCTGATTAAGTCTTCATTTTCTTTAAGTTTTGTACATGTATTTGCCTAGGAAAATCTAAACTTGTTGACAAAAGCAAGGTATTTGCAGTTTTTACAAGCAGCACTATTGACCACTGCTAAGTTAAAGGAAAAGATCTCTCTATATTTTTTTAACCTGTTGTTGTTGTTTTCTTTTTGTTGTTGTAATTGTTTGTTTGTTTATTTATATATTTTTTACTAGTTTCATCGGCTTCTCTAAAAATAAAATTCTTTCCAGTCCTGCACAAAAGGGTGTCATCCATTGGAGGGGAGGAGGGGAGTTAACGATCAAAAATGTTGTCTTATTTTGTTCGGATAAATCGCAGCCACATAGGAAAATTTCGACCCAGCTGACAACATTGTACGATTGGACGGGGCTTTTCTTTACGCATCGTAATGATTGATGCGGAGATTTTAGTAAGTTTCATTCAATTTATTCCCACCTAGACTCAAGAAAAAGGAATAGGACCTACCTCTTCCTGATCTGTCGTGTTGATCACAAGGACTAAAGATATTGAGGAAGGATCGCTCGTAACACAATGAATCTTCAGAAAACTCGCGATAACTCGCTCAAAACTCAAACCCCTACAAGCCACAAATAAGCAATAATGAGGTGCGATAGAGTAAAATAATTGAAGCTCTTCTCGCTGGTGTACTTACTTGGCTGTGACAAACAGCCCGTCATCATCCATAAGCTCAAGGAACATAGCGTTTTCATATTCAGATAATGCCGCCATTTTGGTAGTCCAGAAATTACCGCTGGCCAGGGAAACATCGCTCATTGCTTCTCGAACCCAGGATGTGCGGTAACTTGCCCTAATGATTCCTGCACTGCGTGATAAGAGTAACCATGGAAAAACGAGTGATAGATCCCTCAAAAAATAAAAAAAAATACTAACTGTGACTAACAAAGTCATATGAGTTGAGTTCTAGCGAAAGCAGCAGAAAAACAGCATGGCTGCCCGAGAGCTAAGGAAAATATTCGCGTGACTTCATAACCATACGGTATAAAAACTTTCCGATGTTTACTTGAGGCCTTGCCCTGTAAACTTGATGTTTGTTTTATTGAAAAACATGGTACGTTTCCCGTTTTTTCGAGAGCGATCATGTAATGATCACGAGAATTTCATTAAATATACTAGGATCCAACTCCGACTGATTTTCAGCTGAAGCACTCCCATAGTAATCATGCAGTAAAAGCAAAGCCAAAAACCACTTCCACTCTGTCTATGACAGTGGACTCAACGAGTAGTTGTCTTCGAAAAGAATGAAACAAGCCCTGTTGGCAAAACTTCGGTCAGATTTTCCATGATATTTATGACACGTTCGTCAAATGTGGGGGTCAGTTTTGAGTTATTAGTAAAATTAAATGAATAAAGGGGGTAAGTTTCTGTAGAAATTGTAGTGATGCGTCGGTGGGAGAGTATAACAGGGTAATTTAGTATTCGTCAGAATGAAAGACGAAGGGCCAACGCTCGAAACGTCAGCCTTAAACTCTTTACGGTGGCCAATTCACGTTATCAACTCAGTTGATGACAGGCAAGTCGAAGGTCGTCTAATCATTCTCGGAAATGAAGGTTGGATACGATCCAAAGAGGTTCGTGGATGAGTGAATAATCATTCTCTCTCGAAAAAGTACTGCTCCCCGAGTAACTAAGTTGTGTCACCGTGTTAATAAGATTGTCTATTGTCCTGAACACGCTGCACCGCCTCAATTTTTATTCTTAAAATCTTAATATGCGGCAAGACCTAGATTATAGGCAAATTTAGCAAGTTACGTGATTTGTTTAACTTCATATGTACAGTGTCTTTTTTTATTGCAAATGCACTCTACACAAAATTGTACTAATAATTTTTCAGAAAAAATAGCCCATCTCAGAGGAGGGATTTTTTTTAACTGAAAGGAGACACTACACACCATCTTATGAAGCGAATGGGTGGGTGAAAACTGACTGAGGAGACTGAGCTGGAAAAGCCGAGAGGTTCCCCTTCATCATTCCATGTCCCGTGTAAATCCTTCACAATCTTCCTCTGTTTGTGCTTACCAACACCTGACATAGGTAAGTCACGTTATGAAATAGAATCATAAAAGTGGGCGATATACTGAAGTAACAATCGAACGAAGGGAATCCTAAAAGTGCACGAGATTCTAACGAAAAAATACAACGAGAAAAAACATTTAAAATTGTGCGAAAGGCAAACATCACCACTGAATGGAGGAAACTCATTGAGGTGCACGAGATTCTAATGAAACAATACAACCAGAAAAAAATTTTAAAATTGTGCGAAAGGCAAACGTAACAACCGAATGGAAGAAACTCATTAAGGTGCGCGAGACATTATCTTAATAATCCTATGAAAGAGAAACGTAAATGTGTTCGAGACACTAACGCTACAATCCAATGAAAGAGAATCCTAAAATTAAGCGAAGGAATAACGTTATAATCGAATGCACTAGAATCGAATCTTAAGGGCGCGCGAGATAGTACCGCGACAATCGATCCGCGAGTAAAAAAGAATCTTAAAGGTGCATGAGATACTAACGTAACAATGGGGAAAGAAAAGCCTTAAAGTGTGCGAGTTGTTACGTTACAATTGCCAGTATGAAAAAGAATCCTTAAAATGCGAGAGATCATGACTCACGTTACAATCGATTGTTTCCGCTTTCAATTGTTACGTTAAAGTAGCGTGCGAGATATTTACGAAACAAGCGAATAAAAGAGAATCCTCAAAGTGCGCAAGAAACAGAGAATCATACATGGGTGCGCGTAGATATGGAATTTCTCTTCGAGTGTTTGACTCGATAGCTCGGGAGCGAGCGCAGCGAGCGAGTGAGATGTCGACTTTAACACAAGAACAGAAATTTCATATCTACAAACAACCATATATTATTTTTTTGACTGTAAACACAATAGCCCTTTACTGACAATAAAAGCCGACTTTATTAAAGAATAAAAATAAGGAAACGACAATTCCCGAATAAAAATCGCATAGGAAAAAAGATGGAAAAATACGTTGAATGATGATTACAAAAACAGCAATGGGCGTAATTTTCAACTCACAAAATTCTCATTTATTGACTTTGTCCTTACCGACAGAGGAAATCTTTCAGGTAAACGGCCAAATCGGCTTGTGGCAAATCTTCCAATTGTCGATTTTCGTTCTCAGCCGCGAGAAATGCCTTAACCAAAGCCACTGAATACGTAACTCTCGGTTTTTCTTTTCGTATACTGGTTTTCTTTCGCTTCTTGGAAAGTTTGAACTTCACTTTCTGTAAGTGATACGGATTTTTCAGCGTTTTAAGCCTCCACATATAATCCGAGAAAATTCCGACAAACGACCATGTATTGAAAGTGGCGAAGGCTTTGCCGGTCATCCATCAACCTGACCGCGTGGCGCGAGTGACGTATAAGCAGCTGATTGGCGATATCAAATACACGTGAAAAAAATATCGTATCTTTTCACGTTACGGCTTTTCTCGGGGCTGGAAATCCTTGTATAACACCGTAGTTAATACGATAAATAAAGGTAACAATCCAATGAAAGAGAAACCCGATAGCGCGCGAGAAACAAACGTTTTAATACGATGCAAGAGAATCCGAGAGGTGTGAAAACATATAATTAGGTTTGAAGGAACTTAATTTGATTACCAGGAACAAATATTGAATTCAAGTATTATTTCATTAGCATATAACTGGCTTTTACAGTCTGTCTATTTCAGTTTCCATAACAACACAGTCTGACTTTAGAATTGTGCATAACACATTATTCCACATCACACACTGCTGAGCTGAGTAACTTTGTAAAGAACTATCTGAGATGAAGCAGTGCTCAATTGTGACTGCGATCTGTTAGTTCCTTGTCTTCGGAGAGCACCAAAGGACGGAGGAATTCTGATCCATTTGAAGACATTTTTGATCTGTTTCAAGAACACTCCTTGCCTAAAAGCACCCAGAATTGGATTTATGCAGGAGTTTAGGCCAAGACAAGCAATGGGAAACCAAAATCCGAACACAAACAGAATCTGATTATGGCGGTCACTCCTCAGTTTAATCTTATCGTGGATATCTTCAACGGGTACAAAGGTAATGATCAAAATCATTGGTGTTAAAAGTAAGATAAAATTGCTTCCAACAACAAGGGCAATTTTCTTGAGGATGGTGGCTTCCCTTTTCACCCCCAATTGAGAACCTGAGTGGCGAACAAATAGAAATATCCGCACGTATAGCGGGATATTAGCGATGTAAAATGCCACGAGAACGCACAAGCAGATAAGAAATGTGTCTCGTCCCGCCACTGGGAAGCTGCACATCATTGTTGCGCTATAAGAGAGATTGAGAAAGTGAAACTCAGGAGAAATGGCGTATGCGAGCGATAGAACCCAGCAAAACACCAAACACATCGTAGCCACCTTTTTCCCCAAACGTCTGTCGGGATTCATGCAGTGTACTATTGAACAATACTTTTCCACAGTTAATAGAAGAGAAGTAGCTGCTGCAACACATTCGGCTGAGGTAAATATGGCAGTAGCAAGCGGACAGAGAATTCCATCCCCAAAAACAAGCTTCTCGACTTTCTTCTCAAGCTGAACACTGGAGAGAAAACTGAAAATGTTCAAATTGCCAATGATTATGGAGTAAATCCCAATTAACAAGTCACATAGCGCCATGTTGAAAATCAACAACATGGATGTTGTTTTGCGAAGAGATCTCGCAAGAATGATAGTAATTAGGACTATCAAGTTGAGTAGTATGGCAACTGCTCCCATCACATACGAACTGTAGAATAGTTTCTTCGGAAGGTCGATAGTCTTAATGTTTTCGTCGTGCTTGGGGTGTTTGATCGCCAGGGCAGAACAGCTCTTATGTAGACAAAATATCAAATATCCATGCTCGAAAAATTTCTTTGTTGGTCTTTCATCATTGTGATCCACGTTTGGTGCTAATGAAAAAGGTACCTCTGCCTTGAACAATGTACAATTCGCGCATTTGTCGCTCCAGGTTACACCCAAAACAGTTACGAGAGATGGAATTTTCAAGATGTTACTATCTGGTGTCCAGACACTCCCGGTCACGACTAAGGTCTTGAGGTTTGGAAGCTGGCTGATGACGTTACCTTCCCATTTGTGAAGTGGGTTAAAGCTTAAATCTCTGAAATGTCAAAGGAATTGTCATAAATAAAAAAAAACGTAGAATCTACATTTACATGTGCCATGCTAAGTACTTTGACAAACCAAACTATTGTAAATACACTTACATGGGCCCTTCTAGAGTTTCAGGTTTCGCATAAGTTCCGTTCTCTGGTGAGCACCCCCCCCTCCACACCCTTTCCTTCTGCTTCCCCCCGGCCAGAAGTCCAAATTTTTAATATAAAATAGGTTACGTTTCAGTGCAAATATACTTATATTCAAAGCTTACACTAGTTTTTGTTCGAAATATGTTCGTTTTTTTAACAATACAAGTGCACCAGTTTTCAACATCAATAGTTGAAAATGAAAGCCGTGGGAATTGAAAAGCCCTCGTTGACCAATCACAGCATTTATATATTTGTGTAGTAGATTTAGCAGCAGGAACGTGACAGACTCTGAAAGAGGTTACATAGATTTAAAATTAATCAACCTCGTCTCTAACACGAAGTTGTGGTGACTGCACGAAGGTAAGTTCAGTGAAAAGAAATACATTTTTCCAATATGGCATTGAACAATGGAAAATTTAAAAGCTTAATCTTCTGCCTTTCATATTTCAAGTTTATTCAAGCAATTGCCTTTTCTGTTATATCTCATTTTAAGAAAAAACATTGGTATCCAATCATTTACAATTAGCATATTAAAAAAGCCCTGAAATTGAGACAATATATATACTCACAGAAAAGTTACATTGAATAACCTTCCAAAAGCACCATCTTTGATAACGGATATCTGATTGTAAGCTAACGACCTAAAACCAAAACAAATAATATTGTTATCATTATCATCACTATCATTATTCGCCATTACTATTTTTTTGGGCGAGACACTCATAGTTCAAATTAAAAAAGACATGAGCGTTTTTCCTTATCCTTCAGGTAAAGAAATGAGGACTGAGATGCACAACTCTTATCAACTGTGGACGCGTTCGAGAGAAACGGAATACGGCTACGGCGCTCTTAGATGATTGTCGTAGAACCAAAGCAAAAGTAAAGGACAAAAATAAAAATTATAGGAAGCCAAAGAGACTTTAAGTCATGTGATAACGACCTTAAGTGCGGTAAAACACGGGTAACCAAGAAAAGAATCTTGGTTTAGCTCTGCTACATTTTTGCATCCTATTGATTGCGAGGGTGCAACAAGTTTTCTAGAAAAAAAAAACATAGGGTGCAGTTGAAGGCACAAATGTAAACCTATACTTCCCCCACACTCTTCTGAAAATTTCTCTTTTCTGCTTTTTTTTCTTTTCGTTTTCTTTCGTCAAGTACTTACAGGTTCACTAAATGAGTTTGATTCACCAGAAAGTCTGTGGGTATGTCCTGTAGGTCGTTCCTCGACAAATCCCTAAGAGATAATGTAAGGTTTGGGGTGGTTAAGGTGTAGTTTAAAAAGTAAATTTTGGATAAACAGCGCGGGCGATATGAAGCATCGTTTCGCCTCAGCCGAGACATGCATCATATCATCTTATACAATTTTAAGCACATTTAAAGTTCCGTCTGCAAATTCAAGATCAAAGCAGTGCAGTCTGGCCCTCTATCGCAAAGGGATTCCCAACCACGCAAATACACTAACTGTTTTTATAAAAATTCTTAACGATTTTTATTGTAAACATTTGGCCAGTGAATGTGCTCTTAAGTAGAACCTCCGTGACAAATATGATACATACGATCGATGACAACTAAGATTTGCTCTGACTGAGAAATTTTTCAGGGAGAAGAATGTTCTCTCGACGAGCACCTCCTAGCGTGTTGCATATACTTTGCACCATCAAGAATTAGATTTGAAGAAAAAAAAAGGAAATTCTGCAGGTGTAAACCTCTTCCACTCTCTGGCTCATACAGTCATTCAGGTAATTGCATCAAGTTTTTTATTTTTTACTATCAATGTTCTTAAGAGTAACAGTTCACACAAGGCCGTGTAACTTACAAGGATTCGAAGAGCACCATAGGATTTGGTGACCCTGTAGAACCATTCAGCTGACATCTAGTATCCCATAATCCTTTTGGTGAACAGTCACAGCGTGCGTCGACATCGCAATGGAAGGTAGAATTGTCGAGGCCCTGGACACCAGTTACCGGATTTCGTAGCAACAGATAAGTGGCAATGAAAAACCAGGGTATCTCCATGTTACTTCGACTAAAAAGAGCAAGAAGAACGTTAAAAAAGACTTTTCTTTTAAAAGAAAAATTGTCTTTGTTTCGTCTCAAGCCTGGAAAAAAGAAATTCCCAGTCCACCTCGACGATTCGAAACGTCTTCTTAAGCTGTAATTACTCAAGAGCTCTAAGCACGGAGTTAAGCGGATTGTTTGCCGGTTGATGTCTATTGTTTAAGTAGTTGAAATTTAACGAGATCCGTTCGTCATTGAAATTCACGGTCATTCATAGAATAATTTCGAAGATAAAGAAGTTATCTTACGCCGGAAAATCGGTCATGTTACTTCAGCGCTCTACTACTCAGAGAATAATATTTTAAGATAAGAGTCAAATAATTTATATTCAGTTACCTTCAAAAGTTTCGACTTGTGTAAAAGCTTTTGAATGATTGATTGGCATATGCCAAATTTTATCAACTACGAGTCTCCTCGGAACTGTCTTTCAACTAAAGGTTTGATCGTAATTCGAGCGGCAATCTCGGACAGATTAACAGGAACACTAAACATGTGCACCTCATCTCCAATTTTTTTTTTTCGCCAATGCATTGAAGAGAGAGTGCGAAGTGGCCACAATGTTCCTTTTAGTTTGTTTGAGATTGAAGTTTGACATGATAAGCAAACTTTAATTTTGGTGTAGCAATCAAGAGTAAACATATTTCTAATCAGAAAGAAACTGAATTTAGTTTGAAATTTGAACCACTTTCCTCGCATTACGCAAATTCTCTCCTTCAAACCCGACGAAATGACCACGTGGAGTTACAGGAAGCAATAAGCGCATTTAAGGAATTGAAACAAATGAAAATTGAAAAATTAAACGATAAGGCAGTGTCACTTTCGATATCAAGAAAAATGAGCACTGATCAAAAACCTTCTCATTTAATTTCTTTCTGGACTTACAGGAAATTAAGTCGAAAACCGATTACCTTTGCATTTTTCTAGCATTGGGCAAATAACGTACATTTTAAAAATATTTTCATCTTTTCTGGTTGAAAGTCGAAAATGGTATTCTTGGCTATTTCTTGGTTATTTTTAACTCGAGGATACAAAAATGTTCATGAACTCAGGCTTACCAAGTGGATAACTTAAACAGTGTTCCGGTCAGTTAAGGCAGTTTTTTAGTCGCGCTTTAATGACATTTAGTTTAGGATTTGATTTTTCATTCATTTCTGTTGAATTTAGCCTTGCAATACTAGGAATAATTCTATTTTTATCGCTTTTATAATTGAAATAAGCGAACTAACAGCACACTTACCGTAACTGATTTTCTCTAGCTCACAGAAATAGCTGTCAAAAGTCAACCAAGCAAACCTGAATTGTGCTTGACTGCAATCAGTGGTAAGATTGAAAATAAAAGTTTGTTTTCCAGCACATGGATGCATAAACAGTCCTCATAAACACCTGTTAGTCCGGATATTGGAGCCCACTTTTCGTCATTTTCATTAGTATTACTTGTTTTTTTTTTAATCTGTACCACCGGAATGGAAGATATCCGTTTCCTTCCCTGCTAGCATTTCGCGTAAATTTTTCATTAAACATTTTGCAAAGTGATGCTGTTTTTTAATCGTCTAGTGTGGATCCAATTTTAACATCCTTTAGCTTGTTCATCTTAATAACTATTTTGACAGTTTCCGCTTGATATTTACAGAGGCGTTCCTCATTGTAATTATTATTTCTTTCCCAGACTGCAGGATGAATTTTATGTAGGAGTTTAATTCAGTTCAGAGAAATGATTTGTCCTTGACCGTTCTGCTTTGGTCAATTTTAAACTCTCTATATTGCACCGGGTTATCTGCTACGTATGTTTTTAGTGAGAATATGGTTCTATATCAAGCAAGCCTTGTCGACTTTTTGTATTCAATTCTTTTCAATTATGTTTCCCTTTACAACAGCTTTTTACTCATACTAGGATTTTTTTATGTAATTACGTACGGTTTAGTCTCAGTATTGAGTGACACTTGCCAGGGTAAACTTTTAATACAAAACAACACTCCAAAAATGATGGGCGCTCATTCATATTTAACTCAGAAAATAGCCGAAAGCCATTTCAGAGTTTTTGTCCTTTACTGAGCTACCTGAATGGTGTTTGCAATTTCTCTTATCTATTGCTACCAAAAGCGTACGAATTTAATCTTCTGTCACTGTACTGAGCCAAATGATCAGCATTTTGGCGAAATCAGTATGTAACCAAGGAAATAGTTCTTGAATATACTATCGAATGAAAGTTTAACGGAGATCTTCGGGAGTAGATTACATACAAATGTTTTTGGTCTGTTTCCATGCAATTCCGATTGATGCGCTCAATTGTGAAAGAGCAGATCGATATTGCTTAACTGATATCACTGAATCCGACACTTGAACATGTAATCACACCAGCTAATGAACGTTTCCATTTTAATTCTTAATTTTACGAATCACTTTGTAAGTAACGTATAAGCTTTTCAAATATTATTAAAAAGACCTCCTTTGTCTATCCTAATGAAATTTTCGGTTTGATAAGTGAGCCTAATGGAAGCATTTTCCTCCCCGAAGGTCTCTTTCGAAACAACGAGCAAACAAATTCTCTCTTACTTTGTCAAGTGACGTCTCTACGCTTCTCCTCCTTCGCCTTCTTTTTCTTCTTTTTCCCCTTTTTCTCTCCCCTAGTAAGATTTAGTTACTGCTGCTATAAAGATAATCACGTTTCTAAGCCGGATCTTTCTTTATCTTTAATTGCATCTATCAGCAATTAAGAATCTACCATTTATTTGAACTGGAAACGACAACCTACTGGTAGTGTTTGTGGGTTGTTGCTTTTTTTTTTCTGGAAGAATCGTTCTCTAAAAATCTACCTCTCAAGATTCAATGAAAGAAACACGATGGATACTCAAAGCCCTGGCTTATGTGTCTACGAATTGCTGAATTACAAGAACTGCGTTCCTTTGGCACTTCAAAGACTCTAATAAAGATTTCTTGTGTACTTTTTACTAAGGGATTTGTTAAAATTCAAAACATACTCCAGATATCCCAGATCAGGGCAACATATACCAGTGAAAAAATAGTCTGTAAATCATTCGAAACTAATAACTCAGTTGGTAAGAACTTGCAAAGGTTTTTCTTGCTTTGAAGATGTTTTTACCGGCTACTAACTTGCTGCTACTTGAATCGTAGGTTTTGAAAATTTACCTTCTTAAGCCAAGAGCACCGTTGAAAACTCGTTGAGAACAAATCTCTCCAATTCAGCAGTTGATACCCCAACTCAAGTCTCCTCGGCACGACAGAATTCTACACTCGTCGTTTTCTACTGCACTCGTTTCATATAGCAACATTTTTACTGGCGCGGCTTCTCATTCTTTTGAAAACAGCTGCCAGTCGGAATTTGACTTACAAAACAAATTATTTCAAAGCAAGGGCATATTGCCAATATCGTGTTAAAAGTTTACAAATTACCTTTTTCCCGTACTTCATAATTGACTCAAACGATCACGACATTGAACCATAAATGCTCAATCTACAATTTTCATTAAGCCGTTCTTTAAAAAATTATTTCTTGCCAAACATCTTCTTAAATCTTCTCCTTTTTCGCTAAAGTGAAAAAAACTGGAAATAAGCCCACTGGTAAAATCGTATTGAAAACAAGAATTCAAGCTTACAATATTAGGCACGCATGATAAACTTTACAACGAAAATAAAAAATAACAAGGGATCATTAAATTGAAGCAGTTATTAAATTTAACTTTTTCCTTTTGATCTCTAACAAGAAAAGATTTCCAAAAACAGAGTTGCATTTGATTCTCGAACTTTATGTTTCATATTTAAAGGTATTTTCTTGACAACTTTTCAGTTCGTGTTTAAATATTTTTCCTTTTTCCAAATCGAACAAGACATAACATTTTTAAATTTCTGGTTAGCACAATGTACTCACAGGAAATTATCCACGACAATAACTAAGAAATGGATTTATTCCAAAAATTAATTTGCAATATGCCAGTGGATTTTTTTAGACATCACAAAATCCGAACTGTCAAGGAACTATCAAATACCTCTGGCATGTGATTACGCCAAGAGAACCGTTGAATTGGTCGATAAGTCCAAAAGAAGATCGCATAACTGAAACGAGAAGGTCTGTACTTATATATGTCACAATTCCATTTGAAATAGGTATCAGCAAGTAAAGAAGAACATAAGTAATCACGTCAGGAATAATGGCCCGGTGTTATTATGGAAAATCTTCCATAGAGATCTTGCCTTTTCCTTCTGTAATGATAAGGAGAGAAGTTGCAGTTTGTTAAGTAAAGGAGAACGTAATTCAATGCATTATAGCGAAACCGTTACGCAGAAAAAAAACTAAAAGAGACTTAAAATGATCAAACAGACAGAAAAGACCAAACAAAAGCAAAAGGGAAGCAGTATACTCTCAGCTTACAAAATTACTGTATTGCTTTCTGAACACTCCTTTCCGTCAAAAAGAAGAGAAAGATAGATTTAAAAGTAAAGAAATAAAAAAAAACATTCACCATGGGAAATAAGTGTTATTATGAACCCGAAAGTAATCATGAAACATTTTATGAATCTTTTTTCACTGCAGTCTCTATGAGCCATTTTAGATTTGCATCACATTGCTATCAGACAATAATTGAAACTGAACGACTAGAAATATACAATTTCTATATGGTGCAATCTTCCTGATGGAGGTTATTGGTCAAGCAATAACTGTATGAATTGTATGTCTACAGTTCATCTGTAAAACAACATTTGGAAAAAAATGGCAGAAGAGAATTTTTCTTGGCTGTCTCCCTCCTCAAGACATTGTTTTTAAGGGATCACAATCATTGACTGCTGTTAAAGTGACAAAAGGACCATGTTCCTCTCTACCCTGGAGTCCACTCCAAAGTTAGACAACTCCAATACCAAAGTCACACCGGCTAAAACACAAGTCTGTGACATGTTTCCATTTCTTCTCCTTGGGATCGTACATATCAACTGCTGTTAAAGTGACAGGTGGAGAATACTCCTCACGAGCTGTCCGCCCACCAAACACATACAACAATCCACTGCTAACTGCTACTGACAGCCCAGCCCTTGGGCTCTCCATAGGTGTTACCTCTGTCCATTGACTTGTGTCCAGGTCAAACCTTTCGACACTAGCCAAGGCTCCTTCTGATTCATTGGAGCCACCTATTGACAAAGCAGTAAATATGACCTGTTACTTGCTGCCTGTGAGGTCTGTACAATGCTTAGAAAAAAAAGAATGGGATGTAAATAGAATAAGAGAGATGGTAAGTTTTGAGCTTGGTAAAGAAATAGGGAGAGATGTTTTTACATCTTGCCATGAGTGTGGGACAAAGAAGAAATCCTGAGTTCACCTCAGAACTTAGGATTCTGAGCTCCAATGCTCTACCACTGAGCCAAGGAGACTCTGTGGTGAGTGAGGTCTATTACAAAGTTCACATGACACACGTCCTGCATACAACCAGGATCAGCAATGTTAATAGCCTCATGTTTGTAAATAGAATAAGAGGGATGGAAAGTTTTTAAGCATTGAGGTTCGATTCCCCATTGGGACTCAGGATTTGTTCTTTGTTTCATGCTTGTGACAAGATGAAAAAACATCTTTCCCCTGTATATAGGTTGTTCTAAATACCAAGGGACTGAAGACCTTACTTGCAAAGGCCAACAATTTTAAGAATTTTTATGTCAATGCTGATTCATTTTCTTTGCTTTGAGCACAACATAAAAATTCACAAAAGTAAAATTTTAGCTTGAAGTAGAGCAATAAGGGTCAATTATTGTGGAGTCAAAAGAATATTCTCGACTATTTTAAAAGAACATGCCTTGGATGGTTTCAAAGTGTATTTCTTGAAAGGAATTTAATATGAAGAATACTAATTCAGTCTCTCTCTACTCAAATTAACACTTTCAATCCCAAGATCTCATAAGTAATTCTCCCTACTGTCTACCAAACAGTTTTTGTGATGTTAGTTTGGAGAATTTGGTATTGGATCAACTAATAATCCCCTAATTATTTTTCTTTTTTCTCACCACCTGTCTACTTGATATAGTATTTTATTGAGAAATATATTGTATATATTGTAAATATATTGTAAATATATTGTATATATTGTAAATATATTGTAAATATATTGTATATATTGTAAATATATTGTAAATATATTGTAAATATATTGTATATATTGTATCACAATGTATTGTAAGGAGAAATTCTGTCTTGGTTACTCATGGGAGTTAAAGGGTTGAGAGAAACTGGTCGAACACACATGTAAAGACAATAAAAGAATCAAATGACAGGAATCTTAAAGTGATCTGAGCATCTGCTGTAAAATTTTTCAGTAACAAAATTTGAAAAACTCAGTTACATGTAATTGTATATTGAGGCAATCTTTTACTATACACAAAGTCAAACTGCTATTACCTGGAATATCTCTTTGTTACCACCCATATTGTTGGTTGCCGATAAAAAATATATGTATACCTTTTTTAACCATTTCCTTTGGTGTTTACTTACCCACGGCATACAAGACGCTACCTAATGTTGCAAGTCCCAGGTAAGCCCTTCTGTGACGCATGTCTGGCTGCCTCATCCAGGAATCACTGACAGGGTTGTAACACTCAAACACCTTAAGTTCCTCTCCTAGGTCACTCAAACCACCTTAAAAATCATATAAGGAACAAAACAAAAATTGAATGGTATTCATTGTGAGTATGACATATTGATGATGGTAAAAATAAGTAAATTTTTTTATCAGTATAATAAAGATTGTTTTTTTCTTTCGCAGTATAATTGATATCAGTTGGCAATTGAGCCAAGTTGCTCATCTGGCCTGACCTTATCCCAGTTATCCTACCATAAAAAAAATTAGTACCATATATCATAAGCAGAATTTACACCCATTTTGATTGGTTCTTACTTTTGACCTATTGGAGGACAGACACATAAATGAGATCACCACTGACAGCATTTTTCTTTTTTGACATATGAAACAAATACATTCCATGAATATCTGTCAAAAAAAGATACTAAAATGTGGCAAAACATTGATGACACACTTGGCTATGCCTCATGTGTCACTTCTTTCTTTACACAGTCAAATAATACCTGAAAGTGACCCACTCTTAGATCTCATGGTTTATTACTAGTCAAGAATAATTAACATTCATTTGATAATGGAAGGTCATTAACCCTTTAACTCTCAAGATTTCATTAGTAATTCTCCTTACTGTCTACCAAACAATTCTCATTATGTTACTTTGGAGAATTTGGTATTGGATCAATTAGTAATCCCATAACTGATGGTTTTCATAATTCTCATCACTTGTCTGCATGGTAATGTATAGATATAGTATGGAGAAATTCTGTCTCGGTCACTCATAGGAGTTAAAGGGTTAAACTAGAAGACTTCTCCAACTCCTAAACTTCAAACTAACTGTATCATCTGCTTAAGATCACAAATGGTATAAATGTGAAATCGAAGGGAAAAAATTACCTCTAACTAAATGACTGCTGCTTTAAATTTGTAAATTAAAGATAGTTATATATATAAAACTGATATTGTGACAGCCTGCATGATTCAATATTGAAGGTTGTGAATTGATGAAATCCATAAAAAAAACCCTGTTCAAATATAATTGAGCAACACAAATAATAATAAAAAATGACAATGAACTTACCAGCCACATAAATTAATCCATCCATTTCAGCCACACCAAGATGAAACCTCTTTGTTTCCACCTTACCAACAACTACCCACTGATCAAGATCTGGATCATATCTTTCAATATTCTCTGCAATCTCTGACCCTACCCAACCACCCATCACAAAAATAAAGTCTTCAACAACACAGACACCACACGCTACCCTGGGTGCAGTCAAAGGTGCAACAACTGACCATGAATTTAACACTGGGTCATAGCATTCCACAGTATCATATATCAAAGAATCATTTTCACCACCAATAGCATATATCAGCCCTCCAATTGATGCCACAGCATGCCCACTACGTGCAAAGCTCATCTGTGCTGTGGTGAAGCTGTCACAGGTTTGTGAAAAGGAGTCAAACTTCTCAACAGTGTAAAGAGAGGACGTATGACTCCATCGCCCTCCCACTGTCCGACTGTAACCTCCAATGATAAAAAAGCACTTTCTTGAGGCCCTTCTTGGTTGAGTGTGCACCCGCTGTTGGCTTCTAGCTAATGATTGGTAATTTCGGTACCCATCGAGAATTCCTGCGAGCATTCTTTTAATGCTTGCACTCTGACACGTGACAAGGTATTGTTCAAGGAATTTAGGGGAGACCAAAGGAAGTCTGATTTGTTCCAGAATATTTCCCAAAGCTTCTCTTCCTCTAGATAAGTCATGCACTACCCACCGCATAGCTGCTTCGAATACCTGTTCCTCAGATTCAATTTTCAGCTCTTCTGATTCTAACATTTGTAGCAAAGAAGTCTTAGTGAGTTGTAAAAACTCATCCTGTTTGGAAACTTCGACAAAGTTTCGGTGTATGAAATCCAATGCTGATTTTGATAAATTAAAACAAGAATGCGCATCTGAAAACGTGTAGATCCCGACGCAATTCGATGAGTCGAGTTCATGTTTCAAAAAATCGCAACAAATTACCTCGATGTCTTCGATTTGTAACATCTTTGATGCCGGTAAAAGCTGTTGGACATTATCCTCACTGACCTCCACTTTACCAGTGTAGATAAAATCGAGGATTGCATCAAAGATATCGGCTTGAATACCGTGAATTTCGACATGATCTGCAAAGCTTTCTGCCATTCCGCTCGTGAACATGACTTGAAAATAAGCACTCGAGGCACACAAAACGTTTCGATGAACAGGGAACTTCTTGCCCTCGACTGACAAAGTTGCGTCACACATCGAATTCTCTTTCCGTAATAAATGCAACTTATTTAAAATCTTAAACGAGTGTTCTTTAGCAAATGATATTTTATCTATTTTCACCGTTCGATGGTCCTCCATTTTTCGTGAAATTTTGTTGTTGTCTTCAAAGGTTTGCGGGCTCAATCGGGAATAAAGTAGAAGAGAGGGGTGAAGTGGAGCATTGGTGTGTGTACAGAAGTGGAAATGTACGAGTACCTCTCAGTTGCCTTAGAAGGCGGAAAATTATCAGTGATTGCTGTAAATAAGATAGGTGGGGCAAGAAAATAGTGAAGCTAGCTTTTTGCCAATCCCATTTGACAAAATTCATCATGATTTTTCGTTACTTTTTCTTTCTATGACCCCCTGGGGAGTGTTTCTTCGAGGGGAGGAAAACGGGGAGGGTACTCCGATTTGTCATTGCCCACAATTGCTGCATTTTCATGCCCAGGTAAGTTTGAAAAGGTCCAAATTCTACACATTTTTTTCTTGTGATAAACTTGTGCCTGAAAATTCATCTTTAAACATTCATTCAAAAGTCAAGTAATGGTTACAGAAGGGAAAAATCTTCATTTTCCCCTATATTGTTCTGACTTCTTTTTTCTATTCTCTTCTATGTTCCAGTAAACTAGACTACAGATTTCCATGAGGTTTTTAACTCCCAGAAATGATTAATAAGTAACTTATCCCTCTAATAAGTTAACATTATCCAGCTAACAGGTCATGAGGATATTCAATCTTGTCAGGTTGAAGTTGTTTTCTCAAGCTGACACCAAATTCAGAAGGATATAAGTAGCAGCTAGAGGGGAGAATTAACAATCAGATCTTGGAGGTTAAAGGGTTCTGAAAAAACTACTCAATGCACCATAGAAGTATTTTTTTCACCTGTTTCTTCATGTGATAGCTTACAAAGCAGTCTAAACACTTTCCAATAACTTCGTCATCTTTTTTTTGAGTTTGAGATGCCATAAATGACCATCTAGTTATTTAATTATTAACACTATAGTCCTATTTACTCTCTACATTTGGCACTTGTGTTTAATTTAGAGCCTTTCTGTACTAGCAAAACAGTTGTTTGTTTAGACAATTCTGCTCTTGTTGTGCATTCGATATAGGCCAACAGACCATACTCAATATAAATAACTTGTGTCTATTACAATTTACTATATTTTATTATATTTTGAAGATTTCAAGTCAACCTTGATTTCAAGGTTAAATTCATGATTTGCCTTTAAAATCAAGGTTGACTGAAAAAAAAACATTAGAACCTGCTTTTTCTAACTACTGCAACAAACATTTGTCATGGCAAAATTTGTCCTTTGATTTTGTTAAGACAATTCTAGTTTTGTCTGCTGGCACAGGAAAGGTACTTATTGTGCATTCAATATAGGCCAACAGACCATACTCAATATAAATAACTTGTGTCTATTACAATTTACTATATTTACTATATTTTAAATGAAAAGCTTCCGACTATGAAATCTAACATCAAATAAATGCTTCCAGATGAGTTTCATTCTCCTCTAGTCATCATGTAATAATGCACTATAGTATCTACAGTGTTAAGTCATTCCACAAAAATTTTGTGCATTAAAAAAATGATTACTAGTCCTTTAAAAGTCTATATTTGTTACAGGCAAAACATGTTTTCCTTTTTTTTACCCTTTACGCTGAAATTGTGATATCATTAGCCAAGATCTCAGGTTTTAGAGCTGCCACAATGTCTTTAGCACTTGGTCTCTCTTTAGGGTCTTCAAAGGTGCAGCAGTGAAATAATTCAATGACTGGAAGCATTGAATTTGCATTTTCAAACTTGGCAGGTAATGGGGGACGTGTCCCTAAAGCTGCCAGGTATTCCTCTGTGTCACACGCACCATCATCCTCCTCATCATCACTGGTCAACCCTGTATCAGTTTCTTCATCGCTGTCTGACATAAACAAAACAAAACCAAAAACAAATAAATAAACAAACAAATGACAATAAACATGTACATTATGGAACTTTGTAACATCGGAGGAATAAACTTATTCAAAACCAAAATTTTGTGAACAAAATCTAGTCCTCTTCTGACATTTTTCAGAGCTATCATTGGATTTCTAGCCCTACAGTTATGAGTCAAGTCATATCACTTACACAGAGTAGTTTAAGTTAAGAGTTTAATGTCCCCAAAATGTCAACATTAAGTAACCATGCCAATAAACCATTAGTCCTAGGTACCAGTATTCATGTAGATTTTACACCCTTAGAAAAAAAGGTAACAGTTAATTTACCAACCATCAATTTCATAACATCTTTCATCTAACCAGTTCATCATTTCTTTTGCTTTCATGATTTTCTGATCATTTAGTGATAGTGTGTTTTTAATTATGGCCACCACGAAAAAAAAAAACAAAAAACAGTCAACTTCTCTGGAATTAACAGTATTTCCACTGAGGTTTTCCTCTTAAAGAGGGGAGGGGATGAGGTGTTAAAACCAGAGATGATTTGATGTACATGTAACTTTCAGTACACATACATATATACAGAACATTGTAAAGGGTAATTCCATGTTACAGGTATTACATTCAGAGACCAATTTTTTGGAAACAAATTTCCTTAACAAAATTTATGTTGCACAGTTTTTAATTTATAATTTGTACAAAAAATCCTCACAGGGTACTAGATTATCAGCAGAAAAGAAACTTTCCTTTCTTTACCAAAGGCTCCCAATGTTTTCATTTTAAACTGTTACGGACATTACAAAAAAGTCAACCTACAATTTTATGTGTTCATTTGACACTTTTTTTCCTGTGAATTGACTATTCAGACAAAAATTATTTAATAATAATAAGAACATAGCTGCTCCATGACTTTTTTAAAATTTAGTTGTATCCCTTATTCTGTAATTAGATTTAAAGTTTGAGGTAAAAACTTGTTGTTGCGGATGTTAGACAATTTTTGTTACAGATAGTACACAATAAAAATTTTTTCAAATTACTAAACCAACTAACCACGGATTGCAGTAGTTAAACATTGCATTGATTACAGAAATTGTATTGTTCTGAACTTCTTGTCAGAGTACTATCCATTGACTCTTAATAAGCCAGTTGACACTATTTCAGAAAGTTACACTGCACTGAACTGTTTGAATTAAAAATTTTTGCTGTAGTATGAAGACAGTCATTACAAGTGCAATCTTTTAAGCTAAATTTCTGAAACACTGCATTTTTTTTTTCAAATTCATTCTTATGGATATTTTAAAAGAAGGTGCTGACTCTAAACATGTCTTTCAGTAAACTTAATTCACACATATACTCCTCATGTCACCATAGTGTTGCTAATGTTATATATGTAGTTGTTGTTATGGTTATTGTTATTAGTGTTTAGTTAAAAGCACCATTAACTTGGATGTGATAAGTTTGAACAAAACTGGTTTGCATATAGCATTTATTTCACCCAAAAGAATTACTATGATAAAAGTCATGCAGCCATAATGTCTGTAAAGTAACGTCCATAATATAATGTCTGCAACATAAAGTGGGCTTCATTTTTTTCAGTGTTTTTCCAGGATTTTGATAATTTACTGCACTTAAGTTTGGGCCCCTAAAAACAAAAAAGGAGCCAAGCTTACAAAAAAATGAATTTTATTTTTAGAGAAAAGCAAAAAGAGACACTTTGTTACGGACATTACATAAAGTCCATAACAAAATTGTTACTTGCTCTTGTTTACAACATACATCCATTTTGCAGGTTCACCTTTGTGTTGAATTCTATTAGTTTTGTTAACCTGGTGAGACTTTGGGAATAACTGTGTCTTACTTAAATCATTTTAGATCTTACAGCTTGCCAGCTATTTTCACCCACTTTTCACTAGACAAAAATAAACAGCCTCTATTTGCCATTTTCTGTAAAGTCAACTATCAGATTACTATATTTTAAAAAATTTAGCGTCTCCTCATTCCAAAAATCCATGACTGGGCTTGATATGAAATATCTTAAATTTCACCACTTAAGCAGTTCTAAAATGGAATGGCAATCAACTCCTCTTGAATGAAAAATATTTCCACTGAGGTTTTCCTCTTAAAGAGGGGGTGTGTGTAACTTAACCCACAGATGGTGTAACTTTCAGCACATGTATACGGAACATTGTAAAGAAATGGTGTTCAGAGTAACTAAACTTAAAATCAGCTACCTAGGAGATTTTTTGATAAAAATGTGCAATTCCCTTTTCTAATTTTATTGGTGGACGTTAAAAGCGATGAAATAGTTTTAATTCTGCCAAGTTGTTTTCCACCTAGGAAACAAATGGGCAAGATTTCCGCCAAGCCAAAAACTATAGATTGTATTTGGGACTGTAGTTTTGTGTTCAAACAATATGGGTTTATATGGAGATATTTCCAAGAGAAAAAATGGAAAGTTATGATCGTAAGTTTGGATAACCCTTAAACTTGTCTTATGCTCCTAAATGGAGGTGCTTTGAACCGAGCATCAAGGTCAGAGTAGTATTACAAATCCAATGGGCAAGAAGGGCGAGTTGAAAAAAGTTCGGTTTATTGATTGTAAAGTTACAGCGAAAAAAAAGGTCCAAATTTTACTTCCAAAAGTTTGGATGAAGCAAAACTCATTTCATTTTGTCTCACTAACCTGCAAGCAAGTCCACATGAGGTACATTCAAAGCAAGCATCTCCCAGATTAATAAACCATAAGCAAAGATGTCTGCCTTATCTGTGATAATTCCCCCCTTCAAAGCTTCCTTACATTTCCACGGCTCTGTGCCGATGTATCTACCTCCAGGATTTTTCAGTCCGCTCAGATCATCATTCAACCACAGTGCCACTCCAAAATCGCACAGTTTGACAGCCTCAAAATCACCTCTTATAAGAACATTACCACTTTTGATATCGCCATGGAGGATCTTTTTTTCGTTGTGTATATAACTCAAGGCATTGGCAACAGACCAAGAAACTTTCAGCATTTCATCGTAAGTGAAATCTTCTTCCAGATACGCTTTTTCTTCGATAATGTCTTCAAGAGCTCTCTCGCAGTCTTCCATTGCAAGGCAGAGATCGCCATCCACACTCCCCGAGATGGCACGAAAACCGACAATATTTGGATGCTTCAGTTGTCTCAAAATGCTTGCTTCTAGAGCGAGTCGTTCGCTTATCCCTGATCTTGCCTTCTTATTTACTTTTTTCACGGCCCAAGGCGATCTAATGCTGTTGTTGCTCGGTTCGCGTTTGAATCGATAAACCGAAACACCCGTGCCATGACCGAGTCGTGTCATGAAAGGAGATGGAGGAATCATGAAAGGAGACTCATTGTAGGGTGACATTTCGGCCTCCTCGCATAAGCGACTTCCAAATCTTTGGCTCACTGGCGTAGAGAGGTCGCCCATGTTCGAAAAAGAGGCGCAAAATGGTCTCAGTGCTGTGACAGTAGTAACTCCTCTCTGCCTTTTCGCAGTTTACAGTTTAGTTGTCAGATTTCAAAAATTCCGCCTTTGCCATTGGTCAGGGCTCCCAACGGTTCATGGGACTAACACAGCGGTCAAAATGATTGCACATGCGCACAATAGTGAATAATGTCATAACAGTAATCATGAAGAACTAAGTGAGACATTGTTTTCCGCAGTTTCTAGGGAAAGTTTGAAGTTTCTGAGGCCAAGACTAATACACACTGTTGTTCTGGACTTTACCCACTATGCGTTAGTTTATACTTTCGCGCCATTTTTAACACTCTGCTCGGCGGCGTGATGAAGTCGTCCGTGAACTTGGCCGTCGGCTGGCTGTAGTTATTCTTTGCTGTGTTCTTAATGGAGTTGCCGGTATACGCCGAAGCAAATGTGTGAAAAACAGGGAGAACTAGAAACACACAAAATATTTGCAACGATCACAGGTCTATGTTTATAGCGGACAGTAGACGGTGCAGCAAGTAGTGTGGAACAAGGTTCTGTGATTTTCCTTTATCGCCGAAACGAAGCGTCCGCGTTTAAAACAGTTGGGATATCGCACAATAAAATAAAGACAAGAGTTAATCTTTTCTCCAAAATCTTTTTCCATTTGTCTTACGCTATAAATAGTTTGGAGGTTAATCTACTTTTACCTACCATATTAACTTTATAGACCCCTCTTGATATTTTCAAACTCACGTGCATGCGCGTTGTTTGACCGCTGTGCTCATCGGAGTATATCAGACAAAGCCGCCATATTGATTTTCTTTAATCGTTCTTGAAACTTCTAGGCGCTTAGAAATTGGTTTGACCCTTTGTTTTGGCCTTTTCTTGTCATGCATCAGCAAGAATACAATCAGAACTACGGCCAGCATGGATCGCACAACCAGTATGATGGACATCATGGAGGCCACAACAGTAACCTGGCTGAGAATAACTCATATGCACCTCGCATTGTTTTGGATGATTATAACAGTGACCTGAACTTTGTAGTTGAGCCCGGTGGTGTGACAGGATCCAGTTTGCACCAGGATGGCTTTGAATACATGTGGGCTGGAGCGAGGGCAACTCACGGTGTGCGGACTGGCAAGGTAAAAAGATTGATTTATTTAGAAAGGTATATATATGTGCAGGATACCCATAAAAATTATTGCCGGAAACTCGGTGGACTTCTGTTATTTTGAGAATTCTTAATTGTGTCTGGACATCCTAAGGGAATATCCGATCACAAATCGAAATATCAATGTGTGAAGGATGTAGTTGGAGGTCTAGTCAGTTGGTATAAATTAATTTATTTGAGGCAAAATTTCCCTATAACGCCATACCTCAATGCGGTTATTTTTCTAGATCTAAAGAAAGCTTTTGTTACTGTTGAGCAAAACACTCCTCTATGTAAGCTTGACCTTTATGGTATATCTGAGAATTCATTAATTGGTTTCAGTTGTATTTGGAGAATCGCACATAACAATGCTCAGTCAGTGGGTCCTTATCTGACAGGCATGTATTAACCGGGGGTGTCCTTCAGGGGACTATCCTCGGTCCACTTGTACTCTCATTATACATAAATGACTTTCCAATTGTTTTTAAAACTGTGAACCAAGTATTTAGGCAAATGACATGCATCTCACATATGCAGATAATGATGTAGGCAACTTTGAATCATGTGCATACTTGGTTAAACACAAACAAACTTACTCTAAATATGACTAAAACTGAATTTATACTGATAGGATCTGGCCAAGGGCTAAATACCCCTAGTGCTTCCTAGTCAGTCACATTGATTATAATTAATATATAAAATGGTTTGATCCTTTTTTGAATAGCTGATCAATTGCCAGTGATTAAATAAAGTTTATCGATTGATTGATCATTATGCATAAAGTCATTTGCTTATATAGAATAATGCTAATAACAGTTGTTAAATCATGTAGTGCTACATGGAAACCTTTCCATATCACTCAACAGTTAATGCTGAGCTAAGGGTTTTCTTTCTCGCAAAGAGCAATCAGATTGTTAGCTGAATGCAAGACTTGTAGATTGTGTTAACTCTTGCCCTGATAAAACTTGTCTATTGACAGTCAACGCTCAACTAAGCTTCGCCTGATTGACAGTGTGATATCTATATCCCATAGCATGAGCTCATAATAATCAGAATGGACTTAATGATACTTTGACTATTGTCGATTTGTTAAATGGAACAAAATGATAACTATTAAGTCAAAATACCAAATAAATGTTGTTAAAGAGATTTAAACAAATGTAGGAGTGATTTTTAATAACTAAAGGGAGGAAAAATTGTAAAGGCCAGACTGATTTTGGTTGAAAATGATTCTGTCTCAGTAGAAGAATTCCTTTTGGTTCATCACAACCTGACAGGTGTGCCTTGTCCTGGTGGATAATATGCCATGTGGCTGAGACTTCTTGTAATACATAGCTTGTTCATTGTCAAGTAATAAGTACAGTGCTTCGCCTTGCTTTAAGTTCCAACTGTCATCTTTTTTATGATTTGCAGGTATGCTTTGAAGTTCGTGTGCTAGGAAAATTGCCAGTAACAGTGCCAGAAACAGAAACAAATCCACATGTTGTGAGGGTTGGATGGTCTGTAGATGAAGCAAACTTGCAGGTTACTGTTATTCTTGATTTTTTCCTTCTAAAAGTTATTTTTTGAAAAAATAATCTAAAGCCAAAATATGCTGAATTTATCCAAGAAGGATCCATGGACAACAAGTCTGTTTTCCAGTCTTTTCGATTCTTTTCAAATAAATATCCAAGCAAGAGAAATGAGCACCTTGCCCCTAATAAGCACCCTCCCTTATGACACCTGAATTAAATAAGCGTCCAGGCGCAAAATCGAATCATTACTAACGGTAAATTCGTTTCTTCACCTGTACCATATACAACATATATGATATACAATATACAACAGGGGTTAAGTGCACTTCTCTCATGAAAGTTGACTTATAATATGATTTGGTCGACAAAATGACTTTTATTATATATTAAAGTTCACACGGCAACCAGGTGGACAATCAGACATGGTTTGATGCTACAGATTTAATGAATGTAACAGACGAAGTTTCAATTCATAGACCCAACGTTTCGACACTCCTGTCTAGTGCCTTCATCAGAGGTGATCTAAACTCTGCATCAAGAAGTCCTTTTATATGATCACTAATTAGCGGCCTTTTTCTGACGAGGTGTAAATAGGCGTCAGGAAGCAAACCGCCATCGTCACGATTTAAAGGAGCGTGGGCGGAGTTAATATGCCAAGCCTCCAAACAAAGGCGCTGGTGGTAACGCCGATTAGTGGTGATAATTTTAGAATTATCCCACCCAATTGTATGGTTAGTTAGGCATGTGTGCTCCGATAAAGCTGAATTTTCCTTTTTGCAAAGGAAAACCGCTTTTTGGTGCTCTTTTAACCGTGTACTAAACTGACGTTGGTCTGTCCGATGTATTCGTTGTCACAGTCATTGCAAGGAATAGAATAATTGGCGTCGGTTCGTTGTTCTTTCGTGACAGGATCCTTAGGTTTGGCAAAAATATGCCCTAAAGTCTGAAAAGGTTTTTGTGCAACTTTAACGTTGTGGCTATTCAAAATTCTCTTGATGGGTTCCGTAATACCCTGAATGTAAGGAATAACAGCAAAACCATTCGCTGGTTCCCTTTCATCAAGAGCGTTACTAGTTGTAACTGGTTTTTGGCAGTTACGGAGAAAGGTTTTTGGATAGCCATTTGCCTTTATGACATTGGAAACATATTTCCTCTCCTCAGCCTTCGAATCGAGTGAGATGGCAGACAGCCCTCCTAAGTAAAGTTTTGGCTACAGACGTTTTATGGCAAATAGGGTGGTGAGAATCGAAAGCGAGGTATTTGTCGATGTGGGTAGGTTTACGGTAGACACTTGTCTCTAAATTACCCTGAACCCTTCTGGACACATTTAAATCAAGAGCCCCTCTTGATAACTTCTTCGGTTACATTCATTAAATCTGTAAACCAGAGTAGTATCAAACCATGTCTGACTTTTATCATGTTGCACTGTTTAGGTCGGAGAAGACAAGTTGTCTTACGGTTATGGTGGCACTGGCAAAGTTTCTGTAGACAACAAGTTTTTTGACTATGGTGAGCCATACTCTACTAATGACACTATTTGCTGCTGTATCGACCTCGATTCTAATCCGAGAGTTGTGCTTTTCACCAAAAATGGAAAATACCTTGGTATTGCTTTCCGTCTTGGTGCTGAAGCAAGTGGAAAGGCGTTTTTCCCTCATATCACCGTTAAGAACATGCGCCTTACGGTCAATTTTGGCCAGTATGAACCATACTTTCCACCTCTTCAGGGATTTAGCTTCATCTCAAGACTACCACCACAATGTTTGCAACGTGGCTCAGCAGGTCCGGTGTCAAGGAGCGCTTGTGAAGTTATCATGATGGTAGGCCTACCTGCGGCTGGCAAAACCGTCTGGGCCGAGAAATACGCCCGTGACCATCCAGAGAAGAAGTACTGCATCCTTGGGACAAACTCTATCATGGACAGGATGAAAGTTATGGGTTTGACGCGCAAACGGAATTATCACGGACGGTGGGATGCGCTCATTAAACAAGCTACTGACATCCTGAATAAAACATTAAAAATTGCCGAGTTGAAGAATCGCAATTATATCCTGGATCAGACCAATGTGTATTTCAATGCTCGGAGAAGGAAGATGAATAACTTCCGTGAGTGCCGCAGGATTGCGGCTGTTGTTATCAACACCAACGAAGTTTTGAAAGAGCGAGCTTTGAAGAGAGAGGAGGAGGAAGGCAAGGTTGTCCCTGAATCGGCGGTCATGGAGATGAAAGCGAACTTTGTGCTACCTGAAGTCGGTGAGACTTTTGAGGAAGTGTGGTATATTGAAGAAGACAAAAATAATTCTGAACGTCTTGTAGCCGAGTTTCAGTCTGAAGGAAAGGCTTTCAAGGAAAATGAGAATAAACGAAAGCCAAATGAGGATAAAAGTTCATCCTCGGATGTCAAGCGATACCGTAACGACCAGCAAGGACCTTCTGTGCCTTTGCCAAGAGGATCACAAGGTCAATACCCAGCTCATAATGATCGTGGAGGTTTCCAGGGAAATTACCATGCGAGAGATGGCTCAAGTAATGTGCCTGGTCGTGTTCATCCACCGGGGAGCCAAGGAGTATCTGGGAGACCCTATAATGATTTTGGTCCTCCCCTGGGACACCCAAGACCAGGAGACCAATGCAGAGATTATGGCGGTGGTCCTCGCAAGGGGTACAGTAACCATTGGCGCCCCCAAGGAACATACGACTCTGGGCCTCAGAATAGGAGCAATGGTTATGGACTTTCTTACAGACAGCAAGGAAGCTACGGGAGTAACTATGGTCACAATCAGGGACCGTCATATGTCTATTCTCCATATCAACCGCCCAGCAGTGGCGACGCTAGATACAACCAATCAGTGCCCGCATATGGTCAGCAGTATGGGCCAAATTACGGAAGCCAAAATAACGCACAACTTTACCTCAGGGATCATGGATATTATGGAGGGGGAGGGCAGGTGCCCCAGGGAGGAAGAACGGACCATTATAGGTATGGTAGGGGTTATTAGACTTTCCCATTGCTAATTGTACATGAAGCACTGCAAACAAAAGCCGTTCGGCGACTACGGTGGCCTAGAACTGTCACGGCAAAACACCAATAATTCACGCCAAAACAAAATTAACTCACGGCAAAACAAAAGTTACTCACAGCAAAACAAAGAAAACGAGTTGGTCAGCGGTTGTCATTTGCATCTGAAATGGTAGTTCGTGTAACAGTAACACTGCTCGCTCAAAAAACCGCCATTTTTCGAGCTCACGATGTTTTGCTTCGCGTGTGGTTCGGTAGTGGATGAAGATGCAAACTTTTGTTAAAGCTGTGGTAGAGGTACGTTTTTTAATTCTAAGTGTTCGTATTCGCATTTCTTTTAGTTCCAAATAACGATAGGCGTGAAAAGCTACAAATTAGCTGATTAGCACGTATCTGGAATAAGATTGTGCATGTAGCCTGTGTGTAAAAAGAAAACATTCGTAATGATGAATTAAGGATTTTTCAACAGGTAGAAAATATTGTACGCCTGCAAATAGTCAGTCAATTATATTTTTTCTCTTTGTATTGTATTGTGTTGTACTTGTTAAAAGGTAGAAAAAGTGGCCTGTGTTCATCCCTATATTTTTGTACGTTGACGTTTAGACCTAAGGTTAGAAGATTCAAGCGAGGAAGAAGACTCTAGCAATGAAGTTGAGGTGGAGATTGATGAAGAGACCATTATCAAATATTGTTTTCAACGCAGTTTTAGTTATGAAGAAATCATCCATTTCCTTGCTAAGCGTCATGACCATGAAATAAGTAACAGCACACTTTTAAGGCGATTAAAAACATATGAACTCAAGAGGAGTTTTTTAAGGCGGATGATTCTGGTGAGGTTTTAGAGGCAGTTAGAAAACGTATCCTTGAGATTATCCATGGACCTGGATCATGTGGGGGATACAGGACGGTATGGCACACCTTAACGATAGAAGACTACCGAACCACACGCGGAGCAAAACATCGTGAGCTCGAAAAATGGCGGTTTTTCGAGCGAGCAGTGTGTTACTGTTACACGACCTACCATCTCTAATGTAAATAACAACCGCTGACCAACTCGTTTTCTTTGTTTTGCCGTGAGTAAATTTTGTTTTACCGTGAGTAAACTTTGTTTTGCCGTGAGTAAAGTTTGTAGTGCCGTGACTTTGTTTTGCCGTGACAGTTGTGGGCCACCGTAGGTGACAGTAGTAATAAAAAGGTGGTTCATTATTAATAGGAAAGCTTTTAAAGTGGTTAATATTTCTGGTTAGCTTCACGTAACTAAAAACAAATTTGTCCCAGATCGACTAGTATTAATTTTTTAAGGATTTTACTTTTTATAGGATTTTACGTAGCGCTGTGCTACAGTTGACTGAGCTTTCTACCTGTGTTTGCTTAGTAACTTACAACTCAACAGAAAAACGAACGCTGGTTTTTTCAACACTGTAATCAAATTTTATTGGGAGCTGATGACAACTCCATCTGATTAGGGAGAATATGTAAAAAGGCAAAATTGGTATCTAGCAATAATTTTCTGCGTGTGTTTTTGACTTATTTTAGTGTTGGAAAATGAATATATCATCATAAGCCATTTAGTTAATATATATATATATATATATATATATATATGTATAGAAATTTTTGTATGTACTTATGTATGTATGTATAAGAAGCCAGTGGATAATTTACTGTTTCTTTTTCTAATTATTATTATTTCTTACTGTGAGAAAATAGTTTATTCGACTCTACAGAATATTCCTATCAGGCTGATATTGATATTATGTAAGTTCCATACTCTCCTATAGCGAATGTGACATGAAAATAGATGTTCAGTTTGTACGGTAATTGGAATTTGTGGTAGAATATTTCAATTATCTTACGGCAAGCTATAGTTCTATTACGTTAATCCGTGCGATAAAGAAGAAAGTAAATTGACTTAAAAGTCAAGTAGTGAAAGTGAGAGGTCACTGCTGTGAACTCTGGTTTCTCAATTTCAAACCTCAATTTAAGTTGCAGATTATTCGTTGCATGGTGGAATTGGTCTGCCATTTTCTCATCGAGGTAAATGTCGTCAAAATATCCTCAGTATAAGCATAGACACTGGTGTGAGGAGAGGGCAATGGTTTCTAGTCTGTCCATGAATAGGATGGCCAGAATGCTTAAGATGTTAGAACCCATAGGTAGGCCTTCTTTCTGGCGGAAAACTCGACTATTGAAGAAGAAGTACATGTTGTTTAGCGTAACTGTGAGAAGGTCTATTATCTCTAGTTTGGTGGGATGGAGTATTTGGGTATAAACTCTATCGTTTGGGTCGGTCATGATGATGGTGATAGCTTATTGTACGGGTCTTGAGGTGAACAAGGATACCATATCGAGGCTGCATGGATATGGTTGCGTTTTACTGGTGGTAAAATCGCCGGCTTGGATACACTTGAGCTCAAGGCTGTTTTCTAGATTTGCTAGGACGTCCTTCAGCTTTGGTTTAGGGGCATTGGCGAACAGCCATGAGATACGCTGGTTTGCTCCATTAGTGTTAGATATAAGGGGTCGTATTTTCATATCTGGAGCAGTGTTATGGGTCTTGATGAGATGGTAGAACAGGGGAGATGGCGTTAGAGTTGATGAAGCTTTTCCGAATAAAGGGAGGGAAATCGCCATGTAGGTAGATGCTTTTCCAAGTTGAGTTGACTTTGTTCAGCCTATTGAGGTATCATATGTTAGTGTTTTTTAAAGAACTAATAGAGAGTGGCCACCTGTACAGTCGTCGATGCACTTCGTTATACTTCGACGGTTGAGTTTGAACATGAATACCCACCTTCAGTTACCCCTATGCGATTGACTTTATCCAATGCCAAATTTTTTCCTTCTGATCACGTAATTCTTTCTTTTTTCCAACACTATATACTGTAATTTTTGATTCCTTATTTCATTCTTTGACGCGGGAATATCCGATGGACATACCAGAGGTTTTAATCACTAACAAATGCAGCAATCACATCAATTCCTAGAGTATTTTTTGGTCAGATTCTCTCTGAATATTCAGATTACAGACTACAGCTCAATTACTAAACAATAATATATGGGCCGCAAACAACTATCTTTCGCCGTAAAGTTTGAGTTAAGTCAGTACAAATTAATTCTAGTTAGTCAACACGGCAAACTTAAAAGCATCGGTTTCATTATCGCTTGATAGTGCGACAAGAAAACTCCCTTTAATCTCTTTCTTAATGAATGAAAAGCATGCTATTGTAATAACCTGTCATCTATCAGGGCCGGTAATTAATATATATATTCCCACTGTATGTTAGGAAACCCTGAACTCGAATAAAGCTTTGTAAAACGACCAAGAATGGAAAAAAGGGAAAGTGAAGGAAATTTAGTGGGTGGGAGGTTGTAAACAAAGAACCAATAGCACTGGGAAACACCTTTTTGATACACCATAGGTATACACCAGCAACATAAGTTCTCGTTGAGAATTAATATCAGAAATACGATCGATCTCAGAGAACTCGTAAAGAACTAGTAATAATAGTCAATTTTTTTCTATACGCTGACGCAAATATCCTTTTATAATTCATCGTGATCACAATAAAATGTCGTAGAATCAAAAACACTTTTCTTCAGACGTGATTCAGAGTGGTTCGCTTTCCTGTCCTTTCGTCGTTCATATTAAAATAAAGATTATCGAAAACAGCTCGTTCAACTATGTTATTTAGCTTCCTATTTCTTCCTATCCAATAACGTAAACAACGAGCGTTGGCTGATAATGAACGAACTCTACAGGTCAACTCGGAATATTGTGATATGATTTTAACTCGAGGAGGATCTAACTCCATGGGCAGCAAAGTGCTTGTCTGATTGTCTGCTTTACTGCTCGTCTTAGTTCACTAATCTTCCAGCAGTAAAGAAACGGGTTTAACGTCGAGTTGAAGTAAACTAAGGTAACTGCTACTCTCCGTGTGATGATTAAGTGTGATGTGTATGTTTTAGAATGGGCGACTACAATTTCCACTGTAGTGATTGGTGCATGACAAACAACTAATGCCAACTGCACCCACAGTGCACTGCATACTGCCTTTCTGTATCGGGCCATTTTCAGTGCATTTAGTTGGTTCGGCCGTTTTTGAAAAGGATCTGGATCTGGCCTGATGATATCGAGAGTAGGAAAAATTTTTCGATATGAGGCGAGCGAAACGACCAGGCAAAGTGGTATAATTATGTAGCCGTACAGTAAGGTTATACGGTGATCAAAAATGATGCGTAAAGAAGCAACAAGATCGAAAACCCAAAAGGCGGCTACAATGAAATATGTGCGCGTTAAAGTTACAATTTGTCGGTATCTCGGCCCCAACAACAGGGCGAGAAGTCTGTCCACACTTATGGCAGCCGTTGTCATCAAAGACACTCCACTTAATGCTAGGCCTGTTATGTAGACTGCGCCATTTACATAGCGACAAAGACTCCAGTGTTCGTGCACCACGAGCATCCAGTGACTAGTAGCGAGGGGCTGGCTAATAAGACCAACCAACAGGTCAGTTATTGCCAGACAACGATACAAGAGTTTGGATAGTGGATGAGGGGAAGATTCTTTATGAAGGGCAACAAGGATAAGAGAATTTCCAAGAAATGTTGTGATTGAGAGGAGAATTAGCACCGCTGAGAAAGAAACTGATTCGAGTTGAAGTCCCCCCATCAAAGAAGGGGAGCATAGCAGTTCATGAAATGTTTTGGTGTGTGTTCCTTCTCTACTAAAATTTGTTGTCGACATTTTTCTTTCATTCAGGTCATCTGTAATGGCAAGGAAATGTATTTCATCAGTACAGCACCCTCCCAGCTGCGATTACTGAAACCTTACTTTCTTATTAAAACCATATAAAGACTTCCACAATCACGTTTCTTCATTTAAATTGTTGGAGAAAATTCTCTGATCTGTCAAAAAATGAATTAGGTATTAATAAGTAGTATTAGGCAAACGAAAAGACACCTTTAATAAACTTTTTCATAACGCGACAAGCGATCCCTCTTAACTAAGATGGACCTATATTGATAAAGTGGAGATTAAGTGTTAATATAAACTATGAATTTGAGACTGAAAATAAAGTCTTCAAACTTTGCAGTGTACCTAAAAAGAAAAAAACAAAGAATTCGCGACGATCTCCTAATACATAAAACTATTCAGACCTAAACTTTGGTGGGAGATGCCTAATTATCTTGAAATATTTGAGTTTAACTTTGTAATTTATTTCGCACCGTTTTGTCTCCAATTAACAAATAGAGAAGCCTTGACTGTGCTCTGTTCTGTTATAAAGCACGCAGGAAGCGGCTAGAGCACGAAAGAAGTGTAGGGAGAAACACGAGACGTAGTCGAGTGTTTCTCCCCTTTTCTTGAGTGCTCTAGCCGCTTCCTGCGTGCTTTATAACAGAACAGAGCACAGTCAAGGCTTCTCTATTTGTTTTATAATAAAGAATCCATTAAATTCCCCGAGCATTCCATTCAATTTTCAAAACAAACTTATTTCCAAAGCGAACAACAGTGTCGTCAGCATGCTCTATACTCTCATAGAGCACGCAACAATAAGCCAATCAGAATCCCTGTTAGAATGGTTCAAATAATCTGATTGGCTGTACAAGACTAAAGCTGTCAAAAGTGTCAAATCATCAAAGTTAAAAATCCATCAAAGTTCACCTTCCTGCGATCGTTTACAAACTAAAATAATTCGGTAAGCCGAATTTAACACTTTTGCCTGAAGTTTTTAAGTCTCTAATACAGAATCTTGAAGTGAAATGTTCAGTGAACTTCAGCCGAATTATGGCTCATAAAAACACGCGAGTTTTTTCACATGACAAGGTATAAAACAAACTGTTCAAGGCGAGTGTTTTTTGAATGAACGACAGCCGAATTCACCGAAACATGAAGATCGCTCGGGATACGGCAAAACTCGGCTGCAGTGACTTTCCACTCAACGCATCGGAAAGGGTATCAGAGCAAGCTCTTATTTTTTCACTCGAAGGGCGGCCGATATAGTTTCTGAGACTTGCTTTACTGTGATGACCGGAGGTCGCCATGATGAGCGAGTCGCGATGGACTTCAGCATGATCATATTCGCTCAGACACCGTCATGATTAGAATAAATTTTAACAGTTATGCCAGTTTGGTTATATTTTTCATCATTTCTGTTTTGTTCTGTTTTGTTTTTGAACACTGAACTTTAAATACTATATGAGTTTTAGCTGTGTTTGATTTTTATTTCCGTACATAAGCTTGCAATCTAACTGAGCGTGAATTAATCTTTAAAACTCGGAATGTCTATTTTGTTTTTCCTTTGAGGATTTTCGTATCTGCTCACGTTTTAATAACGTAAATTACGGCGCCTGGTATGTTTACAAACCTTTATTTGGTTCTTCTGTTGCTACTTGCCGGCTCGCTTGTTCCGAAACTTCACTTTCAATTATCGGAAAAAAGCTAAAAAGAAGTCCCGGAAAAGGTCGAACATAGTACAATTTGGCAGATGGCGTGACAGCTTTAGCTCAGCTCTATGCTCTATACTCTCATAGAGCACGCTCTTTCAACCAATGACAGCGCGCGTTATATCCGAACTTTATTATAACTATTATTAAAAACAAAACAGCACCAAAAGCAAGACCATTTTCAAACCATTTTATTCTACTTTTTTGGGGGGGTTCATTCTCCACTTGTTCCGCTCCCTTCGCCGACTAATTCTTAGAGATTGTCCTGAATGATATAACAATCCAAAATTAGCATATCAGATCCCAGATGCAATTTCTTTTCATTTAACTTCTTAATTGTTTGCAAGAAGACAAGATGAATATATTCCCATCAAACAAGCTGTCATGTAAAAGGCAAGTTATTGGATTCTTCCTGTCTTGATTCCCTTCGGCGACTAAAGACTCTCGTTTGATAATTATAGTTCCATTCAAATACTACATTGAGCATGACAATTTATTGATGAGATGGGCAATGAAGAGATGGCTAGTTAAACGTTATTAACTCTCGATCAACAATTTATTTCATTCTTCTTTTATCAAGCATAATTATCACTTATGAACCTATAGTTGCTCTCAGCTACGTCTTAAGCAACTCTTACAAATTCTTCGTGCTCTGAAATATTCTCGGCCATGCGTCATATCTCAGTGAACGGACACTGACGCACGAATCAGTTGTTTAATACACCTGTCAGCGTTGTGTTAAAGTTTTATTCACGACATTTTCTCTTTACTTTTCTAAACTACTTAACTGCTAAACAGACATATGTGGATCGCAACCAGCTGTTTCTCTCAACTTGTAAAGTCTAATTTAAGTTCAAATAAGTACTTGCAGTCAATTCCCTTGGCAAACAGAAAGACACGGGTTATAGATTGTACTAGAAGTACATTAAGATATATTGTCAATTTAGGGCCAATTATCAAATGGAAATATTCTTTTAATGTCGTGGTTGATGATGAATTGCAGAAAACCTTTTTAAAACGACTTGAAAGAAAATCAGGTGAGAGCAACAATTAGTCGAGAGCGACAATTAGCCGCTCGGAGGTGATAGACGTAGAATAATGAAACTAAAAACAACTAGAGGATGAAATAATGACATGCTGGATATATAACACCACTTTAAATAAAATATTTATAAATGTGAAGTATATGATTCATTCGAAATCCCTTTTTCGCTATAATCATATAATTTCAGAGAATCGATCGATCTGAAAGAAAACTAACAGGCAGCGATGGTCAATTTTATTTCATACACTTTCTTAAACTACGTTAATACATACCAGTAACAAAAAACAGTCACATATTGATAAGAATTCTGGAAATTGTTCAGAAAACAGATCAAATTTCGAGAGTGACACTTGACCAGTTTGTTTGGCAATACGGCGTACATCGAAGTCCTCTTCAGGAAACAAAATATTGGAATTTCACTCTTTTGCTGTCGTAAAATTATTTTACCTCGCCAACTCTGTTAAACTACTCTTATCCGATGCCTTCATATGTTTTTAAGTGGAGTAAACATGTGAGAGTATAGTGCGTGCACATCTTTTCTTTGGTTATTTTTTTTTCTCTATATTATACTTACATATGTACTTACACTATACTTACTTCTTACACGATGCTTACTCTACATTAACCTGTACTACTTACAATACATATATTACAATACAATTACACTTTTCTTTGGTTATGACTTGTTGCATTCACGACAAACTTCAGTAGCCGGAAACATTGTTTCAAAAGATGTTATTAGTGTTTCCATTGCCTTTCATTCAGTTTTTTACGTGCGGAAAAAATATATTTACAAGCCTCGAGGAGCGATTTTTTAGAACTACTTATTTCCTCTAATCCAGTGATATATTTGACACTGAAGCATTCTGAGAAGGGGTTGTGACTAATTAAACGTCAGCCTTGAAGGTGTCCATTTGAGTGTGGCCTAAGACGAATTAAACTCTATAGACAAAGTGTTTGTCTGATTGTCTGCTTTACTGCTTGTTTTACTTCACCAATCCTCCAGCAAAAAAGAAAAGGATTTAAAGAGGAGTCAAAGTGGGCAAAAACTACCAGAATGTCTTTAATGACGATGAGATGTGATGAATATGACTTACTTAAAATGATCATAGTTACCACAATATCATATGGTGCATAACAAATAACTAAAGCAAACTGCACCCACAGTGCACTGTACACTGCTTTTCTGTATCTTGCGATGTTCAGTGCATTTTGTTGGCCTGGCTGCTGCTGAAAACGATCTTGTACTCGAGCCTGTTGATGCCTGAGAGTGCGAAAAATCTTTGAGTACAATGTGATTGAGATCACTAGACAAGATGGTATAACTGTACAACCAAAAGAAAGGGTTATGCGGTGATCTAAAATGTAGCATAAAGCGGCGACAACAGATACAATCCAAAAGGTAGTTGTAATGATACTTGTGCGCTTCAACGTTACAATTTGTCTGTATCTCAGCCCCAACGACAGGGCCAGAAGTCTGTCCACGCTTATGGCCGTTATTGTCAACAAAGACACTGAATACAAGGTAAAGCCTGTTATGCAGGCGGTGTAGTATGTATATAGACAAAGACTCCGTTGTTCGTAAACTAAGGACATCCAATAAGTAACATAAAGAGGCTGAGTAACAAGACCAACCAACAGATCAGTTATTGCCAGACAACGATATAAGAGCTTGGATGGCGGACAAAGGGAAGACTCCTTGCGAAGGGCAACAAGAATGAGAAAATTCCCAAGAAACGCAGTGACTGAGAGGAACATGTTGACTGCAGCGAGATAAATTGATGGTTGTTGTAATCCATCAGCTGAAGAAGGGGAACATGCCAGTTCTTGGATTGTTTTTATCTTAGACCCACCATCTGTAAAATTTGTTGTCGCCATAATTCTGCTCGTTTTCTTTTTTACCGCGGTTTATCTGGGCAGCCCAGCTATGATCACTAAACCTTGTTTTCTTGAGAATGATGACCTACAGACTTCCTCAGACTTTGTTTTCTCTAGAATGCACGAAGAAGCTGTCTGTGGTGTCAAACAAATGTAAATTTGTTCCTTGAATTTGTTAGATATATATCTCATCAGCTACGACTAAACACTGAGAGGCAAACACTAAGACATCTGGTAGGACATATGTTAATTGTACGACAGAGAAAACCTTCTTTACTTGGTAAAAGTTAATTGAGTATTGACAGTAAGATGTCGTATATCATTCTCAACCTTAGGTCACTGAAAATTAAAAAAACTCAAATTTTAACGGGGTACGCGGCCTAGGAAATTTTTCTTCGACGTGAATACATAACAGAACATAACGATTGACTAATAATCGCAAAGAGAAATCGCTTCATGGATTGTGACGCAGACCAAATAACACGCGTAAGACTTGTCTTTTTCAGTTCCAGTTTATTTAAGCAAAAGACCGCACTTTCTATCAGTTTACCGGCGTAATAACCCAACAAGATGTTGGGAGAGCATGAGAAAAGTTTGTAAATCAAGCGCCTACGTGCACGATCACTAAAGCGACAATCGTGCCGAATTGCCGATCGTAGGTGATGAGGGGTGACTCAAATGAACCTACGCCCGAAGGCAATGGTACGGTCAAAACCTTTAGAGTCGACGAAAATAGAGTACACTTGACTTCTTCCTGCAATCGACCATGTGAGGCAGAATTTACAAGCTGCGTTAGAAGAAGACTGAGAACAGCGATCTCCGAAACAGAATCAAACTTTGAAGTGCCGACTGTTTTCAAGAAGGAAGCCCCGAGTAGCTGCTGTTCTCATTGGCTTAGTTATATAGAAAACACAATTTTTAGCGTGTGAATCTTATATGTAGTTAAAAAAATGAATCTTTGAATTTTTCGCCAACCAACGTAGGAGCATAGAAGAAGAAGGCAATATTCTAAGTAGCGTGGTGGTTCAGAAACAGAAATGGCGATAACTTCCAGAGGAGCCACTTCGCCTGTTGATCAAAAGCCTTGTAACATCATTATCAAATGACACCCTAGTTAAATTAAGGTAGGCGTTAAGATGCATTTTTTCCTTTATTTCATCATTAATTGTTGCAAAAAATGGAATTCCAACTTTTTTCTTTACCTTATACAGACGGACGGTCGTAAGGTTACGTGACAAACCCAAACTTTCTCGGCATGATGGGTCCCCACAATTTATGTTAAGTATAGGGCATCGCTGCGCGCGCTACGAGCTCCGCTATAATTATTTCACAGCATCCTTCTGTCTTCTATCTTTCAGAGATTTATCAGTTATTGTGATGTCAGGAAACGATACTTTATTGCGGGAAACGTTTCAAAATCTTTAAAAAAGTACTCACCCTAGTGTTGTGATTTACATACTTGTCTAGAGCACGGCAATGGTAAGTAACAACTTTGTTCCCGCTATTTATTTGAATAGTTACCGCACGTAAGATGATTTCGTTAAACCGATTACTTACACTCCTAAACATAATTAGTTGCGTCACTGCTCTGAAAGAGGGTCCATGATGTTCTTTGCCCCTCTCCTCCATTCAATGCTAACAGACCAACATTGAGAGGGGAAGGGTAGACAGTAGGTATCCCAACAAATGTGTCTTACAGTCTAGCTAAGATCATTTTTTTCTGCCTAAATATTTGTAACCAGCTAAATTTGTACTCATCTTCATGTCAGCTACACTTCATTTCAGTTCCATTCGACAAACCATGCTATAATACATTTTTACGCAACTTTGCTTTCCTATTTGTGTACTAACTGCAGGGATTGACTGTCCTGACGATTTTCACCGGACAGTGAAATCATCAAATATTCTAATAATTATTCGCTATCGATATTATCTACAAAAATGTTTCACTTATTTTCCTGTTGTTGAGTAATCCCAACCAGTGTTTCAGGGAGATCTGAGTACGTTTTTAAAAAATACTTGACCCTGTTCTTTTTCATTACACAAGATTCTCTTTATCTTGCCAGCACACCTGGAGGATACATTTTTCCCTTCCATTAGCTTTTTAAAAATAACTTATAAAATACTTAGTATATCATTTACGAGGAATTTCCCTCGTCTATGATATTTGTTCCATTTCCTTTAGGTCAGGGGAAACCTGCAAATGGTGAAAAAAAAATAAGTAAAAATGTTCAGGATAATTTGAAAGAGAATTACTAAAAGAATTACATTTAACCCTTTACACTGCAACATCAGTGTGAATATTCTCCATACAGTTCCCCATACATGTCCTTAGAACTTAATAAATACTTATTCGGCGCAAATATCTATATGAATATATTCAGATGCGCCTTACAAGTTACAAACCCACCCAACCCAAGGGGAGGACATCCATCACACAGTAATCTCGTGCGTGGGAAATTAACGTCTCCTACCCCAAACCCTGCAGGAGACGGGACCTCCGGCTTAACGTCTTATCCGAGAAGACGAAGCAAGTGAGTGAAGCGACTTGCTTAAGGCCACAACGTAGTGCCCCATCCAGGACTCGAACCCGGGCCAAAGTCGCTTCACTCACCTTGCTCCGTCCGACCCAGAGTCCAGCGCTCTGACCACTGGGCCACTCGCGCCTCACAACCCTGTACCCTGTCCTAGGGTACTGACAAGGAAAATTAGTTTAATAATCAAGAGCTTCTTTGGTTGGTGATAATTTCCTCTACTCTTGTGGCCTTGATGCGTCATTCAGGGGTGATGTTGTAAGTATAAATCAGAAGCTTGTCACTCTTAGGAATCAAAGGTTTAAGGCCGCTGAGGCAAAAACAACTAGATAAATTTTTAAAGACTTTCCAGTAAAAAGGAATGGAGGAATGGCAATAGCTAAGCATAGCTAAGATCGACGCAAATTTGTCGTCTAGATTGACGGCAAACGATAATGATTTATGACGAGAATGATTTATGACGAGAATGATTTATGACGAGAATGTCAAACATTATACCAAAGACATTGATAACAATGAAATCAACAACAACGACAATAAAAATTCCAGAGATTTAAGGATCGTGCTCACTTGGAAGGTACATCCAGTGGAAATTTGTATATCTTGAATAGATACTCCGGGCCATAACTCTGTCAGTATGAGACCATTCTCTTTACTTACTTCAAATACGCACTGAAAGTCAAACACATATATAACAAATACACGGAATTCACAAAGGAATTATACCTTATTAAAGTAAATGATGGCATCGTACGAAGGCATTGCATCGACATGCAACTCCTCGAAGTTTGCAAAATGTAAGCTATAAGAACCCAGTTAAATCAATAGCCAGGCTTGAACAAGCCTCCTAAGGCTCAGAAATAGGGCATCCGAAGTACCAATCACAAAGTAATTCGATCAACCTCTGTTTAGACGCACGTGCAATATCTTCTCCTTTGAGTTAAATTTTGTCAGCGTGAAAAAATCTCCTTCATCCCTTACAAGCACACGTTTAAGCTAGTTTTCAGATGTAGTTAGGAATTTTTCGGTTTGTCCAGTTTTCCTTCCAGTTTGATTGTTTATTGTCTATGGTAGACGTACCTTAATATTTTCAGTTTTTTTATGTAGCTAAGATTCGTTAGAGAGATTGGATTTTGAAGCCGGTGGGAATTCTCTAACCGTGCAAAATCTTTTAATAATAAGTTCTGGAAGTATGACTTTTATATAACTAGGACGTTTCCATCGGTCAGTTATTTGAAGATGATTGAGGCGCATCAGGTAATATCCTGTAATGCTATCGTAAACATGTATAAAGAAAGGAACCGGTTAGGCTTCTCAACAATTGCACCTAATGACTGTGATTTAGCAAGGCGTTTGAAACCTGCTTTAAGATCCGACTCCTTCCTTAACTTGCCTTCGAGTACACAGAAACTCCGATAGGAAACCGTAGATTGGAGCCGAGGTACCGAGGTATTATACCAGGATTTTGCAGTGTATTTATAACAAAAAAAGCCACCTTAAATTAACTACCTTTTCGGTGATGATCATGTTTACGCAGTTTGTGCCCGTCAAGGGAAGTGTACACTTTTCCAAGATCTTATGTTTGTCTCCCTGTAGCAGAAAAACATACACATGAACAAGGTGACAATGAATTGTCGCATCATCCACTTTGGATTTTAAATCACAAATTAACTGGTCTTAGGACACGATCGCCAGAAATTGGTCCTGCACTTTTAAGATCTTTTTTTTTATTATTTTTACTGCAACGGCTTGCAGTCTTAGACGGACCAAAAGGTAAAATTAAATTTAAGCACTATGAGTGCAAGATAGAACACCCACCTTTGCCAGATGTTCCATGGTAACTATAACTTTAGACCCACTGGAAACTAAATCCATGGCACCTCCCATTCCTTTCACCATTTTGCCCTGTCAATCAATCAATCAATCAATCAATCCATCAATCAGATAATTTGGTTTTATTAAAGAGTTTCAGTTTGTTGAAAGCAGTCTGTCAGCCAGCTGATGCGTTTAGTTCTTCTCTGTGCCTGCTTCTTATGGTTACATTTGCTCGTAATGGCCGTCGCAATTGGAGTTATTTTCAGCTAAGTTTTGTAAGTAATCAGCCATTGCTTTAGTTTTACTCTGTAATTGGTCGAAAGAACTCACCCAAACATTTCCAACTAATCAGAAACAAAACAAACACCAATCGCTGCTCGCTCGCTTTTACCGACAGGCGCTTCAGGCCGACTACAAGTGACTGAGTTCTCATTTGTTCCTTTTGATATATATTGATATAATTACTTACCGGGATCATCCAATTAGCAATGTCTCCGAACTGTGACACTTGCATAGCTCCAAGAATAGTGATATCTATGTGACCTCTGCAATAAAACAAGACAAAAATCTTTTAACTTTAACCTTACCTTTCCTATAATCTAACCTACTGGTAAGACTCCTTCTGACGTCCTATATCGGATAACAATTTCTGAGATACTTGAGGAAACTGAGAATACGCGAGGTACTGATGAAACAATCAACTAAAGGAGGAAACTGAGCATGCGCGATACTAACGTAACAATCGATAAAGGGAGTGAAATGCGCGTGCGCGAGATAACTAGAGATATCTAGCCTCTATTCTCTTGTAAGCCTGATGACCAAGTTCTTGCCGTTGTTGTTTTTTATGGCGAAACGTAGTTTAAATTTTACCTCTCGGGCTACATTAATTTTCTTAACTAAGGGAGCAACTCCTACGACCACAGCAACTATACCATACATAAAGGGCATATCTGAGAACGTCTCGCGCATCCTACAACCATTCAATATCCGCGTCGCTCACAAACCTATTACCACACTAGGTCAATTACCGACTAACGTCAAAGACAAAGACGAACCGAGGAACAGACAGGGAGCAGTTTATATGATCAATTGCTCCGACTGCCACGCCTCCTACATCGGTGAGACTGGCAGAAACCTCACAATTAGACTGACTGAACACAAACGAGCGACGAGGAAAGGCGATGTCAACAATCACATTGCTGAACATCACCGACTTACGAACCACACTATTGACTGGGACTCTGCGCAATGCCTAACCTACAGCACCAACTACTTTCAACGACTGACCCTGGAAAGCTGGTTGACTAACTTGGAACAGACTCCCTTCAACAGGTTTCAACCACTACTGGCACCATACAAACGACTCATTCACGACATTAACATTACAAACGAACCGAACAGAACGACCTAACTTCACTAACGGATCCAAACCGACCAATCACGACTGACTTACGCCACTTGAGTCTTACAGCCAATAACATCACGGCAAAACTGACCAATCAGTTTATACAAACCGGACTAAGTACATTCGACTGACAACAACCTTTCACTTGACTCTGATGATGACTTCCGCTCAGGTTGTCGAAACATCAGTCACCATTTGACAACAGTCCTTCTCAGGACTACACTCACTCGGACGATCAAACTACACTATTGCGGGGAGAGAAATCATCCATATCATTGAAAACGAAATGGGTTGTTTTGTGTCTTGTTTGGGCCAAAACGAATGGTGCACTTGTTCAATACTTATTGCGTCTTCATTGGGTTTCAGCCGTTCATTAAAAACTTTATGAGCTGAATGCTGAAATGTTAAACTCCATTGATTGGCTGCAAGTGAGTGTATTCCTTTGCTTTAAGGTGGTTGCTGAGTGACGTAAACGTGGTGCTGTGCTTAGGTTGTTAATCAAACTCATCACAGCGCCAGCAAAGCGCTTCAAATAAATGAGTGAGTCGTTTCTACCTACGTATAATCAGCAGTTAAAGATATCATAACTATTTGTATGCCAAAGCGACCCCTGCGTGTTCGAGATTTTGGTTTGAAACTATAATTTTACCCAGCATCGCGATGAAAGTTACTGTTAAACCTACGTAGGAACAGTGAAGATAAATAACTCCATAATAAGAAATAAATTCTGATTTGCTCGTAACGCCCTCTAAAGAATCTCACAAGCATTCCGAAATGGTTTTAGGATATACGCTTCTGCCTATACTATAGCAACTTAATTGCTACACCTCGTGTGCCACTCGCGTTTCGACCGGTTCTTAACTTATGATCTATTGGAGGACAGACGCCTAGATGACGTCCCGTACAAAACAAATAGATTCCACGTTGCAATCGTGGCCCCCAAATATTTTTCTCGCCTTGCCTAAAAAATTTGCAAAACATTTTTGAAGGGGCCCCGTAAGAGCTGCTAACCATGACTTGTGAAAACAGGCTTTTGGTATTAACTTGTGAAACTCCCTGAAGAAGTCTACGACAGTTAGACAAAACGCGTCGGAGAATAAAGAAATTTTACAATTATTGTTCGTAAAGTGCTGCTGACTAGTTTAGTTTAAAAAAAAATTGTGATGGTTTCAAGCAGTCAACCCTCTAACCTCTAAGAGAGATTAGTAACTATTTCCTCCTATCAGTATTACTCTTAAAATAAACATTAAGGTCATGAGAATAAAGGAAATGATCACCAGCTAAAGAAGCTCTTGATTGTTAAACAAATTCCCTTTGTCAGTATCATAGAAAATGTATAGAGAACAGTGTGGAGAAAATGCATACTGATGTTAGGGTGTAAAGGGTTAACAACACCTACCCTCTGATCATGGCAAACGATTCATCACTGGAAAAGTACGAGCTGCCCGGAAGGACAGTTACTGTTTCTTTACCTGCAAATATTCAAATCACACAATCATCATTAGAAAATCTTGCAAAACCATTTTGATTCTACCTTCCTCTCTTCCAGTTCTCAAAGGCGCCATTTAATGCTTTTGAAATGTCAATTAAAACGATAAGGGCAAGTTCATAATAATTAGTTGAATTCAATAGTCGTGTTGACCAGACAGGCATTAAGAATTGAGAATGACATCAACTTGCAGTGCCGCGTTGATACACCACCAAATTCTTAAGAAGAGCTGACAAAGTTTACAGTCATGGAAGACCGTCTGTATGGTAAAATGACTTTCAGTTGTTAGGAACACTAATGCGGAAACATCCTTACTCACATTTGGTTACTTATAATCCTGTTTACAAGTCATGGTAATAGGACTGAGTAGAGTCCAATACGGTCTGTAACTACAGAAGTGATAACAAATTGGACTCCCGCTTCGCGGTTGTCCGATCTTGTTAATGACTCGTATGATTACAGACCGAATTGGACACCACTCGTTCCTATTACCATTATTAATCATAAAAAATTACAATTTTCGAGAAAAGAAGAATAGCTAAGTTATGAAAGAAAGGGAAAATTTGCATTAAAATACTGACAAAAGAGGCGTAAATTGTTTAATGTCGCTCTATGGTGATTAAAATTGTGATTGGTTGATTTAAACTACAACTTTGAATGTAATCGGCTTATTGATCTGTCCGATAACAAGCTTCTGATAGCTATGTGCCAAGTGAATTAGCGGAAAATAGGAGTTTTTTCAGCCAATCACAATCAAGGAAATAATTTTTATGATAAGAGTTTTTATCACGCTCATGATATGTAAAAAGTGTGTAGATTTCAAGACCAACAACAATCCACTAAATCAGTCAATCACCCAGTCAATCAATTAATCAATTGATCAATCAAAGAGAATTATAAATTCGATCTATTGACCAATCGAATTTTGCATCCACTCCAAATGCTAATACTTTCCAAAAAGGTTTGCCTTGGCCCGTTTGCCTTGGCCCGCAAACGGGAAGAATTTTTGTATTCTGTTTCAATAAGAAATTCCAACCCTCTCAAAAGTGTAGATATCAGATTCAATTCCTGTTCGTATGTGAAATATGGGCCCCAATCCCCCATGAACATGACCCAGGTGAAAATTGATATCCCAGTAACTGAGATTTCAGTTCTTAGTGTTCCCTTCATGAACACATGTCAATTTTTTTAATGAAAACAGTGGTAAGGTAAGGTAAGGTCTTTGAAACCAAGTGAGATGATGAAATACTGAAAAAGAGTCTACAGTTTGACAAGCATTCTGAAAAGACTAGGAATAAGGGGTGGAGGACTTTCTATGATAGAAGTGTTCAGCTTTTAAGTTTGAGGTTTAGAGCAGCTTTAAACCCAGTATGAAAGGCAGTGCAGAGTTGCAGTTATTTACTTTTGCTTATCCAGGATTTTTCATTTTTTTCAACTTTTCCACCTGCTTTTTAACCAGCAAGAAGCAAAACTAAAACAAATCATGATTAAAAAATCCCTTTTCCACACTTCAGGAAGGTTGGGTGTGTTAACTTTGAGTTTTCATGGCTCGTTGTAAAACCTTTGTTCCGATCAGTTCATGTGATTGTTTAGCCTTTCCTTTCTGATCAAGTGCAAAGGTTGTTTCTTTTACTCACCTGCATTGATGAGGTCAGCATCTACCTCTCCAGGTCTAGGAAAGGGACCCTGAGGAAGTATTCACCCCAGTCAAGTAAACATTAGCTAAAATTAAGCCTTTAACTATCAATTTCAATGAAACAATGAGGAGTAGTTTTTCATTCCACAACCTTTAACCCTGTATCACACATTTAAGGTCACCAGAATAAAGGAAATAATCAAAGACTAAAGAAATGATTTTTAAATACATTCTCCTTATCAGCACCTTATGAACTGTTTAAAGAACAGTATGGAGAATATGCATATTGATGATGAAGGTGTAAAGGGTGAAGGTGCACGTTCCTCTTTTCGCCCACGTTTGGCTGGGCTTCATTTTAACCAAATAATATGAAAGGGTTGTCTTTGCATCACCAGTTTATGGAAAAATGAACTGATATTAAGAGAAGTTACTTATGAAAATGAATGTTCATTACTTCCAGACTGACAGGGTTGATTTACACCTCCATCAAAGTAACAGTTTCCAATTCAAGATTTCAAATTAATGGCATGCATTCATGGTTCAGATCAGACTACATTTTACCACTTTATCAAAGTGCTAGTTTTAATTCATTACAAATTTTGAATTGAGAGAAAAAGAACGCCCATGGCTGTTTCAAAAGGGAGTACCACTCAAATTGATTGGCTAACTCAACACACATTCAAATGTGATATTTATTCACACCCTTAAATAACTGACCCCTGGGTATATATTAGTTACATCACAAGTCAAATATAATCCCACAGTATAATTCCCAATTAAATAGCCTGCAAAACTATTGATTTCCTGAACTGCTTAAATTAAATAACGAATGCCCTTCATCTAACTGAAAAGTCCCAGAAAAAAACACGAGATTATAAGGCTAAGCCAACAAAGGTTAAAAGGCAAAAATTGTAGCCACATCTATAGACTAACTTACCAGACCAAGAACTCCATTTTCACTTTGCAAAACTACATTCATTCCCTCAGGTATGTAGTTACTAGCTAACATAGGCATACCTATTCCAAGGTTTGCTAATATTTTGCAAAACAGTCAAGAGGCCAAACTGCAGATTTCACAGGGTAATAGGGACACAAAATACTTCACAATACAGCACACAACAGCAACAAAGCTAAAAAGCAGTCAGGGCTCTTCCTTCCCCCTCCCCTCCCCTCCCCAGAGCCCTTGAACAACTGGGTTACACTTAGATGTACAGGTACATGCAATGATTAAATGATTTGTGCACAACATGTTTTGGCTGCACACTGAAATAAACAGGACTATAAATAGTTGTAGGTTAACTGTCAGGGAAACCCAAGGAGAGGCAATTCCCCCTCCCCCTCCCCTCTTGAGAAACTGCAAATTAGAGTGCCTTCTCATTGTGTAAACAATAATAAAAAAACAGCACTACAGATGGTTTTAATTAATTTTCCACACAAAACCTCATCAAGGATACCATACATTCCATCCTTGAACTCCAAAGCTGCTCTTTTTATGATTCTTTCTCTGAGTTCAGCTCCAGGTGATTTGGGTTTGTCATTGTCTGCTTCATCCTGGGTCACAGTTAACCTCTATGAAAATAGTCTAAGATTAGTTTGTCAGACAGTGAGTCAGTTATTCATGCCGTCAGTTTCTCTGTGAGTCTGTTTTTCCATCCATCTGTATTGTATTGTAAGTTCATTTATTTTAGTCATTCAATCTGCCTGAATACATAATGATTCTAGACAAATACCTCTATCCTTTTCTGGTAGTGTGAACCTTTCAAGATCCCTTGCACATAAACACCAGGAAGATGAACATCTTCCTCTGGAATTTCACCACTTTCCACAATTTCCTCAACCTTGAAAAAATAAAAGAACATCCATTCATATATTATGATGATATAAAACCAGTACTTAGATCAGCAAGGCTGGAAACATTTTCCTGGAAGATGACAGTCACATTGTACAGTCAAAACTATTTTGCTTGGACACAACCCATTTTTGGCCTGACAAATATCCATTAAGTCATATCGCAATACATTATTCCATTTCATACATCCTTGCTACAAACAATGCATATTGTATCTTTGTGAAGACCTTACACTCCCTGTTAATCCCTGTAAGCTAAATCTTTATACAACATTTACCTCTGCTATGGTGAACTTTGCAGCTTTTCCCATAGGTGCATTGAAATTTCTTGCAGTTTTTCTGATGATAATCAAAAAAATAATTTGAATGAAATTTTATCAGAATTATTGTAAATCTCTCCTGTTCCCACTACTTCTCCATTAAAAAACTTACAGTCTCCAAAATAAAAACATATCTAGCAAAATAACAATTTTATTGCTAATTACGATCATAGTTAAGAACCATTATGATGGCATATTAATTTGAAATAGTCCAAACCAATTCAACTTGCGTTAGTTCATTTCTCTACCAAAGAGTCAAATGTTTTTTTGTACCTAAAAGTAAGATTCCCTTCCTTGTCAGCTTTCAAGGCTTTAATGAGAGCAAAGTCTCCAGTGATGGCCTCTTCCATGATATACTGACGATCATTAAATGTTCTTGCCTAGAAAAAGGAATCTGCAGGGTTACATATCAATTTACAAAACTGAATGCAACTATGTTTTTTATGATTGTTTGCAAAAGTTTCTTATTACTTCTCTTAATTTTTTCAGCTCAAGTCAGCACTTCAAGCTGAGACTTACTGTTTGTAATGGCAACTAGAGAGGATTTTGCCACCTAATTTTGCTGCATAAATCACCAATTTGTTTATCTGTGGTTATGTAGCAAGTTGCAATGATTTTATGTCATGTTTTCTATGGTCTTAAGTCAAAGTTCACTATTCTTCATCACTTTCTGCAGTAACTGCGAATTGTTACCTCAAGATTTTCACCCATAATAATTTTGGGATTATGGCATGAATCTCCAAAAACATAAGCCAGCTGTATTGCTTGGAGCATTGTAAAGTCCTCTTTTAATCACTTTATCTATTACAGCTGCCATATCCCACAAGAGTACAAAAGTCATTGAATTTTATATGCAAAGGGCCCTCTTTAAAGCAGAGGAAAATTATTACTTGGAATTAGAGAATCAAGATCAGTGTCTGAATTGGTACCTCTCGTTGTTGGCTAGCAATTTGAATGGACCCATCCTTGCTGTATTTTATAGGAGAGCCACCATGATGCACCAAGGTCCCATATCCGGTAGGGGTGTAGAAAGCAGGGATTCCTGCTCCCCCTGCTCTGATCCTCTCAGCAAGGGTTCCCTGACAGAGACAAAACACCAGATTATAGATCTGCATTGAAATGAAACTACATTCTGTCTTAACAGTTTCTATAGTTCTGTGACTATCAGGTTTTCATTTTATCACAAAATTTGTCTTTTATAGGCACCCTAAAGAAGAGGTATGATGAAATCATGTTTATCTCAAAATAGCCACACTTAGTGCACTTATTTATCAATAACTCAATTTAGTATAATTGCTCTGCTATGCACTCTGAATGGTCAAGGATTGCATCATATTTCTCTATAATCAACTTGTGCAAGGTGAAAATAGCAGGGGTACTAGATTTCAAAATGGCTGCCTCTTGTTTTCTCAGTATTACCCAGGAAGTGATAAACAGGATAAAAGAATATACAATTCTGAAGAGCACAGAAAATTCTACAAAGTTTGGCATGATAAATCAAAAGAACAATGTGAAGGTTTTGCTGATAGAATTGAATAAAACTGTTTAATTCTAGTGGAAACCGACTTCTTATTTCTGCACAAGTAATCAAACATTGCAACAGAATGGTTTCAACAACAAAAAAACTTGATAACAAAATTCAAAAGCACATGAGTAATTATACAACACTGTAATAATTCAGGTGAAGTGAATATTGTTGAATTCATGAATTAATCCAATTTGTAATCACATTCAGCAAATTCTTGTTCAATAATTACTAGATATTTCATTTTCCTCAGCATTCTTTCTTCTAATAATATACTCATTCATGTTTGAAGGAGATTTTCCATGTTCAAGAGCTCAATAATGTGATTTTCTTCAATGAGATGATTTCCAAGAAATAATGGGGAAAACTCTCCCAGTAATCTGAATGGTTTTAAACCAAGGAAACAAATAAGTCACCTGAGGTGTGAGTTCCACCTCCAATTCTCCTGAAAGGTATTGTCGTTCAAATTCAGCATTCTCCCCAACATATGAAGAAATCATCCGTTTAACCTGTAGTGAAAAAATTGTTCAGCCGATAAAAAAATACAATTACCAATTGTAGAGGAGTTTTAATCTGGCATTTATTATAATTTCTCATCAAAACACACCAGTTTTATCAACAAATGAGAGGGCAAGATTCACTCAGTTATTAATCATACTTTACAATGCAGTTGACTTAGCTGACCATACTGGACCACTACCCTCCCTCCAGGGCATGAAATTAGTTTTTTTTTTTCCTGATAGCCACTTGGCTCCTAAATTTTTCAAAGTGGTAGCCAATTCAAAAAAAGTTTCTCGCCATTTTTACAGACAAACAAAACCTTTTAATTACGCTGTCAGCGTTCTAGATAGACCCTCCAAAATTAAGTTAGGGAAAAGATCTTTAATGTAATACAAAGTGAACACTAGGATGGATGATATATAACGTTCAAGCTCATTTAAACCAAAGATTGCATCTAGTTATCGATCAAGATGCATGTGCTGCGTTTTGGACATAAACTTAAAGAGGAAGTTTGCCACGGATTTATCTTTGCAAATCTTTTTAATTCTGATCACTATATCTCTAGGTAAGGTTATGATGACGCATTCTAGTCGCCAATCTGGCAACTAATTTTCAGGATTTGGTAGCCAAAGTGAAAGATTTAGTCACATTGGTGCCTGTATTAGGTGCAATTTCATAGCCTGCCCTCCCCTTCCCCTTCCCCTCCCCCCACTGTCAATATCAAATATGGTCTCAACAAACCTGTTTTGTTTTAAGAAGCAAGCCAAGACCAAAGTCATCCACCCTGGAAATTAATTCAACAATCATATAAATCAATAGTAATATCATAATGAATGACAATTCAAAATAATTGGTTCAGAATAATTTGTGACAGTCTGACTTATACTTGTGTTCAGTTCCATTTTGACCTCAACATAGCTTTATTTTGAGCAAGTTTTCAATGCACTGAATTAGGACTGCAACTAACTGATCATTTCCCTACTGTTTGCAACAGTGCATGTTTTATTTAGTATACAGCTGTTTTGGGAAAGGGTGTCAGAAAAAAAGGCCTAAGTATTTGAATATATCTGGTGATCAATTAGTTTTATTTGGTCAAATAAATAAATATATTCATTAAACCCACACTGCCTTGACCTCAAGGTGACATTTTCCCAGATTTCCATGAAATTCTGAGGTCAAGGAAACATGACCTGAAAACTTTTAATATAACTTTTCAGGGTTATCACATGCACTTACATCCTTTTTTCTGACAACCTTACTCTAAATAATTATGTATGGTACATAATTATGCAACTGACTTCATAAAATATGCTGGGCTTGTTATAGACTTAATTACCCTGCATTATTGCTGACACATGTCAAATCTTTTTTTCCTGTCTTCAGAAGACCATCTATCAGGTTCTCAGGAATTCCACACAGTCCAAATCCTATTTATAGTATGGAAAATAGGATATTCAACTTTATGTAACAAGTTTAAAATCATTTATACTGTACAGTCACACTGTTTCATCTAAAGTTGATTCAGAATTCCTTTATTCTACTGGCAAAGATCAGTGAATGTAAGCTACAAGAATTTAACCATATATTAATCGCTGTTTTTAATGTAACTTCTCTTCACAGTTTCAATATACTATCTAGCAAAAAGATTATGAAAACAGACGTACTTATCAACTCAAGAGAGTGTATCCCAAGAAAACACCAAAATCTGTTATGATTTTAACCACAAATATATAAGGGATGTTACAACTGCTAGTAAAATCCTGGGCATTTAAAAATTAATAAAATGGTCCCGTCTTAAATTTATTTGGCCACTATTGAGAAAAAAAACCTACTTATATCATTTAATAGAAATCATTATCTACATTGTGCCTCCTCCCCCCTTGCAAAGAAAAAGAAATATGTTAAGGGGGAAAGTCAGTTCTAAGAAAATTTCATACAAAATATTTGTAAGATGTATTATTTTATTCTTCTTGCATGGAAATATGAACTAGTGTATTGACCTCTTGTTAATTTAATACCAATCCTGTCTGTATATGTTCATTTATGTACAGTAGTGCAACCCACACTCTGGTACTTAGACAGACTAAGAAAGACACAGATGCTAGGATAATTAGTTTTTATTGGGCTTCCTCTGTGTCCTTTGAGTTGTCAAGCTCATACATGCAGCCACAAGTGGGTCACGCAAAAACTTGATCCCTTTCCAACTTTAAATTAGGCTACATTCATATTATACAGAAAAAACTGATACTGTTTGACAATCTGATTGCTTATTTTGTTCGCAAGAAAAACTGCAACATTTTCTCTCCATTCACATGGAACTGAGCAATATAGTGGAATTTCAGTGTCTTTCAGTCATAGATTCATCCCTTTCCCAAAAACACATAGTGTTAGTTCAAAATGTCCTTGTTTGCTGAACAAACATAGAATTGATGATGGCACTCATACTTCAAACTAAATAAATCTAAGACTAAACAAACCTATAATTTGTCCCAAATTTTAGAGTGCAATTTTCAAATGACTATAGAGGCCTAAATTTTGGTATGATTAGAAATTGGTTTCATATAAAAGGAATACTTGTGCATGTATTTTTCAGTGGAAGAAATTGGTCGACCACAGTGACGGCAGTGGGCATAAACTTGAAAAAAATTAAGCAAACACACACACTGTATCGCACAATTAAACCAACCTCCTACAAGCAGTTTTGCACCATGTGGAATGTCTTTCACAGCTTCTTCTGCATTATTGTAGAAATGTAGATTTCTTGATGAACTTGTTGAGAATTTGCAACCTAACACAACCTATTTGAAAATACAAAATTAATTATTGTGGCTTCAACTTAATGCCAAGTGTGTCCTGACTGTTAACGTATGAACTGTAACGCGCGTCACGCACGTCTAAGCTGATAAAGTCACGCTTTAATATTTTCCTTTTTCATTAAAGCCACAGGAAATAAGCAAAATTCAGTCGAATTAATATTTCTCTTTTTCAAGCAATTTAATCTGATTCGACACTGCTGTCTACTTTTTCTTTTGAAGAGAAGAACAGATTACCTTAGGTCCTCGATTATCAACGAATTGTTGAGGTCATCTTAGCTCAGAACGCGAATAATCAACATCACAACAGTTAACATGACGGCTTCATTGTGATATACAAAATAAAGCGAAAACAATATCAACCCGTATCGAAACATAATAAACTTTACTGACAACTTATCCAGTCACTCATTTCACTGGTGGCTCAAATTCATAATCGAACGTTTCTTTCGCACATTTACAAATCTGTACCACAATAATCATTCGAACGAACCATGGAATTTTCAGGAAATAAAATGAATACAAGGAAATAAATAAAGTTATAACTTACCAAAGGGTAGTTTCTGTGTTTTAAAAGGGGTGTTAATTTCAAAACTTTGTCAAAACCACACTTATTCAATGCCATACTTTAGCAACTGTTCTTCCAGTGTTCAAGCAAGTCAAACCGAATGACTGGGTCAGCGGCCTGTTTTTAATGAAGACGAGCCTTCGAGAACACCTCTGCTCAAACTTCTGCGTAGGAGGGTGGGGAGGTAGAGTGGCTGTTTGTCCCACCACCTGGGCGAACTTCTTATAAAGAATTAAGACGTAAATATATCGCCTTAATTCGTAATTCCGTTCGTCTATACACAGGCAGACCACACTATGTATTCGAGGTTAATAATTGTTGACATGAGACGAACAAAATCTATGAGGGTTATGAATATCTCATTAAAGTTTCAACGATGAAATGTCGACGTATTTGTGATATTGCAAATTACTTTTGGCCGGGAGGCCGTTGAGAAAAGAAAAGGAGACAAGGCTTGCAAATTGGTGACCGCCGGCTGCGACCTCCTCCGCTTCAAACTGAGATTAACGTTATACTACCGAAAATATTTTTCTACTCCTCGGGGATAAAAGGGGGTTTTCTAATGAGACGTTAGGCCGACTCGTGAAAACACATGATGCTACGGTGTTTTGCTCAGGAATTGCGATCAGAGTGCGCAGGTTTCCTCCATTCCTCCGTGATTAGCCTTCGTCAGGTTCTCTTGAAACTGCGGCTCGAATGAGGGCGAGTCTGCCGTAAATACTTAGACACTTGGAAAAAATGGCTTTGCTTTTATAAGGAAACAAAGCAAAACTTACAGATGAAAACAGGATAGTTTAATTTTATCAACTGAGTTGCTTACGTAAATTGGACAACGTAAAAAGTTTAAAAGCTGACATTTCGAGCGTTAGCTCCAATCCCTCTGACGAAGGGCTAGCACTCGAAACGTCAGCTTTTAAACTCTTTACGGTGGCCAAATACCGTTTTCAACTCAGTAGATAATACCCTTTCATGATACTCTCCCACCGGCGCAGCACCACAGTTTAATTATTTAGAAACTTACCCTCTCTACAGATGAAAAGTATGAAAACAACCACGATCATTACAATCTATAGTTGACATCCTTTTCATAAATCTACACAGTTCAGAGCCTATTCAATTAATGTATTCACTGCTTCAGGAGCTTTCAAGTATTTGCTATTCTTTAACTTCGGTCCTTTCTTAGCCCTCTCGCTCATTGCGTTTTTTCGCAAATTTCACGGTCTTTTTGCAGCGTGCTTAGGACCGTGGCGGTAGATAATTCTCAAAACATTTAATAACATTGTCTTTCATAAAGCAACTCTGCCTTTCTAAGTGACATTTCGATCTTTTACGAAGGAATCACACAACTTCAAACCATACATCCGAGTTATCAGGAAATTTTGTAGCTGAATGGAGCTGCGTTTCTCGAACACAACGGTGTACTTCAGAAAGAGCTCAGTGTCTCTCAGTTCCAATCCTGACTCCGCAAAGAAACCGTGGATCACGGCGTTTTTTCTACTAAGCAAGGCTAGAGCCGCTATAACATTTAAACCTCCTTAATTCGTTAAAATTATTTCCTTCCATTTTTCACATAATGTAATTTATTATTTAGCGTTTATTTTTCCTTAGTTTTATCATTTCTATGTTATATAACTTCGAATGGTGGATGTAGAGCTACTCGGTAGAGATTTCGCCAGTAAATCATTATTATTATTATTATTTGTAACCGAAGTCACTCGTAATTGTGTTTATAATTTATTTAAAACATGGACAAGCTTACGGTACCAAACATCAGTAGGAAAATGTATTTTAAATAACGAAAGCTTACAAATAAACTCACAATGAACAAAAAAATTAACCTTAACAGTGTATAGATTTACAGGCAAAAACATCAACTCAAACACCAACCACAAGTGCACAATGCAACTAATGAAACGTACAAACACACACAGGTAATTAACACGTAAACGCAATACAAACAGGAAATGGTGTGACAATAAGTTTCGCGATAGCATTAGTAGAAGGTTTTTTTCTGGAACCATTTCATATCAGCTCAGCTCTTCTTTACACAGCTCGAACTTCTGAAATGCTTCAGAAACCAATGATTTCTTCTTCGGTGTCGTGTCCCACTGCACATCAAGAGCGTGATCGATTGGTAAATCGTCGAGGTCAAAGTTAAGGTTTCCTTAGGAACCGAAGCAAAGGTCTCTCGACGATTATTAATTATTTTAGTTAAGTAGAAGCCTAGTCTAAACAACACTTTTGAAGGCAGGGGTCCGATTACTCGTGGGGAGGAAAACTTTGCTCAACACTTTTTAAATCGTCGTTAGGGACGGTTATACGAAGGAATCCCTACTAATTTAAAACTTGAAAAACAAAACAAAGCCTTATCAGGTAGTAACCATGGTACCAGAAAACAATTTGGTCACCCTCAACACTAAATGCCACCTGAAAAGAACTAGTAATGTTTGCTACCGTTTAAATATCAACTGAAGTTTCTCTTTAGTGTTTTAAATAGCCTCAAGCTGGGTAGATTGAGCGCGCCTCAATACGCAAGGAATTGAATGAAAGTTAAAAGTATCATTTCTGTATGTAAATGAGTTTTTAAATTGGTTTGTATTTGCATCATTTTCTTAAGGTAAGCAAGGGAAATCTCTTTTACAAGTACCTTTTTAACGTATGATTCATGCAGTTAACAGGTTCTTCATGTAGATGCTTCGTGTCCACTTAAGGACTGTATTTTGTCATGGTTAAACTTCTCAGGACAGCAGTTCGATGAAAAGTCATGATCCCAGTCAATATTGACGTTAACATCTCCACTAATTTTTCCAATGTTTCTTTTTAGAGAATAAACCATTTATCACAAGCCTTTTTAAAATCAGCGAAGATTTGGATCAATGAAAGAAACAGGATAAAAGAGAATCAGGCTTTGCGAGAAGAAGAAACCTTGCCATGGCTATTCCTTGGTTTCCAAAATGTGGGTATTGTTTTTTCGTGGTATAACGTTTCTCATTATCTTAGTAACTACACTTACTGCAAAATAGCAACCAATTAAGAAATATCTCAATTCAAAGGTCTTTATCGTACGCCTGGTTGAAATATTTTCCTCATTTGGGCCAGGGTTACTTATTCTGCTGCTTATATTACATTTTGACGAAGCAACTGAACTAGGTCTGTTTTACAACCAATGGTGTGTTAATAGTGCAACCAAATAGATAAATTTGGTAACTGACCTAGTATATTCTCGGCCGATTTCAAACCTGATCCATAAACACGACGGTCGTGCGGATTTTAAAAAATGGATCACACCAACCCATCTCTAAATTCCATGGTAATCCTGTGAAACTTGATAAACTAAGAACTCACTCTGTATTTTTTCACCTTCCTCTCCATAACGTGCAGCCGTGAAGTATTATGTGAAAAGCTTGCTGTCTACCATCATAATTTTAAGCCTTTTGGGAGTCATATTTTACTGGAAAAGCTCTTTCTTGGAATACGATTATAAGCGACTTATTCGTGCAAACAAGCCATTTATGCTGAACAGTATTCAAGCCTCATATGATGTAAGAAAGAACCAATCAACGACGTGCCACAATGTACTGAGCCTAATGCGAAATGCCAGATGGGTGAAACGTATGACTGTAACAGCAAGAGAGGAAATTCAGCAAAGTAATACGGAGCTTCAGATTCGTAAGAAACGTGGGTTGCCTCTGATCCTACATAGAACTGACAGAAGATGTGGAGGCAAACCATATTTCCTCCACGCTCCCAACCTTGATTTAGAAATTCCTGCTCTCTGTGACGTTACAAGTACAGCACCTTGCTGCAACCACAAAACAAAATGGTGTGGGGCTGGACCCAACAACTGCAACTGCCATAGATGTACTGACTATAGGGAAGAGATTTCCGCCGAACTTTACAACTGGGTTCCGTTTGATGGCTGCATATTCGCCAATTTCACCACTGAAAGAGCCTGCAGTCTCACGTCAAGCCGAGTTTCGAGACTGATTCTAATTGGAGACTCTTTAGTAAGACATCTTTTTAACGCATTGATGATTTTGTTTACAAATGATAAGGAAAGAGGAAGTTTGAAACGAGTGCAAGATCCTAAGGTAAAGAATTGCCGAGGTGTTATGCAGTTTGTCGATGGGGGTAAAACTGCTTGTCATAACAAAACCCTGACAAGTATTCCGGTCGCAGATGAAACATCGTTTTGTCAGGGAAAGTATAACTTTGATTTTGCCCTCAAAGAATACCACAGCATGAACGAGGCGCCAAATATTTTGGCCACTGTTCGCCGCAACATAAATAGAGAGAGAACAGTTATTGCTGTGGGTGTTGGACTTCATATGGATTTAAACGCAGAAACAATACAAACGCAAATCATGGATCCTTTGCTTAATATCAAGAAATCCAATGGTGCAACGTGGCCGTATATAATATGGCTTTCAGTGCACGCTCTTGGAAGTGTAAAGGATACAAACTACGATGTCCCATCTGAAAACGATCGTGTCGCACGTTTTAACTTGAGCATGGAAAAATATCTATCAGCTTACGGCATTCCAGTGTTTGATACTTTTAGTTTGACTAATGGCGTACGGAGTATAGATGGCACACACTTTGGGATGGGACTAAATATGGTTAAAGCCCAGCTTTTTCTAAACTTCATACAAGAATCACTTTAGACAGACAAAAATTAAATTTATCTTCCTTTAAAAAGGTCTATCAAGTCAAAGAGTGAAAGGAAAAAAATATCAAAATACTAAAAAGACAACAGGTAATGGAATTTTCTTTTAAACAAAGAGTTTTGCGCGAATGGATTCAATCTGCGTATTGAGACAAGGATTGCGCTGCTTGATGAAAAGCATCTCATCAAGTCGGGTAAAGATGGAACGTAGTTCAGTGCATTTTTGATTGAAGGCTTCAGTCGTTGAGGATAGAGCATATGCACGATGGATCATTGTTCTGAGCAAGCAATCTTCATTTGAGGATACAAGCCTCCTCAAAGAAAGCCAATTCCGTATTCTAAAAAAGTGCCAAGGAAAATTTAACTGTTTTGTCTATGAGATGCTTTTCATCATGCAACGCAACCCTTGTCTCAACACGAAGACCGATTCCATTCGCGCAAAACTCTTTGTTTAAAAGAACATTCCATTAACTTTTGTCTTTTTAGTAATAAAACATTTTTTATCTTTCACTCTTTGACTTGATAATATCGTTAGCCAAACGTCGAAACGTCGTCAACATATTTTTAATATGCTTTTACAAAATGTTTTATCGCAATTTTTTATCGTTAAATGTTTCAAAAAACCGCTTCTTTTACGTATATGTAAAAAGGTCACCGATAGAAAGGTACAAGATCAAGTTTTGCTCATAGCTATGCAAAAGTGGAAGTGAAGTGATGTGAAGATGCGATCTGCTAATTTCTCGGGGTTAGCACATAGAAGTCTGAGGATTACACTTCATGTAATCCGGCAAAGATGTCAGACCGATGGTTAGATATGGCAGACTACTTGGGAAGATCTGTTCACCATGACAGAGCTCATGCTCGAAACACCAGCTATGGAAACTCTTCGCGGTGGCCAATTTACATCGTCTGTGTGAGTTAAGTTCTGAGAAGGACTGTTCTAGGTAGTAGTGACTGACGTTTCGACAACCTGAGCGGATATCATCATCAGAGTTTGGTAAATAGTTGTTGTCAGTCGAATGTTCTAAGGCCGGTTCGTATATCAACTGATTGGTCAGTTTTGCCGTGATATTATTGGCTGTAGGACTCAAGTGGCGTAAGTTGGTCGTGATTGGTCTGTTTCGATTCGATGTTAAAGTTGGGTCGTTCGGAGTGTCCTGGTCGGTTTGCAATGTTAGTTATAAATACTGCGTTTGTAAGGTGCCGGTAGTAGTTGAAACCTGTTGAGGGGCGTCTGTTCTAAGTTAGTAAACCAGCTCACCAGAGTCAGTCTTTGAAAGTAGTTAATGCAGTAGGTTAGGCATTGCGTAGAGTCGCAGTTAATAGTGTGGTTCGCAAATCGATGTTATTCAGCAATGTGATTGTTGACATCACCTTTCCTCGTCGCCCGCTTGTGTTCAGCTGGTCTTGTTCTGAGGTTTCTGCTGGTGTCTCCGATGTACACTGTAATCCTACTAGATATTCAGCTGCAATTTATATAACCTAAGACTAGGGAAATTCAAAGCCAGGAGATTTCCTCGAAGAAAACAAGTGATCCTAAAACACTGAAAAATGATGACCTTCAATCCAAAATTAGACTATGCTACGAAAAAAAAAAACATGGCTTGGGGACCTAATGTCACCCAGCATACCCGTGTTAGTATGTATTGGTCAGAGGCAAAGCACGACGAGACAAACTGACTTCGGAAATATTTCCACCTTCATATAAATAGATAAAGGGAAATGTTTTCCTCAAGTTTTTATTGCATATGACCGTCCACCTTTTTTGTTATCATCAATGTGAAAGGGGTTATGCCTTTGTTGCCCAACAGTAAGAACTGCGTACATGAAAATTTGTATGTGTAACTTATAGCTACTTTAACATGATAGATTAATACCTGACCCGTGTTTCCTTTACTTGATACGAATTCTAGCCTGTTGTAATATAACGCGAGCGTGTCGTGCATTCGGGCTGCATCTAGGGCTGGCGTCCAAGGGATATTTATGTTAAACTGTTGGGGTTAACCAACTTGAGCAACTCGCGCAAGAGGAGGCACAACCAGTCTGTTCAGGAACTTTGTTTCACTCTCTGAGACTGACTCTCTCTCACTAGTGTGGCCCTAAGTACAAGCTTTTAAATATCCTATGGGTAGGCATGTTTGGGCTTACGGGACAACTGACCTTGGCAGAGTATTTAATAACAATTAATCCAAACAATTTCATGACACATTCGAAATGAAAAAAAAAGTACTTGAAAAAACAACCAATCTTCGAGAACTAAAACGCAAACAAAACACCCCGTTGATGACTCTAAGCAAGGTTAAGGACAAACTCAAACACGACTAGCGATGACGATCATTGTGCGAGAATTAAATCCCACTAAAACGGTGCAGGGCACACACTAAGAAGATAAAAATAAATGCCGCGTAGTTTTGCAGCACATGACTAACCAAGGCTTTGAAGACTCGCAGAAGGATTTCAAGATAATGTAACAAACCTGAACAATTGCCAAACACATAGCCATCCTAATTTCAGTAGTTCTCAAACAGTTCTAAATAAATGTTAATATTTCATAGCATTTCAGTTAATTTACATTCGTGAGTGAGTGGTTACTTTGCACGAAGTGGATTTGAAATAAAAGGTTTAAAAAATTCTCCAGTTTGATTCCACTTGATACTGCAAGGCCTTAAGATCACTCATGTCCTTGTGACACCGTGGGCGTTTATACTCACCTCTTCAAAACTCACCTATCCTCTTCATAAGATGGAGTACTCGGTAAACCGATGAAAAATGCGGTTTATTTCCTATGTAAAGTGGACAATAATCTGTCAGATAAGGAAAGAACGAGCACGAATGGCAGAGAAAGGAGAAGATTGATACGGAGTTGAAATGATAAACTCCTACATTGTATAGTCTCAATGGGGTTGACCGTCGTAAGCGTAAAAATCGACAAATTCTAACCGTTAGTCATTAAAAAATAAACCGTTAAAATTAATTTTTTTAATCCCCATGGAAATTAAGCGTTAGCCGTAAAATAGTCAAAATTTAAATCATTAGCCGTAAAAGCCATCACCCCAGCAAGGCCCTCATTGTAGGGTTGGGGTCCTAGTGTGCATACACTGTCACGGAGCTCTTACACCTGATTGTTAATTCTCCGCTCTAGCTACTACAGATTTCCTTGTAAACAGTTTCGAGAATTTGGTGTTAGACCAAGACAACATCTACCTGATAAGTGTGAGTATTTTCATTACCTGTTTGCTAGATAATGCATGGATATCCTAGTGAGAAGTAACATGTCAATCACTTTTAGGAGTTAAGGGTCAAATCGTTTTGTTTTTGTAGCGGTCGAGTGATCAAACGGTGATCCCCGTTGTCCTGCAGGTTGTTATTTGATTTTGTGATTTGATACAAGACGGCCACCTGTACATGTCAACGCAGATTGAATTTTTTGTTTGCGGTGATCATTTTAGTTTTCGAATATGCCAAAGACTAGAATTTAGAGACCAAAATTGCGCAGACGGAAGAAGAACTTCGAATGGCGCCTTTACGATAGGGCGCCTTAGAGGTGATTCGACATTACACGAGCGCAAACGTTATGGTTTTCATTTTAATATTTGATCTTCTACTGACAAACATTTGATTGTGAATCTTACGGTGATTTTTTTTTCTTGATAAAAAAATTACCTCCCATCATATCAGTGATCAAAATATTCACCTAAGAGTTTCCCTAATGATTCACCGTGAACACTGAGGGGAGAAAGTAGATGGTGGTGTGTCTTCAAGTTTCCTGTTAAACCTTCATAATGCAACAGGTTTCAGAGTGACTATCTTGTGGATTTCCAGCAAATAATATCACAACCAGTTACCGCAACACGTAAGGTAAGTGCTTCAAACCTTCAAATTCTTAAGTAGACTAACTTCGGGTATACGAATTACTTTGAATCCTTTGAATCTTAGATGAATGATAGAGGGCCCGGGTGACATATGTTAATTACTTTTTTTTTTCAACGATGACATGCAGTATTTTCGTTTTTGAGATTTTCCTTTTGAAAATTGCCATAGAAATACAGACTCTTATATGGTAAAGCGGCAGCATATGTCACTGCAAGTCCAGCAAAGCAAAACAGTCGTTGTCGTTGAGTCGTTTTCACGAGCAACGTGTAATGCACCACAAGCATGGAACACAGAAATACCCAAGTCTCAAACGAGATATTGCATCTCAGACCGTCACATTTTGCGCGCCAACGCTCTTCCACTGAGCAACAGACAACGTCGATAATGAGCCATGTTATATGCTAAGTTGATGTGTGACAAGAGCCCTGCATTCTTCTGGGATCAGGGCTAGGATCAGTGCTAGGATCAGTGCTAGGATCAGCAATTTCGAAGAACACCGTGTGTGTAAATGGAAAAGAAAACTGGCAAATTTTTAGCGCGCTGCTGGAGTAAAGAAAGATACTATTCCTTTAGAAACGAGCTCAGTAAAATATGTTAATTCATTCGACGAGCTAGCCTAAACTTTCTCGTATTTCTGATCCAAATTGTTATAGTCTCGGGAAAATAACGCATTTATTTTTAACGCTTGTACTGATTGTAAACTAATTGTGGGATTTTTTCTCGTTTTGCTATTTTTTCTTAGGTTTAGAGAGTTATAAGAAAAAACTGCCCATTCTACCAAGGCCAACGATTATGAAAACTCGATGAAACCTACCTTGATATTTCTGCTGTTGCAGTCCTGCATACTTCTGGCAGCACAGAAAGGTAAACCAACTTAATTTTCAGTTACTACCAATGATTATTTCGTGTATCTTGTGATAAACACTCGTTCTGGTTGGCTACATGAGGCGGCGAAGTTGGGCATCAAGTTTCTGTTATGCCCATTGGCTGACTACAGATTACGGATCCTTCAACACTACAGAACAGAATAATTTTTACGCCTCTAATTATCCTTTGTCTGCTAACAGGCCAATAGTTTATTGACATGATACATCAATGGTAGTTCATTAACTTTCCTTTTCCACTGTCCTAGTTTATGATTACCTAGGCTGCTGGAAAGACGACAACTCTCTTCCACAAATAAAATTGAACCTGCCAGAACGACAGTCACACATTTCACTACTGCGTCAGTGTTCTAAAGCTGCTTACTCGCACGGGTTTCCAGTGTTTGGAGTCGTAAACAACTCAGCATGTGTAGGCAGCGTTCATGGAGCACTCACCTACATGCGGTATGGTCCCTCCACTAAATGCCACAATGGCACAGGGGGACTCAGCGCAATGGATGTTTACAGCTTGGATGGTAAGACGAAATCCCTGTGACCTGTGAAATGGTTTGACAGCCTACTTCTGGACACACGAATGTTGACTATTTAACCCAATTCATAAGTTGCCTCACGGACATGTTTGGTCGTAGGAAGGCAGAAAGAGCGCAGTTGAACATGGTTTAATACTATGAAGGATAGATCAGCTGATACACTTTGCCTGCCTTTGACTTAGTTTGTCCTTCTTCTCCAATAGTTCAGTCACTAAATTCTGTAATTTTTTTAGAGGAAGGGAAACTTAAAAGAGAATATAATGTACCCACACCTACCGCCGTCTATTTTGACATAGGCAAGAGCACGAGGAATACGAAGGGAAAAGCCGTACCGTAGTTGCCGAACAGCAATGACTTGAAGAATTGCGCCATGCTTGTTAAAAGAAATTTGAGAAACTTTCTAAACCGTCTTTATTGTCTTTATGGTCTGTGTTGTTGAAGGCCCACTTGTCAGTGAGCCATCCGTGAGTTTTTTTTCCAATGAAGCTTCGTTCTACATTTTTCCAGATAACTCTGGTTTCATTTCTTAAGATGTGGCCCTCTTACACTGATTGGTGTTCTCTATACGTTAATGCCCTCTTAATAAAGGTACCACCGGAAGCAAGCGTCTCTTTTATGAAGAAGACCAAGAGAAGAGAAATTTCATCAGTGATTTGTATAATTCTGCTTACGGAGATCATGTCTCAAATAATGTGATGGCCGCGTTAAACAATGCCTTGGATCAAAACACGGTCATTCCTGTAAATGCTGCGCGACACCCATTGGTTAAGAATGGTCGAGTAAAGCCACTTATGTTACAGCCTCTATTCAAGGAGATTGACGAAAGTGACTTTAGAGGTAGGAGAGTGTCCCATCAACTTAAATTGGAACTCGAGTTAAAATTTAAATGTACACTTTTTGAGTTAGCTTTGAACTCTAATGTCGTAGAGTTCTGGACTGTGTGTTCTCCACATTTGTAGACCAATTTGCCTTAAGTAAATTGAGATTTATCAACTGGGTTGATAACGCAAATTGGCCACCAGTTTCTAAAAGTGACGTTTCGAGCGGAAGGGCTAACGCTTGAAACGTTAACCTTACAAACTCGTTACGGTGGCCAAGTTACAATACGTACTCAGTTGATAAAACTAAACTGTCTCGAAATACCCCAACCGACGCAGCACCGCAATTTCTCTAGAAACTTACCCCCTTTATTCAATCATTCAGAACTCAACTTGCATTGATGCACGCCTCGTAGGCGTTTTGTGTGATGTTGCCGTTGATTTTGTTAGTTTGGTTTCGTTTTTTTTTTTTTGTTGTTTCTTTCTCTTCTTCATTACTTTTTCAGGTGCAATTATGACCAAATAATCCTGTGTTGTCCCATTTTCAGCATACCGACCACCAACTAGTGGCATCAACATTCTGACCAACCCAGGATTTGAACAGCCACTGGTAAATGATCCGATAAAGGGATGGAGCTGCCAAGGCGAGACAGATGATCCTCGTGGAGGTTTCATTGCCCGATACAGTCGGCAGAGACCCAAAGAAGGAAAACACAGCGGTATATGTCTTGCACGTCTCTCTGAATGGGCGGGACCTGGTCAGTATGTAGGTAAGAGCTCCTACACCACAAAAACGTCGTTGTTTAGTTTTGCTACACTTTATTTGAAATTGTGTATTTAAAGCAAAAGGCAAAATATTCGTGAAGTTCTGCACAAGGCAAAGTTGACCAATAAGATAAATAAAGTAAATGAAAATGGCAAATATTTAAAGAGCCCTTCAACTAGGTCCGTGGTGACAAACTTCCTAAATTCTTATTTTATTTTGGCGATCAAAGTATGTGATTTAGTGGGGTAAACTTATGTGAAACAGGGCGTAAAGCAACCAGCCATCAAGAGAACTCCCAAAGAGGATTAATATCTTCCTCTGGTTTTATAATTAGAAAAGAGTGCGGATTTTTTTAAAAGGTATTCTCTATTTGTTGAAGTAAACTACCTTGCTACAGATAAAATCCTTTTTATAACTTACTCAGGCAGCAGAGTTTTGCCAGGACGCATCTACAAATTTATGGGATGGACGAAACTTCTGGACCGTGAAAAAACTGGGGATGTTCATAGCCTTGAGTTATGGATACGCTTTAAGAAAAGGGGAGACAAGAAACAGAAGAGCAAGCGTCTTGCTAGGAGGACAAAATATTCCCAAGGTTAGTAGATGTTACACATGAAAGAAACACCATTTTACCAACTTCGGAACTGTCCCACCATTTTCCTCGGTTGACTCTTTCCATCTCTTTCGCAGCTTTAAAGCTGTTGCCAAGTGTAACTTGTGTTGGTTTTGCCCTATCCCAAAACACAGACCTTAAGTCAGGTTAATCACTACCATTACAATTTCCTCAAATATGATTGGTGCATTAGCTGCTTTATTTTTCACTTATCCTTCTGTACAGTTGTACATGTAATTAGACAGTGTAATCGAAGAGGTGGCTGTAATCGGACACCTATAATCGGACAGTTGAAGCAGCCAATCATACTAATTCCACTCAGCTAAATCCACCAATCACATAATTGATCACAATAACCATAGTGATAACCACTTATCCTGCTTAAAAAAAACAAAAAACTGGGACATTTCCAAAATGGAGGAGTTTTTTTACTTCAGATATTGTTTGTCCTAAATATGTTTGTTTTTACGGAAATTATAGTGGTTATGATTAATTGGAAACAGGACTTCTTGTCATCCAATTCTGTTTGTAGTCATACTCGTAATTGACAACTCGGACTTCCGCTTGGCGGTCATGCGTTTTTGTTGATCACTCGTCTGATTGCAGACCGAATTGGACTCCACTCGGTCTTATTACCATTATTAATTACCGTAAATATGTTTCACTTTTTCCTAGATTATGGCTGGGTCCTTTGGCATACTGCATTTGAAATGCCAGCGGCTAAGGCAGGCTTCCAGTACATGTTCATTTATTTCAAGGGTCCCAAACCTACGGTTGACATCTTGTTGGACGATTTGTATCTCGGTGAAATTCTTCAAAGGCCTGACTGGAAAGAACATAGCGATGCTCTCATTGATAAATACAGAAAAAGAAACGTGAGATTAAGGTCCGTGGAAGCAGGCATTTATTACAGTTCTTTAAATGTTGTTGGGAAGCGTAGTGGCCTAATGGTCAGTACGTCGAGAAGCCCGGGTTCGAGACTTAGCCGAGACATGACACTTTAATCTCACAGTGCCTCTGTTATAGGCACACTAAATTTGGAACCTCGATCTGTTGTGTGTCCCGCATCTTCATGGTGAAAGCGATTAAAAACCATTTGCTTCTCCAATCTTCTTTTCTATGGGAAGTAAGAAAGTTCAAAGACTGAGGTAGAACCCTAAAGAGCCTTTCTTGTTGAAATTTTATCAGAGAAAAGCAACTCGAGTCCCTTCTTTAAAAATGCACAAAATCACCTTAGCAATACAAACAGCTCTCATTCTTGAAAAATGATAGTTGCTAACAAGGAGTAACCCTGAGCTTTATATTCATGTAAGCAAACAATTATTTTTGCGATTTTTACGATTTTTTATTTTCTTTACCTTGGAATGACAAATTTTTTTGCCTCTCATTTTTAGTGGAAGTACGCATTTTATTGAAGAATTTCTTCACACCTTATTTGTAAATTATTGGCAATTGCAAACGAGTTTTGTTTCCGTTTTTCTTTTTCATTAGAGTGAATATCCAAGGCACACGATATTCTGCGGACTTTCTTCAAAATCTGAAAATGACAGTGAGTAGAACATTTTTTTTTGTCCCATGCAATCAAAGATCAAAAAAATAAAAGTCATAGGCATGAATCCAAAGGTCTCAAGTCCCATATCTCACGGAGACTCAGCTTTCTTTTCAGTTATCCACGCTCGTGACATGAGGACAAAGCGTCTCTCCCTATTTCTTTACCAAACGCAAAATTTACCACTTTTTTTTCTCTATACATTTGACATTCCCTATGCTAACAGTGTACAGGACTCTTGTCACATATGAGTTCAGTAATGGCCTTTCTTTCCATAGACTTCTTTGAAGCTCATTAGTAGAATGTCGAAGCGCGAAGGTCTGAAGCTCAGAATTATTCCTTCAACACGCACTCCTGAAAAGTCGAAGAAATTGTCTTTCTTTAATAATTAGCTGGTTCTAATCTAAAATGCTTCATCAATTAAATCATTAAATAAAACTTATAACACCTCGTTTCTTAATCCCTAGGTAAGACAAAAATCTCACCTCTTTGCATTTGGCGCGGCCGTTAACAGCAACTTCCTTTTACATAAACCAAAATATCGTGATTTTTATCTAAAAAACTTCCAGTGGGCAGTATTGGAGAGTTCTCTGAAATGGAGCTATGTCGAACCTAGTCCGGTGAGTAACCACAACGTAGAAACTTGTCAACTTTAACAGTTCTAGCATACACTGCAATTGATAAATGTTTGCAGATTAAATAGTGGTGTTCAGTCAATCTAGCCATTTCAAACGCTCTTCAACTAACTACATACGAATGCGTTCCTATGCACTATAAATGAAGGATTTTCTCAACTCATAAAAATGATCTGTCACTTATAACTTAAAATTACCCATAGGAAACCTCTTAATGTTGGTGCGATTTAAAGTTGAAAGCTTTAGAACCCAGTAGTATTGGAGTAAAGGCAAACGGGAAGCTCAGAAAGTGGAAATTTTCTTTTTGCTATAAGCCATCCAAGGAGTACCTAGAAGAAATTGCGGTACTGCGTTGGTTAGGGTATTTCGAGACAGTTTAGTTTTATCAACTGAGTACGTATTGTAATACGTTATTATCAAGTTTTTTTCTTAACTTATCTGTAGAGTGATTTGGGGAAAGTTCATTTTAATTAACTGACGCATCATTTGCGTTTTGAACTTATTATAGGTACGTTTCACTTCAGGGCTCTTTCAACTACAAAATTTCGGACGAGGCTGTAGATTTCCTACAAACACACAAGTAAGAGATTAACTGAAAAAAACATTTATTCTTCTTTCTCTGTTTTTGCGAATTATTTTCTATTTTAGTAACTTAAACTTAAATGCGGGACTGCACCCTTAGTGCAATCTGAAGATTAACTGAGGTCGCCACAAAATTTTGGTGAAATATTTTATTAACAACGTGCATTTTGGTTTTGATGATTGACGCGAAAACCGAGCATTTGAAGTTTTTCTTTAATTGGCTATGCACATATTCCTTCAAGCCGAGTATGATGAGCAAGACAAATGTTATGGGTGCAGCTATCTGTAAACCAGTTTACTGCGAGCAAAGCCGCACATTGTTGTTTAACTTGAGTAGTAACTAGAGGAGTGAACGATCAACTCTCCGTTCTCTGTGTCAAGGGAATGTTATTTAGAATTTATCATTTCCTTAATAATTTGCCTCCTTAACCAATCCTTTTCAGCAAACTGATTCGCGGCCATTGCGTCTTCTGGGCAGTTGATACAGAAGTTCCGTTTTGGGTGAAGAACTTATCAAATACCCGACTGAGGGAAATACTGCATGAAAGATTGAATAATCTTCTTGAGAGATATCGAGGCCGGTGAGTGTATGAAGACAGAACTTGGATCTTGTGGTTACTGTTGCTGCTATCATAGTCGATGTCCTTTTTTGTTGCTGCTGAGATCGTGGTGAAAAATGTTGTTGTTGCTGTTACTGTCGCAAGCTTTTGCTATTAATGGTAAATGTGATGTGCGTATCATTCGGGTTGCACTCGCTGATTAGAATGTTCCGTGGGAAAGAAAAGAAACGGGAGCCAGCAGTACCCTTTCCTCACCTTTGCGAATGCCAGGATCCCTTTCGAAAAAAGGAAATGTGATATTGATCCGTTTGAGCTACCTGCAACGCGAAAAATGTAACAGAAAAATTGTATTTTCAGTTTTGGGTAAACTACTCAAAAGGTCGTAGTTTTTTCGGATTGTTTCGAAGTAGAAAATGCTATCCTAATAGTTTGTCGACCGAAATAATTAAATTCTACGAATAAATTTAGGAATCAAAGTTGTGCGACATAAACCAGAGACGTATGTTCTATATTTATGTCTAACATTTGCCGTTATTCATCAATATCTTTTTTAGTTTTATGCAGTGGGATGTCAATAACGAAATGCTGCACGGATCATTTTTTGCGGATCGTGAAGGTGTCACCATTCGTGATTGGATGTACCAAGCAGCAGCCCAGGCAGACCCGGATGTTGATTTATTTCTCAATGATTTTGATGTGGTAGAAAATGGACAACTAACTCAGGTGAATAGGACTTATATAGGTTGAAACAAAAGTAAGCGTACATAATTATGTTACATGTACATCTTAAAAATAAAATTTTTTATCGCCAATCACTGTTTCAATTTTCCTTTTCCAAAAGTGTAAGTACTCTCGCCGCGCCTCGAGCAACTCTTACGCTTTTCTCGTACTCTCCAAACTTCCCGCGAGCATCCATAACTCGATCCACGCACCGCAAGCATGAACCAATTCTTTTATACTCAATAATGCTTTGAAAAGATTCATGGCTGTAATAACATCTAATTTTACAAGTCGTAATAGGTGTGTACCCAACTGTTTCGATCCCTTACGGCCTTGGAGCAAGTGAGGGGTGGAAGTATGTTTTCTTTAATAATCTTTTCAGTGAATTAGCTCAGCAACGAGGATTAGGAATAACGTAGCCTTAGTTTAAGAGAAATATGTCTCAGTTGGATAAAATAAAGCGGATAAAATGGAATGAGTTGAAAGCCTTTACTCAGTTTATGATGGATGGTAGAGATGTATAAGCATAAAAAACTTCTCTTATCATGATTTCAGGCTTTCTTGGAGGAGGCAAAGGGTTTGCTATTACGTGGAATTCCGTTGGACGGAATTGGAGTTCAGGGCCATTTTACTGGTCACGTGAATCCCACGCTACTCCAGGTGAGCGTACTGCCAGGCGATAAATTTGTCATACAAAGACAACAAAATCCATTTCCTTAGCTGAAGAAGACTCAAGATATAGAGAATACATGGGCACGTGTAGATATGGAATTTCTCTTCGAGAGTTTAACTGGAAAGTTCACGAGTGAGCGCAGCGAACGAGTGAGATGTCGAGTTGAACACGAGAAGAGAAATTCAATATCTACAAGCAACCATGTATTATTTTGTTTATCATATTAACACAATAGCCCTTTGCTGGGAAGAAAAGCCGACTTCATTAATGAATGAGTAAAAGTGAATCGACAATCCTCGAATAACAATCGCAGAGTGCGTTGGCGCTGACTCTTAAGATGGAAAAATGCGCTGAGTCATGAATACGAAAACAACAATGGTCGTAATTTTCAAGTTACAAAATTGTCATTTATTGACTTTGTCCTTACCGACAGAAGAAGTCTTTCAGGTAAACGGCCAAAACCGGCCGGTGGCAAATCTTCCAGTTGTCGATTTTCATTCTCAGCCGAAAGTAATGCTAACACCAAAGCCACCGAATACGCAACTTTCGGTTTTCCTTTCAGTATATCAGTTTTTTTCCCCTTACAGGAAAGTTTGAACCTCATTGTCTGTCAGCGATACGGATTTCTTTAGTGTTTTAGCCGCAATAATTCGAGAAAGCTCCGACAACCAACTTGTATTGAGAATCGTGAAAGCTTTGCCGTTCATTCATCAACCTGACCGAGTGGCGTCAAAGGCGAGTGACGTGTAAGCAGCGGATTGGCTATATCAACACACGTAAAAAAATACGATATTTTCTCACGAGTGTTGTTACGACTTTTCTCAGGGCCGGAAATCCTTGTATAGCTCCGCAGTTTATGTGATAAATAGTTGTATTAGACTAAAGCGGCTTGCAAGGTTCTTAGGCATGTAAAATAGATAGATAGCATTTAATGATAAATTAAAAGATAATGCTCGCTAAGCCTGGATAAGAACTATGTCTTACGAGGAGTTTTGGCATCTTGACCTCTTCATTTCACATGCATGGTTCAGGCTTCAGCCAAGCAGTGCAGTATTTTTGCTCAATTTTGTTAAAAAAGAGCTCTCCGGATTTTCTTCTTTTCGGAGATTTTTAGAGTTCTTCATCATTCTTGTGTTTTAGTATCGCCTTAACATGCTAGGTGAAGCCAGGATTCCAATATGGTTGACAGAAGTCGATGTTCTTGAAAAGGACCCTATGAAAAGAGCAGATAGCCTGGAAACCGTCATGCGCACTGCATTTAGTACTCCTGGCGTTCAAGGTTTGATTCTGTGGAGTTTCTGGGGCTATAGTTCATGGAGGGGACCGTATACTTCACTTGTTGATGGAAACGACTGGAAGGTTTGAGTCACTGTTGACTTTCCCATACTACATTTTTTTTCATAAATGTATAAATGTAGATCTATAGGCATCTAAAACAGAGAGTTTACGACAAAATATGTCGCAGGTGAACATGTATTTGGTATTTTAGATTAAATATTCTTATCGATTAAATGAAAAGAAGTATCCAGAAGGCAAGTCATTTGCAATGGTCTGATTTACCCGAGGTAAAGCCGAGTTTATCTCGAGAAATTGTTGTCTCAAATCCCGACAAAACACAGTCACGATCAGAGCCCTACAGTTAGACAGAGTTGGCGTTTTTATCGTAGCAACTCAATATCAACTCTTTAAACAAACAGATTAATGCCGCTGGTTTGCGTTACCGCAGTCTCCTGAAACAGTGGACTACCCACGCCACATTATCAGTGACATCTATTGACCAATCAGATGCCTACTTTGACTTTCGTGGTTTCCTTGGAGATTACGAAGTATTTCTGCATCTTCCCAATGGACAGAATGTCACTCACACTTTTAGCCTGGATCCAGGAAATGATCAACTCGATATCACTGTCCCTTTGCCAGGTGTGTTACTATCAGTCACTGAACTATAAGGTACATATGTGTTTCTATCTCGGTAAAAGTGGCTTCTCATTATGACAGTTGAGTAATTCAAGTGTGATGGTGTACTATGGCACCTGCTATGTTACGTGGTGCAAGAAGGGAGATCTATTGTATTTTCCGGTTAATTCGACATAGATTTTTTTTAACCTGCTCCTCCATTCTCACACCTCTACCCTGACTAGAAATTTCAATTCCACAACAATTTCTTTTAATTAAACGGTTTTTGATAACTCATGGTGTGTTTTGTCCCTCGCAGCGCTAGTTACCCTAGGAACTGTAAATTACAGATGAAGAAGTTTAAGAAAGGTTTTTTCACTTACAATCGAATTCGGGATATGATGCTACGGGCAATTGATAACAAAGGATGGGACGACACACGCCTTGAAGTCATATAAAATGAAAACGTAAAAAAGCAATTGACAGAATGAACGTTAGAGCGTATGTAATAATCATAATAAACCAAACAGAAGAACTTTTGCCATCTATTTCTGTAGGTTCTACCCCAGTGAAGAGTAGTTCACAGGCTACGTCGACGTTTCCAACGGGGGCCCATTTTATACCAAACATACCTCAGTTCACCTTCAACCAGGTCCAATCAAACTTTAAAGGTCTCAGTGATGAAGACGACCAGGACACCGACGATGAATTTCCGGAATCCAAAGGGATTGCTCAATCAAGCTTGATGGGTAAATAATCGGTTTGTTGCAAGGGGAAAACGTTTTTCTCCTTCCTCTCCTACTTCTTTTTTTTTTCATTACGCCTTCTGTCTTAAATCAAACGGGGAACCAAGGATCACATGAATGTACCGTCATCTCTGTCGACGAAAATTAATAATTTGTATAAAAAATTGGAAATAAGCAGTCATCCCTTTCATGTGTTCGGTCCTTAGATGAGACGTCACTGTAAACATCCTCCCCCACCTTCCCCAAACTCTTTTAAAAATCCCTGCTCTGTACTCCCGGAATAATTATTGCAACATTGTTACTAATAAAGATTTGTGAACGAAGACGGCAGGCGTGGCGTATATTGCCGCAGAATTCGCAAAAGTTGTTCTCGTATTTCTTTTAGAATTTCGAGGTCTCTTTTTTTTCCTCAGATACCTTTAGATCCTCAAGCGGAGCATATGTAGGTTGTTTTCACAACTCTGACCCTCTACAGCAACTGAAGCACAGATATGAGGGACACCCAGCCATGGTTCCAGACATCTGTGTGCAGCACTGTGGTTCTAACGGCTTCACTTTTGCTGGCTTATTAATGGCGTCTGAGTGCCTCTGTGGACTTTATTTCAAAGGTGAATCGAAGGTCAGAAACGAGGAGTGTATGTTACCGTGTCAAGGAGACCGCGAACGAAGCTGCGGCGGACAGAAATTTATTGCAATTTATTCAACGAGTTAGGAGCAGAGTGCATTTTTGGTAAACCACTTACTGAAGAGAAGTAAGAGCCGCAGAGGAGTCAGCCAAACCCATGTATTCTTTCTGTTTAGATGATGGGAGATACCATTTTCCTTTCATCTGGGAGTATTTTCAACAGGTGAAAACAAGGAAAAGCCTTGAGACTTCTTTTTCCATTTGTCTTGAGAGTAGAGAATGTTACCGCCTCTTTTGAAATGTACATTTTTCACTCATAAACTTACTGTTTTCTAAATTCTTCCCGTTGGAATTAAATGACTCTCGAAACTAAAAATGATGACAACCGTATGGTTTTGCGTGTGGCTATCAACTTTGATCTTGGATTAATGAATAAGTTTTATTAAAAGATCCTTGAATTTTATATCGGAGCTCCATCCATACATCTGGTCTGGAAAAATACCCCCGATCAGAGCGCGCTAATTGTTGCCGGTGTAATTTGAAAATGAAAGTTCACTCTTTGCGAATACTTGGATCTGATATGGGATTTCTAGCCTTCCAAAAGGATTGCATTTATTTTGCAGTATCGTCTACGTCATTGATCTCTCAAAACGCGCGCGCGATGCGCGGTTATCCATGATGGAGTCTGAAAAGTGTATGACTGACCCAATTCAAGAGACTGGCTCACTTCACCAGTAGCCAACAAAAACAGTTCGATCAAGTTTATTTTTATCATTATTACAGGAAGGTTTAACCGGCCCCTTATACATAATCAGAGAAAGACCTATGCCTTTGACTTGTAATTCTTTATTGAATTCGTTTTGCAAAGCAATAACCTAATAAAGGTGGTAAGTTTCTCAACAAACTGTGGTGGTGCGTCGATTGGGTGTATAATAAGATAACTTGGTTTCATTAACTGAGCTCATGATGTAAAATAGCCACCGTAAAGAGTTTCTAACGCTGACGAGCGTTAGCCCCATGCTGATATATTTCTAATAAATAAGCTCATCGACAAGATAATAATTCCATTCTCGACATGTGCCTTCTAAGGGATTAAGACCGAACATGCAAAATGCACCGTGAATTCAGATTTTTCTTGGTCGTAATACTATGCGACAGCTCGCGTAAAATTGAACGTGATGTGACCAATCACTTCTATTAGTGTCCTGCAATTAATTTTCAGCCTTTCATTTTCCTGATAGATTTCCAAGGTTTTCTGAAACTCTTTGTGGTGACCAATTTACGCTATCAATTCAGTTGATAATACTAAATTACCCTCAAAGGGGACGGTTCAATTATACAATATCTGTAGTGGCTGGTATAAAATATGGGTGGAATCAAGGGAGACCTTTAGGTTTCTTCATTGGATAAACAGCAGAACCGCCGAATCTTCTCCTTCACGTCTTGTTTTATTTCCCTCATCCTCCAACAATATAAGAATGGATTAATAGTCGAGTTCTACAGCAGCAGAGAAGTGGATAAAGTCAAGGCTAAGCTAAGCAATGACGTATTCAGTCCAGTGATAGCTTTAGAAGCTCCGACTAGACCATACGGAAGATAACAAGCCAGTAAGGTCATTTGAACCCACACTGCTGTGGACACTGTCTCTTTGTACCGCGCTTTGCTTTGTTGAATTCCTTCTCCATTCGGTTGACCTTGGTGACCTTGTCTTTGTGCTGGAGATAAACGAAGGCGAAGTGTATGGTAAATTTTGATGTAGCAAAAGGTTGAAATGATTATGCATGATAACAACACTACAAACGCGATGCCAAGAGCAATACGAACACTTTGAAAGACCACCGTGGCAAGGAGACCGATTGAAACCCAAAACCAGGCAACAAGGGCTCTTACTCGCTTCACAGTTACAACTTCTCCGTACCCTAGCCCTAGTGAAAGAGCAAAAAGCCTGTCTACACTTATTGCAGTAATTGTCAACAAGGATAAACCAGCAAACACGAAACCCGTGACAAGATAAAAGATGGATAAGTAGTGGCACGTCTTCGAATGGTCTAATGACAGATAACGTCCAAAGCGCAAAGGATGCACGATGAAGCCCACTCCCAAATCTGTGAAGGCAAGGCAACCGAAAAAAGTTTTGACGGCGGATGAAGGGAAGACACCCCCTGTAGAGAACAGATGATCACAACATTCCCTAGAAAAGCAATTATGGAAATAGGGAGACCTGTAGCTAAAATAAATGTCTTTTCGGAAGTTCCAACCACTGAGGTGCATAAAAAATACTGGTCTGTAGTCGTATAGTTTCCATCCTCAGTTAAATTCGCCATCATTTCATCCACGCTTTTCCTCATTTGCTATTCATGTTATGGTGGCATATTTTGTGTTTGATTTGCAGCAGTTTTTTTCTATCGTCTCAAAGTTAATACAATATACCTCTCTTCTGAAATAAAGGAAGCAATATTTTGATCCACTGAATCATATCATATAAATTGTCTGCATGATACGATGGGAATGTATTCACCTCCAGATATGGAACTTTTTCGCTCCCATCGGTTGCAAGCTGTTGCGGTTCGAATTCGTGTTTCATGTAAACTTCATGACGTGTTTACTTAGGTCGTACTAAATATATGAAGTATACAGTATACATCAATATGATATTCATGAAAAAAAACCACTGAGTTGATTTGATGCATTGTTGCTTAAGTCGGGCAATTTCTGCAACTTCTGAAAACACAAGTATTATCAATTCGTAATTTTACCCGGCCCCATTCAGTTAATTTTTTATAATGTAAAGGGCAAAATTTTCTTTTATTAAGATGGTCCAAAACATACGCTGTTGCACAATTTCGTAGGAACCCATTTCAATGTTCAGTTTCGTGTCAATTAAGTTAAAAAAAACACTCGAATCAGCCGCATGAAATTTTATTTTCGTACAACAGTGCAAGGCAATTAATAAAACAATCCCTACTAAAAAACGTTCGCCATCAGAGAATTATATCAATTTTAGGCAAGTTAAGCCCTTTTTTAATGCTTTCTGTTCAAAATGGATTCTACGTTGCAATATTTTGTTGTATAAAATAAGAGAATGTATTAATTATCCAGGAACAATTCGCTCTAGAGAGAGAAAAAAGTGTATTTTTTCCTAATTATGTAAATATACGTTTCCTTGTGTCCGTCACTTGTCGACATATCTGTCACATTATTTTACTTTTTATCAACGTTTCCGGCTCGTAAAAACGATGCTTTTAGGTCAATATTCTGCCATCGTTTTGAGTTACATGTTGTGTTAGTTTTTATCAAAGTCTTCCGTCACGTACAAGAAAATTTGTGTTGGCCATTTTCATCCTTAAAAAGATAGTACTTTGGTCTTCTCAGTAAAAGATAGTAGCGTAAATTTTCTGATGTAGATCACTGAACAACTTAAAAAAAAAGATTGGGGACAGTGGAAGCAGGTTCGGGTGGCTTATTTATGGTGACTACCACAGCTTATAACTGAGGGGTGACTGAAGCGAATGATCCTCTACTGAAAAATACTAAGAAAAAGGCAAAGTTCGGGTAATAACCTTTTCTTACGCATCAACTAAAAAGGACTTCAGCCGAAAATTAGTCATATAAACGCTGGGTGCTGTGTCATCAGTTGAAGTTTGCCCCTCGGCCTCATTTTTTCCAAAGGCTTTCATAGGGTCGCACGTTAATGGAAATGGATTCAGTACTGAAAAATTCATTGAAAAAGTTTCCTTTTACTCCACAAAAAACTATACGTGTTCAAGTACGTGAAAGATTATTTTTCCAAACTCGGTGCCGGTTTTGTACCCTGCTATAGTGCTATCAAAATAAACTACACTTTGCATGTCTTTAATTATTCGAAATCAGCTCAGACAGCCGTAAACATTAGCTGATGACTTAATTCTGCTGATGTAAACAAATCAGTAACTACGTTTGTGGCAATTTTCAATCTTTTTTTTCTTCCGGTCGCGTTCAGTTTGCGACACTAAAATGTGTACTTCACATAACTATCCGCCCAGAAGGCGATTGATAACGCAAGTAGGTTTGGCTCTAATAGAATGTATTGATTGCAGTGCCCTGGACTAGGCAGCAGCCACTGGACACTTCTATAACATGTAGGAACAATTAAGTTAACAACCGACAGTTTACTGGTTTGTCCGTCATTTATCACATTCGTAAAATTAGGAAATGGCATATCAATGTCTGGTGTGGAGAATGAAATCACCGACGAGTCGTACTTTCAGTTTCTTTCTGATGAAGCGATCTTCTTCGATTAGATATTTGACGTTATAGAAACTAATCTTGAGTTGTAATTGTAACGCTATTAGTATATATGGCGAAAGTAACGAGTACCCGGGAAAACTGAGGGCGTGAATTCACATATATATATCTCTATTTTAGGTCATCCAAATCTGACGCGCATTGGATATATGAAAAGTTGTCTTGATCGTAAAAGCGGTTTTAAATCGGTGTCCCGTTCGTCTTAGATCTTGTCCGTTCAAGTAACCAGTTTTCCGTTCTTTTATCACTTTCAATTACGAGAATTTTTTTATGGTTTCCTTATTTACTTATATCAGTATTCTGTCAGATACCTTAAAGGATTAGAAACGAGAAAAGGGTCCATTTTGCCTTCGTGTTTGTCGCTTAGGGGTGAAACAGAATGAATAGCAATTGGGTTGTACATCATTACTTTGGAAAAACCATATTTTGAGCAAAGGAGGTAAGTTTCCAAAGCAACTATGGTGCTGCGTCGGTGGGAGAGTATAACGAGGTGATTTATCATTAAGTAAATGTAAAAATATGAAAATCACATATGTGAACTGCGGATAAAGAAGTGAATATGAGAGCGATCTTCGTAGTAATGAACACTACTTAAGCAGCAGTGAACATAAGGCCTGAAAAAAAAATTCTCTATTTTCACTACTGCTCAAGTAGTGTTCATTACTGCGAAGATCGCTTTCATATTCACTGAGTTGGTATTATGGACTGAGTTAATGACGTAAATTAGCCACCGTAAAGAGTTTCAAAGCTGAGCTTTCGAGCGATAGCCCTTCGTTAGTTTCTCTCTGATGAATAGTTATCACTCACAACTTCAGCTTAGAAACTCTGTACGGTGGCCAATTAACGTCATCAACTCGGTTGATAATACCGAACCACCGTATTTTGATAAATTCTTTCCGAACCTTCGAAATCGTTAAAAATAACCAGCAGATAACAGTGAAAAGGGCGATTGTGTCGCTCACTATTTTCTACCTATTTCATTAGACTATTTCTTTGCTGTTTTAGAAACAATCGAACGCAAGAAAAGTAATTTGACTTATTTGAGTTCCAGAATTCCTGAGTTGCCTGCACTTGCCTTTACCAGCTGGGAAGCTGCTCAGATCTCTGGTGAAAAGTCGCCTTGATTATCCGAACTCATTTTAAAGAATCATGCGTCCCTCCGGAAAAAATGAGCGGTCCTTTAAAGAAAGCTTAATTCCTTAAGAGTTGACGGTCTTTGTTCTCCAGAAAGACAATGCCTCATTGTCTTCCTGGCTGTTTTTAATCCCTTGTGACTTAATTGGTCATATGCAAAACGTTTGAAAGATTTGCAACTCAAATCACAGAACAACTCTGCAGTAACTTGATTCTTCGAGACCTTGAAATCAAGCGGGGAAGAGACTTCCTCCCAGTCGGTGAGTATTCGAAGGTGGTATCAGTTTATTTACAGTTTGATCCTTCTTCTCTCTGGTGACATATCAATCTTTTGAAATCCGTGAGTTGAGAACCAGTTCCTGTGTTACCTATTTTAAACTCGAAATGAAGTAAGTTCGCAAACACAAGAACGGTGCAACGTACGTCTCTAAAAAACTCCGGTCTTTTTACTCGGACGTTACGTCTTTTCGTAATGGTAGGACTACATTGGCCTCCAAAGTACTTGAACATCTCTCTATCTCTCTCTCTCTATCTCTCTGCATCATTTTACTGAAGTAAAGTAATTTAGAAATTAGCATCTCCAGATTATTGACTACTGTTATGGAACCGAAAAAACCGATTCAGGCTAGTGATGCGTGGTTGATATGCATCAATGTTGTTTTTAAGATACGCAGTGCAATATGCGCAGTAAAATACCGTCGCACGAGAATCAAAGGGAACCATTTTATCATAATCTCTCTGCATCATTTTACTGGAGCAGCTTAGTATACAAAAGTAGCATTTCTAGATTATATTGACCACTTGCTTGACAACGCGTCTCGCAAATGTATGTTGTCTGGCCTTAAAACAAGAACAACAAACTATTATAAAAATTTAGTTCCTCACGTAGAGTAGAGCGCATTGATTTAGAAAGTGGATTTCCTTTAAAAGCAAACTTTAGTTATCATCTATCCCATTGTTTTCACTTTAAGTGATGCCACAAAAAAAGAGGAAAAGAAGTGCATCAAAAGGAAATGCAATGGTGATGAAAAAGAATAGTTTGTCAAGAGACAGACATTATACACTCAGTATTAACTCACTCGAGAAAGTGGAGGAAGAAGTTGATGAAGACGTCCCCAAAGATGTAAGGAACGCCTTCTGTATGTAACCTTTCATACTGAGTTGTTAACTAAGATACACCCTGTAGGTTGATTTAGCTGAGGCCCCTATAACCATGTAGCTGGTGGTTCAAGAGAACCTTAGCTGATTCCATTTACCGTGCGAAGAAGAATATTGATAATATGAGAAGCAAAAGGCTGCATGCTTTATCAGAAGGATTATAAAAACGATAAGCCCCCAATGGCTGAACTGGTATTACGGCCAATGATACCCTCAAATAGCAGATTTTCCTCGAACTTCGCGGGCCTGTAGCTTCATATTTGGGCAATCTTTCCCCATCGGGTATTTTCAGCCTACTCAAAAGGCTTGTTTTACGAAAAAGCTTCTTTGCTGGATTAGTGCACAGTTTCTCAGATACTTAAATTGATCCAAAAATAAATAGGCTTTAGAGCAAACTTCTCCTCCAATTCTTCTCCTGCACTAAACAAATATTAACTCATCACATTATATTTTAGAGAGATTCAAGGGAAACACAGCTTCAAGATGCTGCCATATCGGGAGATGTTGAAGTCGTAGAAGAGTTGATTTCAAAAGGAATAGGTGAGTCAAGCAAAAGCTGCTGATGCACGCTGTAAACTAAGTACATTTTACCTGAATGAAATACAATTTGCTTTGCGGCTCGTTTTCACTCGTGCATGTCCGACATTGGTAATGTAACAAGTGTCTCTGTGGAGACAGTTCTCTTTCGCTGGATCCTTTTGTCGCTGGCTCCTCAGTAATAGAATGCATTTGGTTAATAACCGTTAACCAGAATGTTTTCACAAATTGGAAGTTTCATCGGCTGCGAATGAGAGTTCAGCCGCCCTTACGTGCAAGATTTATAATAGGATCATTATTTTATATAGCTATGACTGCTAAAGAGGTAGGAAAATATTATTTTTTCAGTTTTTAGCCACTATGGGAAAAAATATTTCAGGATGCTCTAAAGGGCTACACACTTCGTCCATAGCTACAATTCTTATTGCAATACCTAAATCCTTTATCAGAATTATCTGATCAGGGTACTCGGAAATTCAGCTGGGTTTAATCCTCACACTGTTCCTCTCATTCATTTAAGAGTCAACTCAAGGGATCCTTGGACTATCAAATAGCTTTTGATGAAACATGATCCATATTGCCATAAATAACAAAACATAAATTTCCAAATCGCGATAAGTAGTTGATATATTTCAAAATAAAAGATATTGTGATGATCCTGTTACAGCACTGTCTATAACTGATGGGTTTGGCCGCACTCCACTGCATAACGCCATACTAGGCAATCAGCTACGTATCGTGGAGATTTTACTCGGCAAGGGTGCAAATGTCCGAGTCCAGGATGAAAGAGGTGACACGCCTATTCACACAGCTGTAAGAGCTGGTAACGAGAAAATATTGAAGGTACGTCGAGCACTGAAAACAAAAGGCCAGATAGGCGTCTCCTTTTACAGTTCTATGTTACGTATCACTTGTCACAGAGCTTTCATGCCCAAGAACCTCCAATCATGGCTCGGTTATTAGAACATTCGTCAGATTTTTTAGGAAATTATGAATCCAGTTCCTTAAAGGGCACCTCTCATAGTCGTAATAAATCAGTTTAAGATGTTTGTTTATTTGAAAGATAATAAAACGACAATTTCAAGAAGGCTATTGAATGACTTTGATCCCACGCTGCATGATAAACTGAACAATAACGTCTATTGTGTTTCTAGACATTGTTGCAAGAACCTGAATGTGACGTCAACGTAACTGGTCGCAGCAATGTCACGCCGCTTCATCTGGCGGCTGGAATGGATCGTGTCCAAGTCTGCAAACTGCTGGTGAGCAGAGCTTATTGCCATAGCTACTGAACAAAAAATGAGATACGCCAATGCCAAACCAATGAGCTTTCTCAAAAGTATTATTGCAAAGTTTTTGTAATCTGCTAGTAGCGCGCTTTAACAATCAACTCAGATTACGCAAATGAGGCGTTTTTTAGCTACCTTGTCTGTTTGAAATTACCGGACACAGTAAAAACAACGATTTCTTTTTTTTTTCTTACGTGTTTCAGTTTTACTCCAGCCATTTTTCGGACGTGTACAAAAAAACTATTTTTAGGCATTAAAATTAAAAAATAGATACTTTCTCATCATTTGAAAACCAACCGCTGTACAAATCTTACCTAATTCTAAACCTAACGAAACGACCAGAGCAGAAAATTGCTACTTTTATCAACTGATACAAAGTCTAACAGATGCCATAGCGATGAATCGATCATCCTCACAATCAGAAATAAATCTATTCAAGATTAAAAAAAACTTTATTTCGAACAAGCTTTTTTCCTCGCAAAATGTGTCATATAACAAGGAAATTGCTACGTATTTTGCAAAAAAAAATAAAATCAACTATGCAAATTAACTTGCATAAATAATCGACTGACCTCTTCTAGATTGAACATCAAGCTAAGATAAACAATAGAGATGACGATCAAATGACACCTCTGGGTCATGGTGTGGAGAGAGGAGCCAAAGACGCCGTCAGCTATTTGTTTTATTATGGTGAATATGACTTATCTTTGTAAGCTAAGAAGCATAAATTGCATTGGAACAGACATGTGCAAGTTTAATTGATACAGGCAGTGAGCAATTATACCTTAAAAATTAATATTTTCCTTATCATAAGCAAGAAGCGATTGTGAATAATGCTACTTGCCCTGGATGAATTTCTAGTTCATCAAAGGTCACCCCTCAAAATTTTTCGGCTTGCAACACACTTTAGTGAAGATGACAACTTTGTCTCACTACAAAACACAAGCTGATGACTTCTCTCAGGGCAAAAGCCCGGACCTTAATTCTGGTGCCCGAACGATCCATTCTGTGCAACATGCTCACCATTTCAGGTTAAGTGTCTCATCAAGGCTACTTGTTGTATAATTTAAGCTACATCTATATACCATCGTCCCTCTAGTGATTCCTTCCTTAACGGTCATTGTTGCAATGTCTAATTCGATATTTTAGTTGGTGGTAACATTAATCATGAGCTTTTTCGTCCTCATTTTAGCCCGCTCCCAAAAGTTCGATTTGGATTCATTTCTTTACAAGGCTGATTTGGATGGCTCTTCCCTTCTGCATATGGCAGTTGATTGCGGAAATATTAAGGTAAATTTTGTGCGTAAAACGTCTTCTTGAACTTTAGGACGATAAACAGAAAAATTAATGTACTTACATTACAAACATTCGCTTGCATAAGGATATAATACATTGACATCATTAACGACTAGGCGGGTGGAAAGTAACATCGATAAAGCAATGACTATATCCCGATTTGCATATGATCTGCGGTCGGAGACAAGCTGCAAATGTCAACAATCTCGAACAGAAATGCGTGCAAATATTTTCTTTCCTAGGTATGTAAACTTTATTACAAAGACGGGTGAAATCATTCTCCTAAATGCTCTCTACAACTGTTTTTAACCGAAGGTGGTATGTTGCTGCTACTATTGTCAACTGTCACTTTTGGATAAAGTCCTTGATTTTTTCCCCCACAGATTGTAGAGCTGTGTCTACTAAATGGGTCCAGAGTGCGATGTCCAAAGGTTGGTTGCATAAAGCTGATCAAGAGTTCCTTTTACTGACATATCATATATTTTGAAATTGAAAAAAAAAGCTTGAAAAGTTACATGTATCCAGTGCATTGTGTTTAATTCTCCTGTGAGTTATGATTTTCGTCTGTACAAGGTATGATATGACGTAAACATGGCTACCCTCGTATCGGGAGTGCTCTGAGTAATCTCAGAGTTTTTTACCATGGAATCTACGACTTAGAGCATATCATGAAGTCAAAATATTTGTCTCGATCTTTTTTTTTTTCGTCATTTAATAAAACAGTCATTATCATCATTATCATAAATAATATCAGTCATAACATCAGTCATAACATTATATTACTTTTTCTTTTATTGTCTTCCAGACCTCTGATAAGAGCACAGCCTTTCATTTGGCGTGTGCACAAGGCTCCATGGAAATTGTCAAACTTTTGGCCAGTTATGACCTTTCAATTTGTCGAATAACGCTGCTCGACGCCCAGGGACAGACACCTCTCCATAGAGCCGCCACTAACAATCACGTGTCTGTGGTTGAATACCTTCTGGATCAGGTAGGAAAGATTTGTTGGTTTCTTATGTTCTACTTTTTCTTTTGTTGAGCAAGAACGTTGATTATTTGCGAATGGTAACTAGCCAATTAGACGTTCATTTTCGTTTGTCTGTCTTGTTTCGTTTCTAAATTCATATTTTTAGATTTTTACACCTTTTTTCATTTACATCACCAAGACTAGGTGAACGAATGACTTACTCACCATTTTTTGTTTGTTTTGTCTTGTTAAACGTTTTAAGTGTCTCCATACAGACAGAATGGACTCTTTCTCTTCTTCTCTCTCTCTCTCTCTCTCTCTCTCTCTCTCTCTCTCTCTCTCTCTCTTTTTATATATATATATATGTATATATAAATTATTCAATAAGAAAAACAGATTTTACATACTCAGAAAATATGAACTTCAAAATGTTAGAATAAGAAAAGATACATTACCTATATAGGGCGCCGCAATAGACCCCCCTGACAAGTCACGACGCACTCCCCTATACCAAGCAACTTCCAAAGGCGCAGTAGACACAGTGGGTTTCCTACTTAAGCGAGGTGCTGACGTCACTGTGAAGACTATACAACTGAGATCAGTGATCCATGCGGCTGTTCCTTTCCCCAATGTCATGGAGTTGCTGTTGAGGGTTTGTAATGATTATCTCAAATTCTTTGCAAACCTTTTTGGATAAACCATAGCGTTTACGAATTATTGTCCTTTCTTTTTTATAGTTGCGGTGTGACGAAAGTCAAAAAAGAAAATTTAGATGATTCAAAGATTCTTGCAATATTTTCAGTAACATTGTAATATACCTATTCAGGGAAAATTGCCATCAATAATTTTTTTGTTTTTGTTTTTTTTGTTGTTATTGCTGTTGTGTTTGTTTCCAGCACAAACAACCAAATCCCTATGTTCTGTCTTATTACGGCCGCCATAAACGTTTAATCAGGCTGTGAGCCCGATACCTCTTACAATGCTAGACGATTCTGTCATTCGTAATAATTGGTTGTATCAAATGCAGGTACCTTCCTCTGCGTATCTTATCACAGATAAGGATTACAAAAGCCTGACACCAGCTGACTACGCGGCAGCAAAGGGACAATCCAAGGTAAAAATTGCACCCACGATGAAGATACCCACGCCAGTGCTCGCTGGCTCCGAGTAAAGATTATAACAACCCTACTTAAAGTTTACCAAACGTTTCTCGAATGTGTTGAACGCCATTTTGAAATTGCATGAACTACAAACGCTAATGAGGTGAAAGTTTGGACTCTGGGTCAAACGTTTCGAGTCCTGGATGGGGAATGTGTTGAACGCCATTTTGATAAGACGTTGCGGAGGTCCCGTCTCCTGCACAAACGCTAATGAGTTACTTGATGGATGATTGGAAACGCATCTGAATATATTCACATAGATATTTGCGCCGAATAAGTATTTATTAAAAAAATAAATAAATAAATAAAAAAAAACTTTATGATTGGAAACGTAAAAGGTCACAGAATATTTGTTTCACCTGAAGTGACAATTCATCCAATCGCAGTCACACCGATCTTTGCATTACAATTATGTCAGGCTTCAACCCTTCACTAACCCACCCTTTATTTGAATTGTTTTCTCATGGATTAACACATCGTTATCTCTTTAGACCATCTCACTTCTGATGGAAACCAACAAAGCTGCCGCTAGTTCGACGTCAAACGAATTGGACACACCTCTGCATATCGCAGCAAAGTAAGATGTAAATGAAATGACGACGACTTTCATTCAGGGTTAATTTAATTTGATCAATTGCGAAAAAAAAACCTGCTACTCCAACTTCAGAGGAATCATCATGTAGTTGCAACTTTTGAGGAGGGTAAATAGTCATTACATCAGTTTGGAAGAGTTAGCATCCCTTTTGTATCCCGGAGATGAATTGTCAGATTACAATCAGAAAGATGTAGAACAAGCAAGTATTTTAGCAAAAAGAAAAAAACAAAGAAACAAAGCCATCTCACTTACTTCAAGAGGGAATACAAGAAAAATAAAGCAAAAAAACTACAAAAAAAAAAACACCGTTTGTGTCGCTCAAAAGCTGACATGATCACCAATCTTGGTCTTACTAATCTTTTACCAATGGAAAGATACTGATGAAGTTCTCTTGTTGCAGATTCGGGTGGTTGCCAATAGTGGAGAGTCTCTTGGTTGGACGAAATGTTCGTATGATAAATTTACAAAACAACAAAGGCATGACTCCTCTTCATCTTGCTTGTTCCGAAGGAAATGACCTGGTGGTCGAGTACCTCATGACTAAAGCAGCAACCATAGAGAAGTACGTCGGGTTCTATTAACGATTTTCTCACCCATCAGTTACTTGGCCTTTGGATACCTAATGTTAGAAATGAAAATGGAATAGCAGAATTCTCCCCCGGCTTTGATTCAAAACTATTCAAAAGTTTAATTTTTTTTCCACTTGCCAAATGATGATTACTTTAATTCAATATTAAAAAAAGATAAAATTATGACAATGGTAGTGATAAGGAAATTCAACATTTAGATTTGAAAAAAGTCTGAAGCGTAACGATTGTACTCAGTAACTTCGTGTAACATCATCAATTGGGATTGGACTAGTTTTATTCCACATGCCAAGGGGAGAAAAAAATAATGGTCATCAAATTCGTTCACCAGAAAATTTTGAATTACCTTTCTATCCAGCTTAAACCAAAGAGAAAAAGTCGTCATCTTTAAAGGCATGCGAGCCAATCATACAAAGGGATGACTTCGATAGCAAAGTAAATGGTGATCCCAAAATTGTTCAAAGTTAGCCAACCGTTTTCATTAGCCACTTCTCGTCCTTAGAAAACTGTTGGACTAACGTTTTGTTAAGTCGATTGCCGAAACGAGACGATGCTAAGCCCTAAGTTTCGTAAAGTTCATGGAAAAAAATTGTCATACAAGATGTCATACAACAGTTTATGACCAAGTACTTTCACCGAGACTAACCGAGTATGAAAACACACAGTACTATAAAATAAAGGTGAAAAGTTCCAAATGGTCGGAGGTTACTTGGTGGCTATGTAAAGAGAACTCGGGGCAACTAAGAACAAATCCTGGGACCAGCAGAATGGAGTTGAGCCCTTGACATACAGATCACAAGTTCAGCGCACTACACCACACCACCTTCATGAAGTAAAGCAGTTTCAAAGTGCATGTAATGAACAGCTTATGATGCAAAATCTCTTCGAACCTGCGAGAAACTGTTCAAAGCCACCGCTTTTCTGGCCGGGGTTGGGGACTAATGTCAGTTACTTTGCTCACTCCATATAGGGACCAAAATCAAAAGACAGCCTTGCATCTAGCAGCCTCCCGGGGTTCAAAGAGGTGCATTGTGTCCATCTTGGAAACACATCCGGAGTGCCTGAACAATGTGGACGAAAATAAGGTCAGCCAAGTCAATTTTCATTAATTTCAAATGAAACATTAATCCAATCGTTTCCCTCCAAAAAGTTGTTTTTTTTTTTTGACGTTTCTATGGTGGGATTTTTATCGATATTTTTTTGTGAACTGTATTTAAAGTGCATGCGGGAAATTGGAAAAAAGTAATTCTGGCCTTTTTTCAGAGGAATGAGTAACACACTATGTTTACTTTCTTCAGTGTGGCTTCGAAACTTGGTTGTTAGTTTTCAGTCAGTCTTTGGAAATATTCAGTGATTTCAAACCCGTTCGTTTTTCAGATTATCATTTCCTCAACAGGAGCATAAATTGTGTTTTTACTTTTGAGGACAAGTTCGAAAGCTACAAAAAAAAATGATGCGTTTCCAACATATTTACTACAAATGGTTTTAAGAGTTAAAAGAAAGAAATTAACCCAAAACTCTCCTCTTTCTTCGACAGAATACAGCTTTAAACCTGGCCTCATTTGAAGGTCACGCTGAGATTGTTGTGTATTTATTGTCACTTAAAGATCAAGATATTCTGATGAACGCCTATAATCAGAATGTACTGGACATAGCACTTAAGGAGGAAAAGAAGAATGTTGCCATTGCGATTGCAGAGCATGATCGGTAATGATGTGCAACTAATTCCTAGCATGTGATTTTAGGACAACTGACCTTGAAAACTAGTGCAGTCGTTAATTCTGTGAAAGGGATAATCGCAACAGGCGTACCTGTGAACATTTTGTAACGTTCTCGATGCCTTCGTTAATTTATCAATTACTCATTAAAAAAATACAAACTAGGACTTCTGAAACAGTCGTGAAAGACCATTTTCCTCTATTTCAAAAGATGGAGGGAGATTCTGAATTCATCAGCGCCAGGCTCCTTGCTCATGATGCAAGATCTGGTTATCAAGATGCCAGAAGTTGCGGAGGTAAGAACAAGAGCTCGATTTGATATTACGTCACTGTTTTAATAAGTACTAATGACTTTAGGTCCGTTGTCTTATCTGCATGGTACGAGATATGACCGGCGCTTAAAAAAAATTATATCAATTTTTACCCAATAATGTTCTCAGTTTTACTTTTGTGGCACTCGCAAGTTTCGTTAACATTATGATACTTTTTGAAATCGACAGGCTATTTTGGATCAGTGCGTGACGGAGGAAGGTGACGAATTGAAACCTCATTTTAAAGTAAGTAAAAAACTGGCTCTTAGTGTATCTAAAATAATTTCCAAGGTGCAACCTCCCCCGAGGCCCCAACCTCACTACCTGCCTTGGTTCCTTATTCTAATGAGTTGTCCGTTTAGGATTCTCTTATGTGATTGTTAATAAGGTCATTGGATGTATTGCAGTTGGTGACCTTTGACAGTAAAATCACCTCACGATATGCATAAGGTGCAGTTTGAATGCTTATTTACTGCAAGAACCAACATTTCCCTCTTGAAGCAGCACATTATCATCGTTAACTGCCCGGAAAGTATCTATACTTGCAGTAATGTTTTTTGTTGATGCGACTTCTTTTTCTTAAAGATGAGGAGAGATTTAACAATAATTCAACCAAAGTACGTCCCAAATCCTGAGAAGGACCAGCTGACTGTGCTGAAGGTAATCACAGTTTCTTTTTTCACGTCGATCTAGCAGTCCTTTGTTAGGAATTTACTTCCCTGCTCCCTCGCTACCGCCTCGTCACTTAAATAAATCATTCCTTTCCAAATTTTTGTTTCACCGAAGACAATCAACATTTCGGCATGACTGAAGAATACCCAGTTAGGATTTTTGTCTTTCCCTCGGTCCAAACTTCAACAGTTAAAGCGCGGGAATGCCGAAAGGACGGGAGGTGGAGGGTCTTAAAATAACAATAGTTTACGAGCGGCCTTTGCAAATACATCAGCTACATCTTCGAATAGTTTCACATCCGTTTCTTTTGACGAGCTTATTCTCTCTGAATGATTATTTGTTTCGATTTATTGAGAATTCTGGCAAAGGAAATGATTCGCTCAAAAAGAGGGGATTAGAGGTTAGATTTAATGACCGAAAGTCAGCTGCTTTTCGCGATTCTTGTACTTGGAGACAGGGCGGTGTTAAAAGGTTCAGAGGCCTCTTGAAAGACCCTCCACTAGCCTACGTGGGAAGCCCTGAAATTCGAAACGATACTGGCTGAATTTTTCAATAATAACAGTGTTCTGTCTTTTCTTTTATGTTAGACTATGGTAAAATATCGCCGTGATAAGTGCCTTACTCACAAAGTCGTCTTCAATCTCATGCATTTAAAGTGGTAGGTCTTGAGTTACAGTAAGATTGGACCAAGCTTTGCTCAATACTTAACTAACGAAATTGTATCAACTACCGACACACTGTCACATTTAACAACAGAAGCTCAGTGTTCTAGTGAATGTATGGCAACAAGCACGATAAGGCTGTGACGACAAAACATGAGCCACTTCACAAACACATTCCATACATATATCGCTCCGTCTTTCTGTTTCGGAACCAAATATGCTTAAAGAAGTGTTAAGAAGTAATAGGTTTTTCTTTTAGAGGTTTCATGAAAAAAAAAAAAAAGCAGCTTGCCCTAAGGAAATAACCCCAAAGACAAAAAATTTGTTTTATAAACGAATATATAAACTTTTAATGCTGTAATCTTATTTTTAGGAAGAAGTTCGGTTTCACATCCCTCATTTTGAGCCTATTTCTCTATCTCACGTATCTACTATCGCTGACTGCCTTGGCTATGTACTCTCGAGACAACGAAAAGAAGATCTGTGCGCCAAACGACACAGACATGAGAAGGGTAAGTGTTATTCGAAAAAGGGAAGGTCATGCTGACCCCAAAATTTGTTCAATGAATATAAACAACATTGTTTTTACCAGCAGATGCTTAAAGAAGTATTCGTTATCAGTTCACAATGGAAAATTTCAACCATTAATAGTGATAGTCACACGTTCCACAATTTTGGGCGTAAATCAGATTCTCTTGATGTTTGCATGCCAAAAAATTCGCAAAAGAAGTGTCAATTTTTCCTACTCACAAAGTACCTTGATGGTACGAACCAAATTTTTTTAATAGGAAGAAAAAGCAAGAACAAGGCAGTCAAAAAGGGAAACTTTGTTTGTAAATTATTATCTTTCTTGAGCAAAGAATTTTTCAACGAGCTCCGACTTTATGTACTGAGCAAGTTGTGAGTCTAGACGTAGTTAAAATTGACGACCTGTAGTTGTGACATGTCTTCGATCTCTTCATCATGAATAACTATAATCAGAGCTTAATAAATAAACCTGGGACCCATTTTGACTTTTTTTAATAATTACGTATTTTAATGTTTACAGTAATAGGATGTAGATTTCACTAGGGGGCATTTCCCCTCTCCTCCATCGATTAGTCAAAGATCTAAAAGAAATGCTTTTTGGTTTTTCGGTTGTTTCTAACCAATACCGTTGATAAAGAAGACATTAAGCGTCCCTTTTCATCCATTCCATGGCAGAGTCTATCTGGCTATTAGACAACCAACAGACGGAAGTTGAACGAGATACTAGACATGATCCTGAAAGTTATTTTATGCCTAGAAACTATTTTTGAATAAAGAAGCAATCAACAAACTGTCATATTTTTTCTGCTTAATCTTAAAGGATTATCTTGAGGACATGCCCACCACTCGCTCCGATATGGTAAGTCAGCGCAATAATTTTTATAATTCCACGGTCATTAATTGATTTGATTTTTACAAATATTGCGTCGAACCCAAACGTGTGGAAGTACAACTCGTGAAGGAATTTAAGCACGCCTTGCAGAAGTGAAGAAAGTGTCTGCAATCTTTTTCAGCAAAATATAAAACAGTTCCGGCTTATTTCGAACTATGCGATCATGATAATAGTTAATGAGAAGATCCTCATATATTCCAAACAATTTGAACTCCCATAGAGGTTCAGTTCATTTGCTGCAAAATCCTTTTTTCTTTCTTGTGTTTCTTAGAATATTCATTCAAATAATTTTCCGTGCTCTTCTTCTCTTACTCCAGTTCATTCAAGTGCTTACTTACGTCGTTCTTGTACTCACGCTTGTCCATTTAGCGAGTGAAGTTTTTCAATTACTCAAAAAGGTAAGGAAGTCAAAGGAATGAGAAAATTCATTATTATATAGCAAAAAGAAACCAAAATGAACTAATTGAAATAAATCAAATACGTATTGTGTAACTTTGATACATATGAAATATTATATTAGAGCAAATAAGCTATACTTGAGATTTTTCAAAACTTTCTCTTTGTTAAAACAACCAGACTTTCATGTAAACTTTTGGGCCAAACTTTAATTTTGTTCAGGATTTTGATGATCTATGCTATTCCTGTGGAGGTACTATCTTTTCTGATGATGGTCGATATCCTGACGATGTTAAATTTCTGGATTTGTTCCTTTCATAAGTTTTGCAGGTTGACTATTATGAATTTCTTCTTTTATTTCAGCGTGCAAACTACTTGTTATCCGGCTCAAACTATATTGTGCTCACTGGATACATCATTACTATGTTGTACATTTTTCCCTCCAACGACTGCAAGTCTGGCTTCCAAATCCAAATTGGAGCCCTTTCTTTGTTCTTCGGTTGGATGAATCTGATCCTCTATTTACGAAAGTAAGTAAAATATAATTCCAATTAATACGAACAGTGTTAATAAAATATCACTTCACGAGTTTACTGAAACCAACGTAATGACCAGCTCCCAGTAAGCTTGTTAGCTTAGTTGGTTGAGCACAAATCCCGTACAGGCTTGAATTTTTTCAGGCCTTATTTCCACTACTGCTTAAGATCTTTTTCTGGTTTGTGAGGCCACGTTAGAAAATTAATGCAGTTTATGTTTAATTTTTTTTAGTTTGTTTGCGTAGTTACATAATACTTCATATGTATAGAAGTCGACTGTCACGTATATGCATTTTATATTCAGACTTTCCTTTTTGGGATCATACGTCATCATGTTGGCCACGATGTTTATCACGTTGTTTAAGGTGAGTCATAGTTTTCCTCTTTCTTTTATACAATACGTGTTCCTAATTGGACAGTTTAACATACTATATAACCCAGTCATTAACTTTTGCACGGTTCTATCGGCGACTTTACATCGCGTGGCGCAAATCACCGGAAAATTATCACACATTATATCCCGTCCATTAATTTTCCCGCGATTCCATTAGCTGTGTTACATCACGTGTTGCAAAATTACATGACATTCATCTCGTGATAACCCCCGAATACGTCAATGTTTATCCCCTGTTTATATCTGTTCAAAAGAAACTAAGCCAGCGGAAAAAAGCCAGCTCGAGAGTTTCACTTTTTCACTTTTGTCAGTTTGTTGACTTGAAAAAAACTCATCTTCTAGAGTCCAGTGATTGTAACCTTAAAAAAGCTGATCTCAAATAGTGCCTTTAAAAGTGCAAGAAAAGCAACAAAAATTTGCCCTCAACGCGCGCGATGAAAATTAATAGAAGGGTAATAAAATAAATAAAGCCCTGTCTGGCTTGCTGGCATGTTGATTGATGATATCCTTAGCTTAGAAAATGTCCACAAAATTTCACATTTTCCCTTCCACCTTCACTTTTTGGCCAAATTTTTATTTCTTGGACAATATCTCAGCCGCGCACATTACCAGACGCCTAGAGGCGTTTATTTATTAAATATGCAGGGAAATTTTGCGATTAGCGTTGTTGTTACCGAGCCCAGTAGGGGCGAGGCAAAATGCGAGTAATGAGCCTTTTTCGCGCGTTCCGATGTCCTAAAGTGGCGTAACAGTGGAATAATTAATTCCGTTATTCAGATGCATTTTCCTTTGTTACGATCTAAGTGATTCTTTTTATAAAAATAAAAGTACTTTGTATTTCAAACAGGTGTTAGTGCTGTTTCTTTTGTTCATCTTGGCATTCGGTACAACTTTCTACATGCTGATTGACGAAAACGTGAGTTGAAACATTAGCCTTCTATCAATTCCTTAGAAGTCTCTGCTATTGGATACATTGGGCGTAGCGCTACTGTTAAACCTTTAATGTGATAGAGAGCTTAAAAGTTACTTCCTGAATCTTAAGGCTGACTCAATACAACGAGATGACTTCCCCATTCCTGGTAGTGCGTAAAGGCTTCATGACTCTAAAGCAACAGGTTAGGAGGCACTGAGTGGCTCGAGGCTTAAATGCATAAGGGCTTACAAAATCCAAGCGACGTAATCAGCAGTTGGGATATGGGGATACAAACAAAGCTCTCTGAGTCTTTAGAACTTCGGAGCTCTACATATTGAACCAAGTTAAATTATTAGAGTATATTATGACAGAATGTTTGTTCATTATATTTATTATTACGCTCATTCCCTTTTTCTCTCAGGAATCAGCAACTTCATTGCCTAAGTGGGTTCTGACTATTTTTGTGATGACTCTGGGAGAGTTGAATTACGCTGATAACTTCATGCCCTGGGAGTACCCTTTCGCCACCCTGGTCAATACCCTCTTTGTCCTTTTCGTCCTTGCAATGCCTATCATTCTCATGAATATGCTGGTAAGAACCGTTTTTCTATATTTATGTATTATTCTGTCAACTGCGAAATGAAGTAATTTAGCCTAACAGTAAAGCAAACAGTTCCCTCCTTTTTTAATAAAAGCTCATATCTCTGATTAACTCGTACCCTCTCCGCGTTACCAGGGGCGCTTTTTCGATAGAATACCACGGGATGTGGGATGAACATCTACATGTAGGGGACATTTTTTTGCTGCCATTTTACTTTGTGTCCTCTTTCCTGTACTTATCATACTACGATAGAGATCGCAGTATGAAGGAATTATTACCTACTACCCTTAGGTCTAATTCAGTGAACAATGAAAATTGGGCGGTGGAATTAAGTAATAAAAGCATTTCCAGTTACGCTAAGTAATGTTTATATATTAACCTCTCTACGACCAAAATCATATAGTTCATTATTTACAAAATGTTTCGTTTTCAATTTGACGAAATCTTTACCTCTTTCACAGGTAGGTCTTGCTGTTGGGGACATTGAAAACATCCAGAAAAATGCCACAATGGACAGATACGTTATGCAGGCAAGTGTTTATATCAAAACTTTTTAAATCAATCTTCTTTGAAATGTCAAGTTTTTGACACTTAATAGTTCTGCAAATAATAAATCTTAATAAAACCCGAATTACTTGCACTGTCATATATTTTTTCGTCTCGTCACGAGAATGGGACATAGAAAAATGAGTCCCCATGAAGAAAGGATAATTGTTGCTGCTTTCTTATCTGTAGTTTGACCTCGCTAAATACAGAGCAGTCCAGTTTCTCGACAGGTTTGCATTTGCAGTTCAGACTATATTCTCAATGAACTGAATAGTCGTAGAGTAGTCAACCACTGAACTATTTTTATGTTTATTTACTTTAACAGATAAAGATGTTACTGGAAACCGAGGAACAACTTCCACGCTGTCTACGCAAACATGTTCAATTCGAAAAATTTGTCGAATATCCCAACAAAAAACTTCCGTTGAAAACAAGGGTATTGATTTTTTCTCAAATTCTTGTGTTGATAAATGATGGTAATAAGACCGAGTAGAGTCGCTTAACAAAAATCGGACGAACGCGAAGCGGGAGTCTTATTTGTCAACCATGAATATGATTACCCACAGAATTGGACGACACGAAGTCCTAATACCAATTAATCATAACCGTTACGATTTCTGAGAAAAAGAAATAAATTTAGGATAAACATCTGCGGTAAAGACAGTGTCTTAAATAAAAAATTCCTCTATTTTGAAAAATTCCCCATCAGCTTTTTTCAGTATAAATGGCTGTTGCTATGGTTATTGCGATCAATTTTGTGATTGGTGGATTTAGCTAAGTGGACTTTGTATGATTAGCTGCTTCAACTATCCGATTACAGGTGTCTGATTGCAGCCAGCTGTCCGATTACAACCGTACAGAATGGTTAGTGAAAAACTAACGCAGCTGATGCACCAATCACATTTCAGGAATTTTTAATGGTTTTGATTATCTTTATGACAACACTTATCTGTCCATAATCTCAAAACTGATGCAAGTGTATATTTTTCTTCCAACAAAGAGACTCATACTTTTCTCGTTTTTTTTTTTTTTTTTTTATCCCAGCAAATATGTCATTTTATTGCAAAGTTTTATGCTGCAAAGTATTACCCCAACCTATCATTTCAGTTATACGATGCCATATGTGGTTTTGGTCATCCGGGAGGTGATGAGAACGAAAAAGACGAACATGATGTCCCTCGTGAAATAATTGACATAAAAACAAAAGTAGAGGAACAGGAAACAAAGTGAGTTGTCTTTTTTTTTTTTGTCTTGTTTTTAATCCGCTCGAAGCTTCAGAGAAAAAGTCTGAATGAACATATCAGCACACTCGAAAATTGTCTCAGTTTCCCATTAAGTAATTTTCCAAGATGTCAGAACAGTTTCGCAGGCTTGAGTTTCGATAGTATGAAGCGGAAAAGGAATTCAATTTTCAAAGAAAAAAAAAGGAGAGGAAAATGAACAACAATAAACTTACTGCTTTTAAAACATCGCTGCCAGACTTTATCCAGCATGATTCTAAAATATCTATTTGTCTAATGATGTTCACAGTAAGTAAGATTTTTTAAATAATATTCCCGTAAATTTGGTTTCTACATTTATATTTCATTTTTTTTCTCTATTATCAGAATTAATGAGATCAGCAACATGTTAAGGAAGCAATCAGAGATGTTGGAAGTCCTTGCTCAGAAATCGAAACTGAAGGAAGGATAGAACGATGAAGAAGTCAAAAGGGCAGGACAGTTCAAATCTCTGCTGACACCTCTTTAACGTTCTTGTTTAGTATTTGCAGTTCCTTTCTATTTCACAACAGTTTGAATTTTTTTCTTAGCTTTAAAGATTCTAAAATGATTCGCTGATGTAGAACAACTTACTAAGAATGAACCACGAAATGGTTCATGGTCGGGATAGGGAAGATTTACACAGGTTGTAAATGACAAACTTGAAAAATAAGGCGACATATTCCAAGAGGCACAAACGGTAACGCAAGCACTTAAGATTTTATTTTAGAACATGTGTACATGTAGCTGCAACAAAGATTTCCAAAGGGATTTTACTCAGAGACCCACATGCTTATAAGTCTTGTTTTACGTTTGAGGATAGCTTCACGACTACATATGCATATAATAGATTTAGCTTTACTTGGTTTGAATTTTATAAAACGTGTAGCTGTCTTTGGATTGAGTTCATCAAAGCTAAAAACAACTTTAATTTCAGACTTACCAGCACAAAGAGAAATATCGCAGTGAGCCAATGAGAATTTAGATTGAAAAAAAAGCGGAAAAAAAACAACCTGAAGGCAGGTTAATATGATTGAACATGCATGTTAACATGTAAGTCGCAATCACTTAAAGGCTTGAATCTGATAGACAGTAAAACGACAAAGCACAGTAAAGCAAACTCGTGCAACACCGGATTAATTCTTTTCCAATCTATTCTCTAGCATTTTTATCATGAATCACTGACACTCCAAGTTAAGTCATCACCTCTTATTAACACCACACAAGATATTATAATTTCCTGCGCTACAGGAATCAGTTTTATTGTAGATTAATATCTTTTTTTCGATAGTTTTTCAGTCATTCGTAAGCAGCTGTTGCCTTGAATGACTATCCGCACCCATAATCTGAGTAGTCCATAAAAATTTCAAGAGGGATAAGCTCCACAATAAACGACTTTTTCACCATTGTAAACTATTTGATCAAATATGTATCTCCATCATCGAATCCTGATTCTATTCCTCCGCATTTTCAATGCCTTCATTTCTGAATCCTACCTTTGGTGTCCATGCTTTCCCTGACCGTCGTCAAATTGTTCGTCAAAACAGTGTTTGTTTTTTCTAACAATTCCACCAGGAAATATTGGTTATGATTTTTCTATCGAGGTCTCACCCCCTTCTAATGGGAGATATCCTTTCAGAAAAGCTCGAAAGAAAATATGCAAGACATTGTAATAAAAAACTTTTGAAAAGAACAGTGGGTGCCAGAAAGGCAGAAGAGTTGTTAGCAAAATATAAGAAAATATAGGAATGTAGAGGAACATTTTCGAATGCATAGAAACGAGGCATAGAGAAGTGTGATAGCGGCTCTACATTCATCGTTTGCAGATCAACAGTCAAATGCTACCAAAGTTACGGTAAAAAAAGTTGAGCCGATACAAGTTTATTGCTTTCTACAATTTTAACGATTTTCTCAACGTTTATTAAGCTCGCCTTGATATAGAAGCAGATTTTTTACCAATCAAATTTAAGAGGCAGTCCGCGTAAGTACGTATAAGGCAAATTTCGGTCCTGCACCGATTTCCCTAAGTTTTTCACTGAAAGTCAACAATTCTATCCCATGTACAAATATCACATTTGTTTTGATCAATTTAATTTTTTTTTTTTTACGAGACAATTTTAAAGGTCACCCCCAAACTGCTCAATTTGTCTTCTGTGACCCCTATAATTAAGCTATAAATATCGAGCGCTACTAAATCCTTATTTTCCAATCTAAAAAGCTGATTATTTTACTTATTTAAGAATGGCTTTCTTTAAATAATTCAAAGGTGAAACGATTGCATTCTGTAAAATTTTTACCGAGTTATGAAACTTTCAAAATACCTTATCGTGAGCATTAAAATTTGTGAGGAGTGAGGTACATGCACTTGAAAGCTATTTTCTCTTATGTGGAACCTGATCTAGAGTCAAGTCTATTGCAGCTTAAAGGTACTTAGATAGAGCAAGTTAAATATAGAATAAAACTTTGGGCACTCCTCATCCTGCGCCGTAGAGAGCTTTGTGAATTTAATAAATATTCGCCGTCTCGATCAAAACCAACGATAACGCAGTCCGACCAGCGGACAGGTTTGTAAAGCTTAACAGCCCTTAAACACTTAAAGGTGCAGGAACAATTATCTGATGGAGCATCAAGATCGATATTAATCATCATTTTGCCCTTTTTTTAACTAAATGGCTCAAATATTCCAGAAAATACTTTTTAATACCTATATGCAAATTAACTGCGGCCTCTTGGCTGCGGCGATCGCGTTTATACGATACAAGTCACAAACAGTTTCCGTAACAACATTTAGCTATTCAAAGAAGTGTTTTTAAGAATGTGGAAACTCAACAGTTGTATCATTTCTTGAATGCATTACGTAAAATTTTAAGAGCCATTTTCTTTGGACACAATGCGCCATCGGAATCCAGTTTGTTTTGATAAATAAAGTTGTTCTTTTCGCTCAAGTGTTTTTATCTCGATAAAACATGGTCCGACGGTTTATCAATATCAGGACCGAGAACCATCATAAAATCAAGTAAGAAATAATGAGAGGTTGGTTTGTACATTAGAAATAAGTATCATATCACGTTTACACCGTTGTATTTGAGATATAGGTGTGCTGAAGAACAAACAAGGAGGGAGAGCTTTCTTGCGGTTAATAAATTACCGTATGCAAATTAGCTACAGAAAGTTATGTAATGTGTAGTCCAGGACACATTTTTTTAGCGTTTTCTTGATGAGAAAAAGTTGTGTTTTTCTTTTTTTTTCTTTGTATTGTAGGAATTTTTTCGGTATTTCATGACGAAATTTTGTATTATATTTTTATGACCATTTTCATTTTCTACGAGGCGCCAAAAAGGAGCCGTGTGTTTCTGTTTCACCTAATTTAATTACTGATTAATTTTTAAAAAGGAATTCGACGGCAGCTACATTTCCTTTCATTACAGGTACATCTCTTTATAAAGACACGAAATGTTTTTTTGCTTAAAGCTTATTAGAGTAAAGCTTTTCAACTTTTCTGTGTGGCATTTCTATTTTTTGCGAAAGAATATTTGGCAAACTTGTTTATTTCTTCCTAATTCAATTAAAATCTGTCGGGAACAAAAAAATTTTTCGGCAAGATTTTCAGACAAATCCGAGGTAGTGTTTCTTGAGACGTCTTCTTTTTTAGCACTAAAATGTCTGCTGTTCCCCCAAATTGTTCTCTTTACGAGACAAAGATTGCGTTGGTGGCTGCAGATTTAACTTTCTATGGGATAACACAGTTACCCCTCTTTTCCTTTGTGAATCCCTTTCTTTACCAACTCGTTCCTTCGAAGAGAACATGTCCAATAATGTCCGTTCATACCGTCAGTAAGATTGTTTTATTGTGTGGCTTACACAACCTGTGTAGCCACATTATGGCATGATCGGATTTATTTATTTATTTATTTGTACACGAGAGTCAAGCGCCTGTCACGTGGTCTAGTATCGTAGTATTGTACGGCGCACTTATCTGAGTCAGCCATCTTGATTGTAAGCGTGGTCTCGAGTAATTTTTTTCAGGTGATCGTATCACGAGTTAGTTCCCCTCTCACAAGCCAACACATTCAGACCCGGCTTTTGTTATAAGTGCAGCTTGTGCAAGAGCTTCTACGTTCTCAAGAACAATATGTGCTGACTACAGTCAAGGAAATGAAGCTCTCTTTGGTGAAAATGCTGTAAGCAATGTGTAGCAATGTCACTAACTGCTATTATTTATCATTACATGGAAGATATCAATTTGTGGACTTTTTCCCTTTTGAATAATATTCTTACCGTTGGAAATAATTTGTATACTTCTATAAGATGTTCTGTCCAGACCAATGATTATTTGCTTTTAACTGATTTTCCATGCATTGTTTCAATGTACAATAATGTATACACATTAGAATATAGTGAGTCATTAACAAGAAGTTTGTTCATGACATCAAATAATGGGCCATACATGTCTCTTCAAAATTCTTTGTCAGAAGTGTTTTCAAATTGTCAACTTAACTACAAGTGTTGTTTGTTAACGATTGGAATAAATACTGTTGCAGTGATTAAGAATTCAGAACAAAGCTTTAAAATTTTTGATGCTCATTCCAGGGATTTGCATCAGATGTCCTACTCATTTGGGAAATGTACTTTGCTTACCATTGAAGGAATTGAAAACCTTGTAATGATTTGCAAAATGTTCACGAGAGTCCAAAAATTGAACATTTGCCTTTCAGAAATAAAAGAAACCAAACACAACATATGAAAAGGAAGCAAAAGTCTTTAACTGAAACGCCAGAGGAAAAAGAAAAACGAGCGATTGCTATGAGAAATGAAGAAGGGTAAATGAAAGTGGAGAATCTAGGGAAAAGAGGCTGGCCCAGCAGTGTCTGACCAGGGAAAAGAAACGTGCAAATGAATCCTCTGAATCAAGAAAAAAGGGGGTTGGCAAACCCAATCTCAGTATCAAAGACAAAAAATTGCAAATGAATCAGAATGTAAAGACTGTTAAACCAACATCAATATCAGAATGAAACTAGACACATAATTGTGTTCACCCAGGCTTTCTGTTGGAAATGAACTTTTTTTTGTGCTTGCATTTGCCTAAGTTTTTATACAATTATTGGTTTATCCTGTAACTGTTTTTGTGTGGTTTACATGAAGTGTAAAACAAACCACATTATGTCATGATCCAAGATACTTATTCCTCGCTGGATTTATCACAGTGAACAGAGCACTTGTCACATAGTTTATTATTGTCGAAGATAGGTTCCAGTCTATGCTTGGCTAAGTTACCTAAGCTTCAAAGCTTCAGAAAGCAACCATTTTGCAATGGTGGCTGTAACACGCTGTCAAAGATTGTTTTTTAATCTAATTTTTCATTCATCTTTGTTGCTTAGATTTCACACGCTGGCTTTCCTACAGTTGGCTTGTCTTCTAAGTGAAGATTACAGCATGGAGTTGTGCTCTCACAGGCCAATATTTCATGGTCTGGGCCTTTAGTGCAGGTCATGCCACACTGAAACATAGGAGTCATTATTGACTCTCTTAGCAGTCACATTTCACATAAGTCATTTACTGGAACATTTTATCCTGAATTTCTGTTTATACCACATGCTCAGTGAGAAAATTACTTAACCAGTCTTTTTAGTACATGCAAAGACAAAATTTTGGTTAAACTGCATAATACCTTACCACCCATGGCATTACATGTCATTGAATATGAAAAGAATAAACCATTTTTAGCCAGTAGTGAAAATAGGACTTTTTTGTTGCCATTAGAAAATCAAACACTGCTGTTGTCTGGAAATTCAATTTGATGGGCTCTTTAAATGAAATTATACTTTCATGTTTACATAGCTAAACTAATAAAAGTCACAAACATCTAACACCTCACCTGAAACTGCAGTTTGTCACTAACAAGGTGCTAAATGTCTATTGTGATTGTTTCCAAACTTTGGGGAGTAATCCATTAAAACTCAGTAACAAAGTGGTTTTGCTTTTATTAAAATATGAATAGAAGCCTAGTGCTTTAATGTTAACTGAAATGTGATTAGTGTTATGTTTTCCAAGTTATGGCCAGAATTATTCAGACCTTAACATCTCATGACCTCCTTGAAGCTTGGCAGTCTTCTAGATTCTCTTCATACTTCACAAAATTACACTTTTTTGATTGGCTGAAAATAGCTAGGTGCCTTTTTCATTTATCATTAGTGAAAAAGTAATAACTCATGTACAAAATAATATAAACTAGGCTCAGCAACAATAGATCACATTAGAAACCAATCAGATTTACACAAAGTAGGTTCTGATTGATACATGAAGTAGCTGACAAAAATAAACAAAAGCTTGAATACTTTTATGTATATTGATAAACACTAAAAAATTGCATTCCTGCGTAAGAATTCAGCTGAAGGACAAATTTTGATGGCACACACTTCATTTAGTCAATACTGCCAAATTTATCTGCCATCAGTTTGTTGATTTCCTGTGAATGTGTATCTTTCATGTATACGTTATGAATAATTAGTAACATGATTTCTCATATGATAAGCACCTGTAAATTTTTCAAATACTTTAAACTGCACACACGCTATGAGCTCAACATTTGTTGTTTGTGAAAAAGTTACTTCTGCTTATTTAGAATACCAAAGTACACTTTAATTAACTTAGCTTAGACTTTGTTGAGTTTTTATGAAGACAGTTTAATGGAACTGACATTTGTTACGTTTATTGTTAAAAGTTAGAGCTACTTGATGTGGATTAGATAACCATCAGGTATCCTTGGAGACCCAGGGTTCTAATCACATCTGTAGACCACTTAAAAACATAGTCTTAACAGATCAGTTCCAAACTGTCACGGTCATTCTGAATTTTGATTGGTACCAAAACTTCAATCTTGTTCTGGCAAATGAGAGAGAAGCAGGTCTCACAAGTCCTCTTGTGTGCTCTAACACAAAGTGATACATGAAATTCAGTTGCTTACCATATTTGTTTTGGACCTTTTTGTATTGTAGATTAGCACTTTGCATGATGATGTGAAGTCGACCATTTGCATGATGATGTCAAGTTCACCCATTCATTTCTCCACATGACTTGAATTTGGTAGACTCACTGGCATGAAATTACAATTTCAATAATAAGAAAACTTAAAAGCTTCTGGTAGTTTAAATCATATGATCCATCATGAACTTGCCTGTACATTGAACTCTGCTGTGTTTAAGTAATGTCTCTGATTACTGTTCCTGAAATCTATTATGGTGACACTCTATCTCTATTGAACTTTCTGTTAGATAAAACCTCCAGGTCAAATTGTAAATCTTATTGGGTTAAAAATTATTAGCAACGTTAATGTAATGTTACTTCAGAGTACTTAACTCAACATATGATTCATTAAAGTATTGCTTGTGCTCTGATCTTGTAATGCACCTATCTTTTTTCCCTAGACTCTTCCATTTGCAACCTCATATCTACCTACCTGAACTAAATTTTTCTGCGTTCTTTATTGAAAATACAGTCCCACAAAACCTAAATACAATAATTATAGTAAACGTTTTGCTCGCAACCAACTGAAAGTTGAACTTTATGCCCTAATGGACAAAAGAAACCTACACTCAGCATTGTGTTACTTTACATGTGTGTATTGTCCAAAATTAGTCATATATTCAAACCAAATCAAGCTCCCAATGGCTTCTAGTGTAGATTACATCATTTCCCGAATTTCCCTGCCCCTCTCCAAAGTTTTGTCATTGTGTACTGGTACACAAAATGTCAAAAATATTCATATCAAATTCTTCCCTGGAGTTCATTTCACATCACTTGCCTTGGAAAAGACAATCAACCTACAAACTTCAGAAGTGAATTCCACTTCGTTACGTAAACATAATCATGACTGAATCTATCAGACCACTATGGGAGATGATGCTGATGTTTTTTCAGTTCCTTAAATCTTCGGGTTACATGTGCAACCTTTGTTGTCAAAATGAGACCTCCATAACAAAGTTTGGCCAATAACTCTCATCTTTAGAATGAACATTTCAGGACTTTTGTATGCTAGTTATCTTGTGTTATTGATGAACAGGATCAATATTGAAACCTATCTAATGGTAATTAGATATTAGCTCTTCTGATAGAAACCCAATGAGACACCAGACACTAAAAAGCAGCTCAATTTCGTAAGCGACACATGTACGCATTGCGGACCTATTTTCTTATAGAGCGGCCAAAGCTGGTGCAAGAACAGCCATAGGAGCACATGCTGCTGAAATGGAGACAACGCCATTTCGTCAGATTTCTACCCCTAATTGGAAACCCTTTCCTAGTCCCTGTTGGACTCCAGCAACTCCTGAAGCAACTTTCCGTCAGATCCCCGAGGCAGAGATTCTCGGTACTTACAATGTTGTGATGGACAAGGTTGCCAGAAATATTCCTCGCGAGCGACAGCCACTACCATCTCAGCTTGTCTCGTGGGAAGAAAGCGGTTGAAGACTGTATGCTCGTATGTAATGTGATAGCCCCAAACGACAGCAAGACGCTCTTTCACGCCTTGTCTTTTCCAGGTGGAGAAAAGGATGAGACAGCAGAAGCTGATGATTTGTTAAAATCTTTGATGACCACTTACAAAAACGCCAAAACCAAAAGCATCAAGACGCAAATTCTTAGGCGTATAAGTACTCGGTCAGCACATGAAAAGAACTTCACTCGCCATATGGAAAGTTGTCTACACGACAGATACAGAGAGCGCGGTGTCATGCAAGAACGATAGGTCCCGGTCAAGTGCCTGAGGAGAAGGTACATCATCGTGTTCGCATTGATATGACCAAAGTCGATCATTTCGTAGAGTTCATTAATCGCCCATACTTTTATCAAGACGTGTCTCACGGAATTAAATTCCTTAAGCTAGACAGTGGCAAAACCATCAAGATGCCGAACGTGGTGCGTACCGTGACGCGGTCTACGATGATTAGCCAGTACATACAGTTTTGTGAGGAGGAGAAGTTTGAACCTCTCAGTCGCACCACTTTATTCAAAATCCTAGAAGTCAGACAAGCTTCACAGAGAAAGTCGTTACAAGGCCTCGACAATACTGCTGCCGATGGCTCTCCTGGTTTCCAGAAAATCGAAATGATTGTCGATGATCTAGAGAAAGGAGGAATGAATAGGCAATAGTGTGCTGAGATTAAGGAAAGGCTTAAGAGTGAAAAACACTACTTAAAGACCAATTATCGCGTTCACCGCAATCCAGAGGAAACTTTATGTCCTGATCATTGCCGCAAGTTCGCTTTAAGTGACGAACAAGACCCCGACTTCCAGGAGAAATGCTCCCATCAACACACAGAAAACTGTAACGAGTGTCAAAATCTGCGAAATGTCCAAGATGAAGTCGAGGACAAAGTTCAAGGTCAATTTTGGATCCCTTAAGGCAGTGAACATCGAGACGATCTGCTATTCAAACTGGCACAGATATTTTCAAGTGGAAGGCTCATATTGTTCGCTCTGTAAACCAGGAAGCAGCAAAGCAAGATCAGCTGAAGACGATAAGTACTAATCAGAACTGTGCAATGGTAATAATGGACTGGGCAATGAAATTCCTTCAGCTTAAATATCTTGAGAAGCACTCAGATTGGTTTGGCAAGAGAGGATTGAGTTGGCACATCTCGACGGTGATCACACGTGATCCGAACCTTGAAGGAAGACTGGAACTGCGGTCGTATGCCCATCTGTTTGACGCATGCCAGCAGGACTGGTTTGCCGTGTGTTCCATCATAAAAAGCACACTGAGAGAAATTAAGACCGAAAAGCCTCACATCACCTGGGTTTATCTGCGGTCAGATGAAGCTGGCTGTTATCATACTAACTCCCTCATTGCAGCAGCAAGAGGAATTGGTAAGCGGGTTGGTTTAGAAGTTTGTCGGTACGACTTTTCAGAGCCACAATATGGCAAGGATGTATGTGATAGAATTCTGTGTCCGATGAAAACATGCATCCGACGTTTCCGCAACGAAGGACACGACATTCTATCAGCGGGAGACATGAGGAGGGCACTTTCTGAAAGACCGGTGAAAGGTACATCCGCATTCGTTTGCGAAGTTGACGAGGCGAAGATAACCCTAGAAGTGAACAAGATAGATGTTTTTAGCAAGCTTCACAATGTCCAGTTTGAGGAGAAAGGTATTCGTGTGTGGAGGTCATACCGAATAGGGTGTGGCAAGGAAATCTCTTTTGACCAGCTGGTGTTAAAGGGCCAAGGGGACACTGGTATCATTGTTAGTGAAAAATTTTTCCCTCTTCATGATGCACGTGTTTATCAATGCTCAGATCCTGTGACAGAGAGTTCAGAAGAAGAGAATGACTGGGACGATTCGAATATAGGCATGTTTGAATGTTCTGAGCCTGGATGCGTGAAGAGTTTCCAAACATTTTCAGAGCTCGAGTCACATTTGGACGTAGGGGATCATTGCGTCAAAGATGAAAGGCCTTCAGAAACGCTAAATGACAAGCTTTGAAGAGATTGAGCACACAGATTTACTAAATCAGTCAACGTCACTGAAAATGAACCGTCTGAACCTAATATCCGCCAAAGTCAAAATTTCTCAATACCCGCATTGCACACTGTCATTATGGGCTGAGCCCTACACAGGCCACGAGCAGGATCCATTAGATTAACTGACAAAGTTAAGAAATATCTAACTGCAAAGTTTGACCTTGGGGAACAATCAGGGCTAAAAGCTGACCCTCAGCAAGTCTCAAATGATATGCGCAAGACAAGAGATGAGCAGAATAGTAGGTTGTTTGAACGAGACGAGTGGTTGACTAAGAGCCAAGCACAGGGTTTATTTTCTCGCCTTGCAGCAAGCAGAAGAAGGCAACAAGCACACTCAGAAATCGAGCACAATCCAAAGGAACTATTTCTAGAGGAAAAAGAAGCTGAAAGACAACAGCTAATGGCGCACATTTCTAACGAACTAAGGCCGCAACACCCTCTGTCTTACGACGCCTTTAACTTTTGCGAGTGTTCAGGGGAGATAAGCTGAGTCTTTTTAATGTTTCACTGCTTAAAGAAATCTTGCGCTTTTTTGAAGTACCATTTAAATCAAGAGACAGGAAAAAAGACCTGATTAAACAACAGGGTGTCTAAAATAGCAGAGCCTACTTTAATTTCAGTCCTAATTAAAGGGTGATCCTTGTTTTTCCAGTTTTCCATCCATTAAAACTCACATATTTTGTAACCGATTCCTTATGTCAATGTTTAGTTTGGGTATGAGTATCGGTAAGAAACACCACGCATCAATGATAGCTTGAGCAAGAGCATTTACTGTAATCTAAATAATAATATTGCATGTTACAATGTGGTAACTTACACAGCAAAATTATTTAATCACACAATTCCAAACAAAGGAAGTCAGGTTATTGACTCACCTGCTTTAACTTTTGAGGGCTCATGATACTGAAAAATAGATATGGTAAACAGTTACAGTTAATACAAGGTTGAAAGTTTGAAAGCTAGGAGATATACATTACAATCATCAGACCCTATGCATTCTTGCAAAAAAGAGTCAGTTACCACTATAACTTCTCCCAAACATTCATACTTACAGGAAATCATTAATTTTTGTCACTAGGTGGTACTGTACTTACAGTACCTCTACTGACACAAATGCATTTTTCTTAAGTTATCTCATAGCTTATCACTGTTAAGGTCATGTGGAAGATCCCTGCTTGAGGACTGAAATTTCAATTACCTCAGCAAACTGTAATCATCAGAATTGCAAGCCAAGGTGTATTTCTCAAGTGCTCAAGTTTCCAAAGTAGTCACCTAATTGTTACAGATGAGTTCACTCCTTTTTGATTCCATCTTTAGCCTGATCATCCTGTAACATGTGAAAACATCAAATGTTACTTTCATATTCAAATACTTGCTTGGATCAAAAGTTATAATTTTTTAATAACCTGCTTCCTTTAACCCTTTAATCCCTTAGAGTGATCAGCATGTAATTTCCCCTTTCAATATCACCCCTGAATCAAACATTAAGGTTATAAGAATAAAGGAAATTATAATAAACTGAAGAACCTCTTGATTGTTAAACGAATTTTCCCAGCCAGCACATTGGGAAATGTATAGAGAACAGTATGGAGAATATGCTTACTGATGTTAGGTTGTAAAGGGTTAATATTGCTCCAGAAAAAGTAAAAAGTATTGGAGAGAAAATAAGAAAGTTCTTGAAACATTCTATATTAAAATGAAACTTTGTTATAAATGTTAGTTAAGACGGCAATGAAGCATGATATGAATAAATTTAATCTCACCCAGTTTAAATGAAAAATCTGAAATCTAATTAACTTACTAGTGAATAGGAAAAAGCTCAATGTGTTTTTCCTGCTTCTGTCATTCTAAATATCACAAATCATTTACACCAACACTTCAGTGTGATTTTTTTGAAGATGTGAACTTTTCCTTATGGTCATCTATTTTCAGTATCTATCTTTTACCAGCTGACATCTGAGAAGAATCAAGTCCACACTGGTGATTTGACACATTGTAAGCAAACCCTACAACTGATTAAATTTTATTTCATCTAAAACATGAAGGGCAATAAAGGAAATTGCCAGGCACAATTCAAGTTTCCCCTCTTAAATATTCTGTGATTATTTCTTTTATCATATGGTTAAGTTTACAGTTTCCCTCATTTCACTGTCATCTGTTCATCTATTTGCTTTCCTAACAATCTTAACTATTGCTGCCAACGAATGCAAGGAGCATATAAAATGTGTGCAGTTATTAACACTTTAATCCTGAGAGTGACTAGCATGTAATTTCTCCTTTCAATATCATCCCTAAATCAAGCATTGAGGTCATGAGAAAAAAGTAAATCATGATCAACTGAAGAACCTTTTGATTGTTAAACAAATTCTCCTTGCCAGCACATTAGGAAATGTATAGAGAACAGTATAGAGAATATGCATACTGATGTTAGGGTGTAAAGGATTACAGACATCATGTAGTCAGTTTCATATACGTAGAGTATAGCTTGAATATATAATTGTGATGAGTGCAAGTGCCTAATAAACATCAGTCTATGGTCTTCTACTCTTTCACCTTGGAGGGTGCCTTGTGTGCATAAAAATTGAGGTTCTCTGCCTTTACCAGCTTTTTTGGCTTCAATGATCAACAAAGAACAACAGCCACACTAAAAATATTTTTCATGAAGGACACCTCTACAATGGTAGGTATACACAACTGACATGTTTGAGTGAAGCATGTCAAGCATTAAGGTATGACTGTCAGTTTGCTTTTCATTACTTGCAAACAACTTATTTCTATCCACTTTGAAAACTAATCTGTATCCTCACTTTTAAAGAAAAGCATTTCCCGTGAACATTTAAAAATTAAAGACATAAGCTACCAGCAACAGGTTTTTCCATTGTTTCACAACATCAGATTCTCATCACATTTTTTGTTACATTTGAAAGCATGAGAAAATTTTATTCATTACAATATAATGAAATCCCCCATTTTAACCCTTTTAGTCCTACTGGTGACCTAGACAGAATTTCTCCTTACACAATCAGTACAATATCAAGCAGACAAGTAATGAGGATAAAGAAAAATATCAATTAGGGGATAGTTGGTTGATCCAATCCCAAATTCTTCAACCTAACATCACATAAATTGTATTTCAGACAGTAAGAAGAATTACTGATGAAATCTTGACAGTTAAAGGGTTATGTAATCACATGTACCAGAAAGAAAGTGCATAAATGTAACATAGTCCAGTAAAGTGTTCTTATGTACAATGAAATTTCAGACTCATTAAAATTAAGTTGACTTGATATTTCACATTTAAGATTAAGAATTGTGAATATCTCTTTACATGGATGAAAAGAGAATGCCATTTATGAATTTTAAAATAGTAAATGCCAAAAACTTAAAGATAGAATTTAAAAGTACTACAAAAATATGGCATATGTATTCACTAAGATTTTTATCATTAGGTGCCACACAGAGATATAAGAAAAGCTTTGTGAAAAAAAAACCAGGGCAATCAAATTAAAGAATCAGGAGTAGTATATGCCATCAACTAGTTTACTGATGTTCTCACCTGAATTCAGTCTGGAAAGAGACCTCTGCAACACTTTTGTTTTATCTTTTCACACTTGAAATGAAAAATAAAATTTAATTATTTGCAGGCAGGTTAAGGAGGAAATTTAAGGAATGAATATATGTTACATAAAAAGAAACCCCTTACAATAAAAATAAAGCAGAAGCATATTACCTACGTGTCTTTGCTTCTGAGTACAGCTATAATAGGTATTTTTTTTAAGCAATCATCTACATATGTAAACCGGGTGCAATTTACGGTCGTAAAAGCAATTTTATTCTAACCTTCTCCTTTAAGAGTGCATTGTGTATCAAATATATCGAGTTCAGTACCTCCGGAGTCGTAAGCCGGGCTTTTGGGGCTACAAAATAATTAAATTATTAACGCGTTATGGCAGGTCAATTATCTATCGAGAGTCAATTGAGTATAGTTTCCTAAAATCGTATGGAAAGTTTAAAATGTGCTTCACTTGTGCTTCGTATACGGATTGACCGTTCTTAATTACTGATGAAATTCCGGGAGTGTGACTGAGTTAATTCAAAAGAAAATATCCAAGAAGGTTACAGAAATGGTCCACGAATTGTAGACGGATAATGTGTAAACAAACCCTCCCCAAATTATGGTGCCGACATGAATTTATCGTTCACAATCACTTATGAAATTCCGAGATTGTTTCTTAATGAATTCAACAGAAAATATCCAGGAAGGTTACAGAAACGGACCTTTAAAAAACGGCTTTCGGATTAAACAACTGTAAACAACAATTATTTACGCTAACCATGTGCTTACCAGCGTGCTTGTGCCCTCGAATTGTCAACACCCCGTTTAATTACATGATTACAGCTCAGAAGCTTCTTGCAAAATGTGGTGGCTATCGATTTCAGAGATTGATTCCTCAGTTTCCAGCTTTAGGAAAAAAATATCGTATCGCAAGCATGTTCATGATAACCCGAGCAGTAAGTACGCCTCGAGATGTTAAGCGAAGAGAAAGTGCCTCCATGTTTTAAGAGATAATTGAAATCATTTCTTGAAGTTCGAAAGAATCGAGTAGAAAGCATGAAAATATAGCGCTGAAAAGTACCATGACCAAAAAATGAAACTCACTCATTCCGCACCACAACCAACTCCACCTTACCTGTGAGTTTGTTTGCACCACACATTTGTGGTCCGTAATTTAATTCTCAGATGTTTGACGGGTTCTCACATGAAAATATTGCCAAAATCAGATTAATTACTTCGTCAGACTTAATGCAAACAGGGACATCGTTGACTCAATCTCATTTTATTTCAATTTTGGGAAAGGCCACTATTTCGTTCTTAGGCTAAAACAACACTTTTTCGACAAAGCGCGATTTTTTAAACGAATAGAGTAAATCCTGCGATAGTTGACTGAAGAGAGAAAGGGGAAGAAACTTGGGCTCGCCTCTTACTGGCCTTTTCGTAGCCATGGATCTTTCGTACCCAGACGATTCGTACCCATCCACTTTAGATCAGTTCGTACCAACCCTCTTGTCGATTCGTAACCAACAAATTATGACACAAAATGTTTAAAGCAAACATAAACATTTATTTCATTTATCCTAGTAATCGCAAAAAAGCTAATTTCTAATCACAGAAACATTGAAAAGTCATCTTTTAGTTAATACTCTTGAAAAATCGTGACCTAATTGACCCATCCTTATTTATTTTGCCTACTACCACGCAGCGCTTACAACTAACCGTACTCATTCTACTTAGTAAAAAAGCTAACTTCTTAATCATAGTTACGTTGAAAAGTTATCTTACTCTTGAACAATCGTGACCTAGTTGCCCTAACTGACGTATCCTCATATTTTTTGCCCATTATCACGGAGCGCCTATACGACTTAACGTACTTATTCTACTTGGCAATAAAGAAAAATCCTAGTAGTAAATGCAAATAATGTCTAAGTTCAGTTCAGTTCAGTGCATCAGTGGCCTGTTTATATTGGCACATCCTTTGAGCAGCTGCCCCAGTGACCTCTCTAAAAGTCAGCGGTAACCTCCTCCAGGCGGCTTTTTTTCTTGATGGCAGCAGTCAATTTAGCAGTCTCTGGAAGCCAAAGTGTGCTGCTAATCCAGTTTTCCTCGATGTAGCTGACGAACTGCTGTAAAGGCTCCGTCTTGGCCTCTGGTTTTAGGCTGTCGAAGGTTGCGGCAATGGTCCCAAACGGAAGGAAGGGTAGTGCCATTAGTCGCCTAGTGGAACCATTCGTAGTCCGGTCTCTCATATACGCAGTCTGAAGGCCTAGCTCTTGACCTTTTCTCCAAGGGGCCTGGTTCCAGTGGAAGGCACACCCCAACAACTGCACTTCCGGAGAGACTTCGAAATGCTCCCCGCACGACGCTCTCGAAGTCAGCGGTACCTGCTCCAGGTGGCTTTTCTCTTGATGGCGGCAGTCAATTTAGCAGTCTCTGGGAGCCCAACTTCTCCCGCATGGTTGTGTTCGACTCCAACGGTAGAGCCCTCAGGATGCTGAATCACTGACGCCGGACAGTGGTTGGACTTGCCATGGAAGCTACAGTGCCGGTATGTGATCGCATTCCTCCGCCGTTTAACACAATACAAGTAGCCGCGGCTGTCGAACAGTTTCTGCTGGCCTCTCTTAAATGCTCCCTCGACGACTTCAAAGGTCATCGACTGGTTGATCCTCGGTGGTTGGCTCTCCCATAGACGATTTCTCGATTGGTACAGGTAACTCATATTGGATACTGGATGGAGGGCTACTCGAGGCAGAGAACATTGTAACTTCCCTCACGGTTCTCAGTTCTGTTAATAAAAAAAACCCGCATGTTAAAAACCTAGTCTTTTAAGAAACTCCTGGCAGAAATTTGCCATTCAAATTATGCCGATAAACAATAAACTTTTAAACTTTTAGATTTTGAAGACTGTAATTTTGTGTTATAAATTTGCAAATATAACTTAAATAACAATATAACTTTCTTTCTCTAAACGGCAAAACTAGCCAATAAAACGATAAAAACCTATACTAGTCAGTAAAGGTTAAGTAAAGTATAGGGCGATCTTTGCTGACGTCATTGTCTACATTCTGCCTCAACCCAGATTTAAAGAATCTCAATATTTCGACTGTGAATTGCGATTTTCTCACAGGTATATTAAAAATATCTTTATTTGCATCTTAATCGTTTTCAGAAGTTTCGCAAGCAAAACCTTCAAAAAACGTTCTATGGGTGGATTGTTAAACCAAAAGGATCGAAATTCTGACCATTTCGTTAGTTCATGCTGATGTTGTTTACTCTCTTTGTTACAATATTCTAATTTAATACCTTTGAAATGAAAGAGAAAAAATCACACCTATCTTGCGCGCGATAATAATTAGCTGTTATTGTCAAGAAACTCGCAAGTATAAACAATTGAAAAGCAAATAGAGCAGCCGGCTACTCCAGAGTAAGGTAACACTTAATAACATAAAAATAGCAAATATTTTCAAAGACGCGATTACTTCTAAGAAAAACGGGGGTGACCTTTTTCTCAGACGGAAGGCAGAGATGAAAACTAGGAGTTAGAGGGGAACAGCCAAACCAATACCCAGGTGGTAATGCCCACTGCTAATCCCACTGCTGATGTGCCCACTGATGACGTTGCCATAGTCGGTGATAATTTCACTGAGGAAGAGCAGCTAAGCAACTTAGAATCACATTGCAAGTAAGTCTTCCATTAGTGCACAGAGTAAACATGAATGGGTGAACGTAATTCTTAAAATTTGCCACTGTTTAAAGAAAGAAAACTGACACACTCTTTTTTGACACACCTAAGTCTTGCGCTCAAACCAACACGTCCTTAACTTAATGTAACATGTGTAAACAACTAAAATGAAAACATTTTTTTTACAGGGCTGTAAAGATAACGAGAGTTGAAACCACTTCAGAAAAAGAAGAAGACGGGCTGTATACTAGCGGCGTTTTCCTTGATGCCCTTTCTGCATTTTGGAACTCTTTTTATGATTTTTGCACTAATGGCAAGGACGAGAGAGTTCCAGTCATCAGGCACGACTTGCAGATGCTGAGTGGGAGGCCATAGCCAGAATAACAGTCAAAGGGTATCAACAAGTTGGTTTAATTACAATTAAATAAGGCAAAGCCTTTACAACAGCCTTTCTCTTTGGCGAAGAAGTTGTAAAAGAGTACCTTTCGTTGGAATCCTTCCTAGCATACATCAGTAGTGACAAAAGAGAACTGGTTAACCTGTCTCTGAATAGGAAGCTAGAAAAAGAACAGGAAAATGAATGGTTAGTTCTTCTGGAACGTTTTAACTTGGAGATTGTTCCCAGAGCAAAACAAGTCAAAGATGTCGTCTTGGAGATTGCCCACAAAGAGGTCATTCAAACTCCAAGATACATTGTAGACAGCTGGAGCACACCGTTGTCAGCATTTCACCGCGAGTTTTCGTCAACAGATTGCCTTCTGGAGATGTTTTCACGAGGAAAACTAACCAACAAGAAGATCATCACATTTCACGCAAACCTTAAGACCTGAGCACAGGGAGAATCCTTATCCTGTTTGAAACACTTTTTTCGGGGGAATGGAAGATGAGAAATTAACAAAGTTCTTAAGATTTTGTACAGGCTCTTATATGGTGTGCCTTGAAAAAAAACACATCGGTTTCAACAACCTAGAAGGCGCGGAAAGGTGAGCAGTCGCACATATCCCCAGAGCAGTGCTGGATCTCCCTTCCACATATCCATCCTTTCCGTTGTTCGGGGAGGAATGGAACAGCACATTGTCCTCAGAGTATTGGTTCATTGACTTTGTTTGAACTCTCACTTAAATCTGCCAACGAGAACTGCTTCATTGCTGTACATCTCGGAATCCTTGGCAGTCCTAAATCGGGCCGAGTTTTACGCAATTGATTGTAATTGGTGTGATTATACCACAAGTGAATTGTATAATGTAGTGGCCAATCTCTGTATGGAAGAAATCGAGGAAAGTGCGATTAACAGTTCATCCTCCCTCCTAAAATCTGGAAACGTTATGTCGATGACAGCTTCTGCATCATCAAAAAAGACAATGTGCCAGCTTTCCATGACACATTAAATTCAATTGACGCTAACATCTCTTTCACCATCGAAATTGAAAGTGACAATAAGATCTCCTTTCTCGACACTTTGGTCACCCGTAGAAATGGTACCATCGCTGTCGATGTTTACAGAAAGCCTACAGAGAGCCCTAAAGCTACCCAACTCCTCCGAAGGAAAAGAACGAGAACTTAACCGAGTTTATTCAGCACTTGAATCTAATGGTTATCCATCGAATTTCATTAAAAACAGGTAATTTAGTGTTAACAAGTGGGTTGAAAACGTAAATTAGCCACCGTAAAGGTTAAAAAGCTTTTTTACCCTTTACGGTGGCTAATTTACGTTTTCAACCCAGTTGTTAACACTAAATTACCTGCTATACTCTCCCACCGACGTAGCACCACAGTTTCTTTAGAAACTTACCCCTTTATTCATTAAAAACATCCAGGCCAACAAAACCCGACGCTCAACAGTGTTGTACCCGGAGGAACTTGTTGGAACATTTTTCAAGATGGTCGAGGCGTCCGAATCACGCAAGTCGTTCGCCTCTCTTCCATTCATTAAAGGCGTAACACAACCTCTGACTCGTGTCCTCAAAAAACACGACATCACAGTGGTGAACAAACCACTCATCACCCTTCAACAACAGTTCCCGGCCCCAAAATTTCGACCATTGTTGGAATCGCAAACAAATGTTGTTTATAAAATTCCTTGTGGTGACTGTTCATGGTGTTATTTTGGTGAGACTGGCAGGGCCTTCAACACAAGAAAGAAAGAACACCTCAGAAATGTGAAAACCGCGGCAAAAGGCTCAAGAATTGCCAATCACGTCTGGGCCAATTGTCACGCAATAGACTTTGATAATGCATCTATTATTGACAAAGGCGGTTTCAGAACAAGAAAAATACTAGAAGCGTGGCATTCCAAGTTAACTCCCAATGCGGACAACAATTCCTGTCCTTTGCCCGGAAAATACAACATTCTTTTTAACAAACATTCTTAGTTATCAGCATTTTTAATTTTTACTTTGTACTTCACACCTAGTATATTTTTTACCTTTTTATCATTTTACCCGTTGAAGGCTGTAGCGCAAACAGCCGATAGCTCGTATTTTTAAAAGTTTTAGCCAGAGATCGTTTTTTAAATTTCATAAGATGAGTTATATTGTTGTGTTGAACTAAAACCTTGATATAAACTTTGATCAGTTTGCTTATCCTCCAGTCTGATTGGTTATGCAATCGATTAAGATGTAAAATGTAAACTGCATTTGACCGTATCTTGACCAGGGGCAAAGGCGGAAAGTGCCTGCGATGACTTTAAATGTTTATAACTTTTTTCAACATTCAGTCAGATTCTACCAAACTTTGCGAGTTCATGAAAAATTTATCTGGAAATAATTTTGTATGAGCTTGCTGTGGAAAAATTTTGAAATCCAAGATAGCGGCTGTCTAGACATAATTAGTTAATTCCCACGTGATATGAAGTCGGCATCCCAAGTGACTTAAAGCAAAAGGTAGATTTTTTGCCACACTATGTACCCTCTAAGTTTCAATGTCATTGTTATTGTTTAATATTATGGAAGTTACGGAGGGAGGAGTTAAATTAAAAATAAATACAACTACCATCATTTCCTGCAAACACATCTAATGGAGGGAATTTGGAATATTTTGTGAACCATTATGCTCTGCCAATTTCCATGGCATTCTTTACATTTATATGCAACGTATAGTGCCTTGTTCAACTGAGACAAACACTGAATTAGTAAATCATCTGCTTTAAATTTATAAAACCACGTTCAACACACCATTTGTGCAGTACCGATGGAACCAGATGCACCTGAAGTGTGACAACGCACCATGCACGAGTTTGTGGAGGATCTGGAAGGAGTGAAAGTGATAGCAGATGACTTCCTGATTGCCGGATTTGGCATTGGTGACCGAGAAGTAAACAACAATCTCAAAAAGACATGAGCACCCTTTTCTCAAGAAATGCTGCTTGGAACCTGAAATTGAATCGTGCCAGAGTGAAACAGCACCAGCGAAGCATGAAATTCATGGGTCAGCTACCCACCTCTCAGGGCCTGAGAAAATCCAGGTCATATTGCAGATGCCTGAACTTAAGGACGTCACTGCATTGAAGAGATTCCTTGGGATGGTGACCTATCTTGCAAAGGTTATGCCTCACCTATCAGACATGACAGAGCCACTCAGATGCCTAGAAGACAAGAATGTGGAGTTGCAGTGGTTGTCACAACACTCCCTCGCAATGAACACAATTAAGAAGTCCCTGACGGAGACACCTGTTCTTCGCTATTATGATATAAACATACCAATCACTGTCCAATATGATGCAAGCCAGTCTGGCTTAGGGGCTGAAGTCCATATTCAAAAATGAAATTCACAAGTCACCCAAGCGTCTGCAGCGAATGCGGCTGGTCCTACAAAAGTACAACCTTGAAGTGCAATGCAAAAAAAGGTACACTCATGCATATTGCACATGCATTGAGTCGGGTATATCTGAAGACTACTGATGGAGTGCAGACGAAGTTCTGTGAGATTCATGTACTTGAGACAGTTGAAATTGAAGAGCATATTTAAATTGGCTGCCGAAACGAGATGTTTTCCATGAAAAAATTGCTGCAGATGGTGATATTTAGGAACTTATCCGTGTTATCAAGCTAGGGTGGCCAGACAAGAAAAAATGCCCCCCCCTGCTGTCCAACCGTATTATGATAAGCGGAACGAGTTGATAAAGTCGCAGGGTCTAGTTTTTCGTGGAAAACAGCTTGTACATTTCCACTTCGAAAGGACATGCCAACTCAGCTCCACAGTAGTTACATTGGCATTGGAGGATGTGTTTGCTGTGCTCGTGAAATTTTGTACTAGCCAAGAATGAGTGCTGAAATAAGAGACTTTGTTTCTTGTTGTCCAATCTGTCAAACATACCGTCCAGCACAGGCTTGCAAGGAGCTTCAACCACATGAACTTCCTTTGCGCTTTTGGCAGAAAATTGCCGCAGATCTGTTGGTCATTGGGCAGCAGACATTCCTGATAATGTAGACTACTGGTCCAATTTCTTTGAAGTAGTTGAGATTCACAGGAGGACAGCACAAGCTTTAATTACCCAGTTTAAGGTGCAGTTTGCCCGACATGGCATTCCTGAAGTACTGATCAGCAATAACGGTCCTGAATTTTACAACCAGGAATTCAAGAATTTCTCCACAGATTAGCAGTTCGAGCACCGAACTTCAGGTCCAAGATATCCACAAGCGAATGGAAAGGTAGAAAATCCTGTGAAGACCCGCAAAGGACTGCTCTTGAAAGCAAAGGAAGAACCATCGTGCCTCATGGCACCTCGGTCGTCACAAACAGAAACCTAAACTGGACATTAAAAAGTTTTGTTCTAGTTTTAACCTGTAGCTCTGTGATTTTTATCGTCATTGAAACTCCACAGCTTCGACTACTGAAAATTACATGCTATGTCCAGTATGTAGCTGCACATATGTGGAATATGATGGATGCCTGCACTGTGAGCAGGACAGAGAATACGAGTGTTCTCTAATTGCTGATGGAGGAAGTACTACTGATAATCCAGTTGGTCTTACTTTAGATGAATTAAGAAGTACACGAGTAGCATTACTCTCAAATCGTGACTCAGTGGGAAGAGCAGCTGGGAATGAAGGCAACATGGCTGGAGGAGCAATGCACCGTGCTCAAGACCCTGCTTACCAGGTATCTCCTTCTGTCCTAATCTTTAGGGAACAGGTTTCTCCTCCTGTCCCAGGGTCGGGAGAACAGGCTTTGTTAATTGTTAGTAAACTAGGCCAATTAGAACTAGGGGCTGGGGCTGGAGTCATTTGTGAAGTTTATTCATTATTCTGGAAAGAATTTTCAATTGTTATGACTAAAGGGGAGAAGGGAGAGAGTTCCCCTTATGTGACATGATCATTTTGTGGAAGAGTGGGAGGCTCTGAGGAGAACTCTTGTCAAGGGTTATGTTTCCATTTCCTATTTCCCCACTTTTTTGTCGAAGGCATGTTTATACATACATACGTGCATACATACATACATCTTTATTTAACAATGCAGGTTATGAAAATTGGACCTGGCTAACTACAGTTAATTATATATGGCGAAAGTGGATGTACGGCAGTTTGGGACTGTGCCAGGTTCCAGTACGACACAAGCACTAATAAGCATGGTCCACTCATGGCTTAGTGCTACGGATGGGAACGGTGCAACTGTCAGAACCATCCTCTTTGACTTCCGCAAGGCGTTTGACCTTATTGACCATCAGATCCTAGTTCAGAAGCTCATTTCATACGATCTTCCAAGCGGAATAATTGACTGGATAGTGGACTTTCTGTCTTGTCGCCGACAGCGTGTTAAACTTAGTCAGGACTGTTACTCGGAGTGGGGGGCCATCCCATCAGGGGTCCCACAGGGCACAAAACTTGGCCCCTGGTTATTTACTATTATGATAAACGACCTCATCATCCCGGGTACAGACATGTGGAAATATGTCGATGACTCCACTATTTCTGAAACAGTCATGAAGTCTGAGGTCAGCAAAGTCCAACAAGCGGTTGACGAACTCGCGACGCAAGCTTCTGCTGACAAGTTCCAATTAAATGAAACCAACTGCAAGGAACTGCGCATAACATTCAGTCACTCTAGAAAGAACTTTGATCCAATTAAGGTTAATGATCAGGACTTAGAGTGTGTAGAGCAAGCAAAGATCTTAGGTTTGCAGATATCTTGCGATCTTACGTGGAATAATCACGTATCCGAAGTTGTAAAGAAAGTAAACAAGCGCCTGTATTTTTTTTGCGTCAGCTTAAGCGTGCACAGGTCAAGTCGGAGGAGCTTTTGCTCTTCTATTTGACTTGTATTAGGCCTGTCACTGAATATGCATGCCCTGTTTATCATCATAGCCTCCCGCAATACCTTTCAGTAGATCTTGAGAGATGTCAAAGGTGAGCTCTACGTATTATCTATCCAGATTGTTCGTACAATGAGGCGCTTCTTTTGACTGGTCTAGTTCCCTTACACAACCGCCGCGAGTTCTTATGTGATAAGCTTTTTAATTCCATCCTGTCTAATCCCTCGCACAAGCTCTATAGCTTACTACCTCCCAAGAATGAGTGCGAAGTCAATTTAAGGAGTCAGCACTCTTTTACTACACGGCGCCTCCACACCATTCGTACTCGAAATAGTTTTATCCATCACTATGTCCATAAAGCAATGATGTAATATTGTTTTTCTCTTAATTATATATTTTTGTCTTTTTAATTAGTTCTTCTTAGCCATGTATTTTTTGTAGTATATATTTTATTGTAAATCAAACGTAATTAAGCCTATGGCTGCAAGGTTCTTGATAATAAACTATCTATCTATCTATCTATCTAAGATCAAACAGCACTTTTTTGATAAATAATTTCCTTTACCAGGAAAAAATGATAACAAAGGAACTAGAGAAAAGATGGCCACGCGGAAGTGCCTTACCAATTTACAGAAATGAGGCAGATGCTATCCAAATAGACAAATTTGTGGCAAAATTGGTCAAAGATGACACTCGTCTTTTTCCTGAGTGTGGATGTGGTAAAGAAGCAGTCCTGGAAACAGTTTTGAATAAAATCAGGGAGCAAAGGCGCCAGCAGAAAGAAAAATACCTTACCAGTGAAGAAGTGCTGTCAACAGACAGTGCATCTGAGTCAACCGAGTCAGTAGTTGAAATCCTATTGCACCTACTTATACATATCAGTTGCAATGTGTGCAGTAAGTTTACAACCTTTATTTTGATGAAGATGTGGGAATTACGGAAGTTATTACCGCCAATAATTGACTTCCAGTTTTTTTCTTGATCTTGAGAACCAAAAACTATACTTAAAAGTTAACGTAGCTTGTGATAAGATAAAGCAAGGTTAATTTTATGTTTTCAAACTTTAATGTGGGATGGGTTTGTAAAACATGGTTTCAGGATAACATTTTAGTTTTAAGTATTGGGGCCAGAAAATGTCCATGTAAAGTCACTGCAAATTCTGGGGGGGGGGTTTGAAGGAAAGTGTGATGTATGAACTGGAATTTCTGGTAGAGTTTGGAGATTCAAACCTAAAACCTTCCTTGAGAGAGGTATGGATATCTCCTAGAGCACCACTCTAATGACAATTTTTTGCTGTAAGAATGCATTCTTTAAGGTCAGAACGGATAAGGGAACTTGTCACAACGACTTGTCCTCACGCCTTGTTGCGGCAACTTGTCCTTGTTGCAGTACACACTGAGTGACTTCTCCCCTGGTATTTTCCAACCTCGAAAATCAGTGAAACAAATTTAGTAGGTAAAAAATTAAGATAAAAGAAGGATTTATATGCCTGTGCTTGGTTATAAAATTTATCATTAAATTTTCATTGGTCTGCTTGTGAAAAAGGGGCCTATTCAATATTCTCAATTAACATTTGAATGGTCTAGTGGCCTGGTTTGAGTATCTACTGTGTGAATATAGCTTTTCTCTTAACATTTTGCTTATTTTTATCCTAGACATGACTCAGACCACAGCAGATTTAATTGTAATGGTGGCTCTTGGAAAACCATCCAAAAAAGAAGTGAAGATGGATCAATTACGGAAGATGAAAAAAATCTTCAATCTTAGCCTTTTACGAGGCAAGGACAAGATGACTCAGAGCGATTGCAAACTCACTCCGCAATGAGGGCCACATTACCATACGTGAATCTGAGGAGCAAATCGTCTTTAGTTAAGGACTCTTAATTGCTGAGTATCTGCTTAGTAACAACAATCTTTGATTTAGATGTATGCAAGACTTTTTGATAACTTGATGTTTAAGTAGACTTCCCAGTTGACAAGTCTCTGCAAGAGGAAGATTTCAGGGCTCAAACCAGAGAGTTGTTCGAGAGACAAATTTTAAATTCATGAAGTCCTACTAAGAACAAATAGTATCCCCAAAGTTAGCCAACGGTGTGTATTTCACTGCTTCACATGTCCTCGTGCTTGCTGGACAGGGAAGCATTTATATTCAGCCAGAAAGTGATATCTCTACTGCCCTTTACCATGACATTGACATTCCTCCTCAAGGTCCAGATCTATAGAGTAAAGCCCCAAGCTCAAGTTCACTTCTTGGAGAAAAATGTAGCTCTAACACAACTGCTTCATACCTTTCAATTCAATTTTCAATTTTCCAATTGGTAAAGAAAATGTTGAGTGTCCTTTGCATCCTCTTTTTTCCAACTATGCAAGCTTCAATAGCCTTTACCGTATATCAACAAAAATCTAATGTTTTCAACTTTCTTAAAATGGTGGCCAAATGTGGTCCAACCAGTTCTCTACCATATCGACTAAATCCCAATAGGGCAGAACCCAGAAGCCTTTGCAGACTTTTTCTGCGCCATTTCCAAAAAAAATACCCATTCTTGTAATGAAAGTGATGAGAATGCCTAAAGCACCCAAGTGGCTGCATAATAAGTTATAATAAGTCTAGAATGATTTTGTCGTAAAGATTACTTCCTAAATAGAGAACTGTTTGTTTTCCAGAGTTATTGCACCTTAAGGTTTACATAAATTTTGTTGGGAAGCATATCTGGTGTTGTATCCATGAATACTACCTGCATTATGAAAATGGTTTTGGAAGGGATCCACTTAGGCAGGCCTTTGTGCCATGGATGCAAACACGTTTAACCAAATTTGTTTATCAATACTACAACCATATCCATCTCTTAAATCTGCAAAGGGCATATACAGATTTACAATTTATGGCACACAGCATCTAGTTCTCTTTGTTCACTCTTACAAAGTTTTTTTCACTTAGTTATTTTAATTTACTAACCTTCATAGATAGTTGCCTAAATTGCATATGAAGCAAATTTTTGTTTCCTTTTTCTGGCTGGTGGTTGTATTAAAGGTTTGAAATTATTGGTCTCAGTTCCTAGCGACTCAGTGACCATTTTGTTTAATTCATGATGTGTAATAATTCATACACTGTCATACATTAAAAATTTGAAATACAAATTACTTAGATCACTGAGAAATAGTAAAAATGAAGAGCCAGGAAATAAAATTAAGCAAACAATGGATAAAAGAACAATACTTAAAGAAATAGTAAACATGATTAAGGCAAATGTTTAGGGTGTTGCTCAGAGAAATTGAAGATTTAAAGTTACAATAAGTCTAGAAGGATTTTGTCATAAAGATTAGTTCCTGAATAGACAACTGTTTGTTTTCTAGAGTTATTGCACACTGAAAGTTTTCATAAATTTTGTTGGGAAGCATTTCTGGTCATGTATCCATGAATACTACCTGCATATTGAAAATGATTTCGGAAGAGATCCACTTAAGCAGGCCTTTGTGCTGTAGATGCAAAACCTTTAAATCATTGTGTTGATACACGATTACTGTAAGAAAGTCTAGAATGTTGAGCAAATGGAGGGCGCTATCTGTTTGGTTATGAAATGTATCAATAACAGTGGGGCAAAACTCTCTCATGGTTGTTCCAAAGTGAGCAATCAATAATTGCTAAGAAGATACACATGTAAAATGCATCTTCTGCTCTTCTTTGTTCACCAGTGTTTCGTTGGCAGTGTGGCTGTCACTTGGGATTGAGATTGACAGAGTATTCTAAGGTTAATCACAATTATTCTCTTGAGGGAAATGGTACGTAAGTTGGCACACCTCTTGCATCCCCAGCACCTGGATAAGTCATGCAAGATACCATCTTTCTTTCGTTGTATTTTGAACCTCTCAATACCTGGCTAATTAATGGGTTGATAAAGGATTTTGTTAGGTGGGAAGACAGTATTAAAAGGAAAAATGGCAACTTTGCAAATCCTGAAAAGTTTCCTTCAAAAACTAACAGAACTTCTTATAAAGGTTTTTTATAAGTAAATAGTGATTGAAATAAAATATTCTGAAGGATGATATCTTTTGGCTGGGTTGAGTGAAGAGTACTGTATGTGGCAGTGGGGGCAGATGGCGTGCCATTTGGCAAGGATGACACAGTCACTGCATATTTAGTTTGCTTTCTCAACCTGCTGAACAGAGTACAAGGTTGTAATGATAATCATTTACTCCTTGGTGCCATCTGTGAAGAAGATCATCCACTCATGAAATCTTACTCAAATCACCTAAAGGAAGAAATGGAACAGATTGAAGAGAAGACATTGACCACTAAGAGAGGAGAGCAGGTTGTGTTCAAATTTGAACTGATACCATCTGACATGAAATGGATGTCATCCCACTCACGAGAACTAAACAATTGTCCATTCACCTTTTGCCAATGTTAATCAAACAAACAAGGGAACCATTGGTGGTTTTATTGGTGACCCTAAAGCAACATGGTAACCACAGCAGTACACTGAGAGACTGACCATTGCAGAGAAAGTGGAAAAGTCGAAGAAAAGACTTAAAGATCGCATGGGCAAACAAAGAAGTCATATTACCAAATTTATTGCTCAAAACAAGTTGAGACAAGAATTTGTTCCTCTGTTGGGGAAGTATGTTGATTGCCTCAAGGCGGAGCCTCTACATAACACTTCTTTCGCTTCTTGCTGAACCACAAAAGAAAGACCTCGTGTAGTCTCCCACACTTGACGTTTCAGGCACTTCAAAACTGCAAGCAGAAGGGAACTGTCTGCAAGATTAGAGACTGTTGTTGCTTCCTTGAGGTGAGTCTGGTTTGTGTCCTACATTACAACAGAGAGTGCAGCTGAAAACCAGTTCTACCAAGCATTGACTGTGTATTACATTCTCATATGGATTCACGTGGCTTGAATCAAAGTACTTTTGTTAGCATTTTGCCACTTTGATAAAGGAACTTCTGAAGATCAACTCTCTTTCAAAAGGATCAGTTGTGAAACTTCACACTTTGGCATTTGTTGTAGTCAAATTCAGAGATGCAGTTTCTATTTACTCAAGAGTTGAGGTGCGCATTGAGCAAGTGGAAAAGCTAAAGACCTCATACCAACACACACCAGGAAGTTTAACATCTGATGCTTGGGCCTCAATTCAATGCAGGGTAGAGAGGCAAAGCATGTTAAGCTGGCTTAGTATGTGGAAAGCAAATGCAATGCCAAAAAGACCTTAAGGTGGTGGACAGTGTTCAGACACAAATTTGTCCACATGGTGTGCTCGAGCGAAAGGGACCCCAACAGCATTGCTTATTGCATCAAGAAGAGGAATATCAGCGATTCTTACATTCCTAGGAGAGTTTGAGATTGTGATCACAGGTTTTGCTTTGTGGACTTTCATGTAGGTCATTTCTTCCATTATGGTGCAGTATCTAAGCAAAGTGTCACTCAATTTCCACCTACATAACATTAAACTTGATGACAAATCTATTTCTATACAAAAAAATTTATGTCAAGCCAAGTTTGTCCACATATGATTAAAATCAATGAAACTAATTAAACATACACCTCTGCATATGTTTGTTCAGTGCTACGGGATGCTGTTCACATTCCAGTATCCTTAATGATATTTAATGATGAGAACTTCACCACCTAACTGTACGCCATCAGAGGAGGAAACTTCAAAGGATACCCTCCTTCACTGCAGTTAAGGTCGATAAATAAAAATAAAAATTTTTCCATACATATTGTGTGGCTTTTCTTTTCACTGCAGGAATTAGATGGACCAAATGTAAGTAGGGTAGGGAAGAAACTTGCCCCAGATCCAGTTGAATGGAAAAGATTAAACCAATTATTTTCAATTTCTTTCTTTGATGTTGACACAATGGGAACTGCTGTGGATTGCTGGAAAGCCATTGACAGTTATCTCTGTAACAGAAAGATGGCTGAACAGGCATGCACTAATTAGTATATAATAAAATTGCTGTTTGTTTTGTTCCAAAACTTTTATTGTTAACTTCTTATTGACTTTGATTTTCTACTGTCAAATAAGCAATGTTAATTATAATGTGAATGAAATATTTGGGTTGTTGCCAGACTTGAAGTTTGTGAGTGTGTTATGAAAGACCTTCAAATTATTGACAGGTGCTTGCAATATATGATAATGAACCATAGTCTGTTGAAGCATTTTTGGTTTTCAGATGAATTTTCATCCTTATCATGGCTAATTCCTATAACTTGACATGCTCTGCATACAATCAAATCATCATAAGAGATGTGAAATGAAACTGTTTACGTTCCGATTCATACACACTGATGAGAGCACTGAATCAGAGGTTAACTTAAGTGTTTCCTACTTTAAAAAGCTCAAACCGCAAGAAATTGGTAACCTCAATCTCAAGCCATTTAAAATTTCTAATACTCATGTAACGTAGTAGTTACTAATTATTTTTATTTAATTCTTATTCTTATTTTATTATATCCTTTAAACAACTTTTTCCTTATTGATTTATTTTTTTAACACAGTCTAAAATGATTTCATGATCGATAAAGAATATCCTTTTGATCAAACGCAACCTCATTTTACTTTTATAATCAACCTTTGTTTTGCCAGTGCTACACAACAAGTATAGAGACAACAGATTTTCATTAACTTAGTTATACCCTGAAGCAAAAGCAAGAAATGTTTACTTTTGTGATCTCCTCAGGTGAAACACTTGTGCAAAGTGAATCAGCAAAAGCAAAGGTAAAACTTTTAAGTTCCTCCCTATGTTAATAACCTTTGGGGAGAGCAGA